CCACTCGGGCTCTACTCGACGGTTTGATTTATGCTCGCGTAATTGTTGGTTTAAACGTTTCGCAAAGTGTCCAAGTTGGGGGGCCCAACCAACGAACGCCGGACTGAGGACTGCGGCGACTGGCAGACAACGTTTATGACACCACACAGCAAAATGTGAGGCACCGTTCAGGGTTGCCAAACCAAGTAAAATATGTCCAAGATTATCCTATTTTAAATTGAGTTTAAGTCTAAGAAGCCTTAAGTTGACAAGCAGATGTCCAGTTCCTCTATGGAGATTAATGATTAATGATTCTATCAGCATAAAGGATAAAAGGATTCCAAGTTATCTTCTTAATCTGTACTGGGAAGAAGCCCTATAAAATCCTTTTCTTGTGTAGGAAAATTGTTAGATATCCTGGATTAAAGAAAACTTGATCACAGCTGACAATAACCATTTTAATTTCTACTATTGTGTGGTCAAATTCCATCAAAACTGGGAGTCGGTTCCGCTTCCGTTTTCCCAACACCAATCAGTAAAATCAGGAATTAAAGCGAAGATTTTCTTCTCATCTGACTGACTCCCTCTGACACCTGACAACCCTAATCAGGGCATGTCTTAGCCAGATATATATATATATATACATATTCATGTGCTTGCTGGATTGGCCTTAAATTTCAACTTCTCACGTCACACCTCCGGGGACCACCTTGCAGCTGCTGCATGCGCTTATTTTCGTTCGTTTGTCATCATTTTTTCAATAAATTTCAATTTCCCGGCCCACCTCCCCACCTGCCTTCGTATCCTTTATGCCCGAGCAGCTCTCGGCTCTTGGCCTGTGAAATTCGAAGTGTAAAATTGATTTAAATGGCTCGTGAGTGAAGCAGATAATTTTCAGTTGTCAGATGCTTGTAATATTTATGTGTCGGCGATTATTATTCCGAGAGGCCCGTCGCCGTTTAAAGTTACCTACGCGTGAAAATAGCTTACACGCCTTGCTCCCCTGCGCCCTGCCCCCTGCCCCGCTCCTACCTGCCACTGCAACAGGGCCTAACTCATTTTTAATATGAATAATTGTGGCAAATTACATGGCAATTGCATAATAACCTGACCAACTTCAATTCCCTCTCCCTCTTCTGGATTGGTAATTGAATTGCCGCACCAATTATGCGGCCATTGTAAGCCGAATGAGTATCCAGGTGGAGGAGAAGGAGGAGGAGGAGAAGGAGGATACCGGAGGTGTGTGAATGAACTTTTAAGTTTCCGGTTACTGTGAATTGAATAGAAAGGATTGTGGCCATGACGGTCTTTCCTTTATTTTGGGTTGCTTTAAATGGCAGAAATTACTTTCGAAAATCATAAGTCAAATATAATAATAAACTACGAAATGAACACAACTGAAAAATGAGCATTCACTGTGCCAAAATAGATTGTAAATTTTAATTTTATAAATAAGCTTAGTAGAAAAGCTTGTAATATTAATCCACATGACACGGAATTTACAATAACTTATAAATTATTATTATAACTCCTAACTCTTACTAGGCATTGCTATTCGAGGAGGAGGATGAAACTTAATAGGAATAATGTGTGGAAATACATACATTAGTAGGGAACACAATTATACATAGATTAACTAAGCATATTTTAACAATGAAGTCCAAACCATCACACTATTAATTTGTACATTTTATTAAGCTTTCATTTAAGTTTATGACATGACTAATTATACAAGCTCATAATTTTTGGAAATGTCATTTAATTACCTTTAATATCATTTTAAATAAGACAGTGAAAGTCATACTATCAGAAAAATGCTCAATGAATAAATTCGAACTGATCGTTTCTATATATTTTCGTATCTGTAAGCAAAATTTGTTTTCTTTTCTTTTACAACTTTGTGCATTTCAAACACCCTATAAAAATTGTAATTTTCTGTTGATATGATCATTTCACATATGAAAATGATTTAAATAAATCATGGCATGAATAAAAAATGCGTATTTATCTTGTTAACATTTTTATGATCTTTATCAACAACTTTTTAATATCTCTGATGGCATAAATACAGTTGGCCAGCAGCAGCAGCCCTAAACAATGCCCACAAATTTGGTCAAGAGTTAACTCAGAGAGAGAGAGAGAGAGTAAGGCAGGGAGAGAGAGAGAGAGAGAGAGAGAGAGAGAGAGATAGAGAGAGAGAGAGAGAGAGAGAGAGAGAGAGAGAGAGAGAGAGACAGAAGGTATTCAAAGCTAATTACCCACACGTACCCCAAAAAATCACGCAGAGTTCGATTCTCAGGGGTCTTGGGCTCAAGCCGAGTGAGCGCTGTGCTGAGATTTATGACGTTAAATTAATAATCATTTCAACTAAATTAATAACACCAGAGTCGACCATTTCAAAATGATTTACAATGTGCGTATATAGAAATCAAGACTATGAAAATTTATGAAGCTCTTTTTCGAGCTTGTTGATCATTTCGAATAATTTCGAGATGTGACGCGGCAGCAGCAGCGGCAGCAGCAGCTGTTGTAGGCGCCAGAGGGGTAAGTTGAGAGGTGCGTTGTTTACACTACACCATGCCACACAACACACACTCTCCGTTGCGGGTCGCTGTGTGTTATGGCTCAGCAGGTGACTTTCCTAGAGTTTGACTCCAGCGCGTGCGCCACTCTCGTTATTATCTTCATTTTTAACACCCAGCATTTGAATGGGAATAGTTACGAGGCAAGCAGTGGGATGGGCTTAGGGATAGGGGTAGGGGTAGGGGTAGTGGGTAGGGGTACCCCCGCATCAACCATATGGAGTCACTGTTACTCTTCGGGGGACTTTCTTTCTTTCCGCATCTGCTAACCACAGAATGTGGTGTTGATCGCTTGCTGCATCTCTGATGTGTTTTTTTTTTATCTTCTTCTTCTCATTTTCTCATTCATGTTGTACAAGATTCTTATCGCGCTTTTTCATTAACATATTGCGAGATGGGTTTTTTTTTATCCCCTCTTCCACTTCATTTTCTTCTTTTTTTTTTTAATGTTCTTCTGGTTATTTGGACATTTCCAACTGTTGTCGCTGGTTGTTTTTTGTTTTTTTTTTATTGGCCAGTTGGTGGTTTGAAACATGATCTGTTATTATGTAAATTTGATGATTCCCTAATTCTCTAACACATATTCTTGGTCCGATAGTTTAGGTGGCGCCAAAATATGTTAAATGTACATTTACCAAATACTCTTTCGACATTCCACTGAAATCGATATGCAATTTGTTCAGCAAAGGTTTCAAGATATTTATAACGATACCCCATATATTTCGATATATATATACCACCTACATATGTATGTGCAACAAGTCGCCGATCAAACTGGCGCCAGGTTGCACAGCCGTTAATCTAATCAGCTTTGTTTTGTTTTCGTTGCTTCGCAGTAGTTTCAATCAATTTCCTGATTTCTCGATTTCATTTAGAATTGTTTGCTTCATTTAGATCACATGGGTGGTCTATAAGAAATATATTTATAAATATGGTGTTGATGCCTTTCAATTCTCTAATTTATGCTTCCTGTGACAAGCGATTATTAGAAAATACTGCATTATTTTAGAGACCAAACATGATGTGAGAAAGCATTTCATTGTAGAATTTTAACTTGCATATCGACTTAAATGGATTTTCAAGACTTAAATGCCGTATTAATCTATTACCAAGCCATGAAAATAAAAAACACTTTTCACAGCCGCAAAGAGCGTTGCAAAAGATACAAATACAAACAAGCAGCAGAGCATAGATTATTTTTCAACTGATAATTGCAACCTGTCCAAATTAAAAACCACATTTACGATGCATCGCTGCAACCGTAATCCATCAAAATCCTTGTGGAATCACAAAAACAACAACAACAACAGGGATAATTTGCAATTATTGTAGCAGAAATGAAAATGAAATACAAACATTGGCATAATTAAATGGAAATTTCAAACGCAGCATCAGATTCTGAGGAGCATCCTAGCCACAGGACAGGTGCGGGGCAAGGTGGCATTGAAGCCTACGAGGCTCAATGCATATGTACCTGCATATGTATTTACATACACACCTGCACATATATATACACATACATATATGCATATGTACTCTCATTTATCAATATCAATATGGCGGCCATTGCGCATGACACGGATGTCAGCGTCGCGCATACGCTGACCAATCAGCGTCTTGTTATTGACTGCTTGCACGCACGTGTGTGTGTGTGTGTGTGTCAGTGTGTGTAAACAGGTAGCATGGAGTAGGCGTAGCCAGCGACAACAATGACCAATTTTATAACCTGTTTGCCTACTGTCTCTTTCGCACACAGCACTGTCTCTTTACAGTCGCTGTCAAACTGCGAAGAGCAAGAGATCGTGCAGGGAAATTACTTTTGCCACAGTGGTGGACATGCAAATGTGTTCGATTTGAAATAAATAAATTCTTTAAATGAATGGTGTTTTGTGTAGTTAATAAAATAGTGATAATTGAAATATACATATATATTTTCAAAAACTTCCTTAATATTAATATTTTAGAACATAAAAAACTAATATTTAAGTGCATAAGTAGTAAGTTGAAAGTTTAACGCAAATATGTCAATATTAATTTTATTATTCAGCTAATAAATATTAAGTTCTGCACAAGGAGAGTAATTTCAAAAAGTGTGTTTATTTTTACCATGTCTTAATTTTGTGCCCCTAGTTTAGGCGCCGCTCGCTCTCTCTTTCGCTAATTGAGCAATTTGCTGTGCTGCAAGAGAGAGAGAGAGAGCGCAGCGTCAACAGTTTGACACTCACAGTGTCTATGTGAAGCAGTTGCCTTCTCGCTCACGCTCTCGTTCAGTGGCCAGCAACCACCAACAAGACTCACACACAAATAGAGCGCTCGCTTCGCCTTCGCACACACACACACACACATGCAAACAGAGTGCTCGCTTTGCTTCGGTTGGCCATTGCGTTTGGCCTTAGCGGCCGATTCGGTTGTTTTTTTGTTGTCAATGCTGTTGCGTTCAGTTTCTCTCTTGCGTTGCTCGCGTGCGGTTCGTAGTTCGCAGTTCGCTCGTTGGAAATTTGTTGGTAACACATTGTTGTTGCTCGTTCCCCGCCGGCAACGATCTTAATACACAGCGGCAATAAACAAATGTCCGCATTTATAAATCAAAAGTCAACGCGCACATTGAAATAGATTCAAGCGGAGCACCAAAATACTCACATACAAATACATCGGAAAACGTGCGCACACAAAATCTAAAAAAAAAATAAAAAAATAGTAATAAAAAAAAGAAAAGAAAAGAATACAAGAAAGAAGCGGTGACAGCCACTGAAAAGTTTTATCAATCGTTCAAATTTAGCCTAGAGTGATTCTTATGTTTGTTGTTGTCTGTTTTCTTAACCCCTTGTACGCAATTAATAAAAGTCGCGAAAGCGGAAAATTTAGCGCTAAGAAATTGCAACACGTGTTTTTTATGCCAACAGTGCGTATGAAAATTTGTTGCTTTTAGTCTGCGGTCGCAGTTATTTTCGTTTAAATACACACAAACCCACACACACACATCATCGAGCGGGTGAGTGTGAGCAGATGTGAGTGTCAGTGTGTGTGTGTGTACGTGTGTGTGTGTATGTGTGTGCGAGTGTGTGTGTTGTCTTGTGGCACATGTCTCGGAAAATTTGCTGAAAAGTTTGCATAAAACAAAAACTCAACGCGCTTTATATGTTGCTGCCATTGCTCATTGCGAAAGTTGACAGCAGAGCAAATGTGCAAAACAACCAAAAGAACAACAACAATAAAAACAACAACACCAACAGTAGATAAAAGAATCGCAACACGGATACGCAGCTGCAACAGTGATATACATTCATAACAATATACATATAAACACAGGTGAGTTAACATCTGGCCAAAAAAAAAGTGCCGACGGCCAAAAGCTTCGATTTTAGGCTTGACTTAAGCTATTCGTACTTAAACATTTTCAAAGTTACATTCAAGTTTTATTATAATTCAAATAAAACACACGTTTTTTTGAAACGTTTACAATTTACAAGTGTTTAACAGTATATAAAAGTTATATACAATAATAATACAAATATTAAAGTAATTGTAAATAAATAATTTCATACTCTGAACTCATTGAAAATTGTTAAAGCTATTCAAAAGTATCTAACTGAATTAGGCATGTCCTTATATACCATTTATTTGATCGAAAAGTTTGCTCGATTTGTGAATATCTATACAAATCGATTTCTGAAATCAGTAAAACACACATTTGCAAAGATATAGTTTCTATTCGATACATGATATAATTGATCAACTGCAAAAACTTCATTAGAAACACAGATTTTGTCCAAAGGAAAACATATTTTCATATTGAACCAATTTTATTGTATTGCCTCCACAAGACCATTCATTCTAACTGGTTTTACATTTGAAATAGTATTAATAAGTTTTATCTACCGGATATTTCACTTCAATAAAAATAGTCATAACAAATTTTATCTATCAAAAGTCTAGCGAATTTTAGCACGTCTTTCACTTACACTCGTCTATTGTGGTATCAACACCAATAATGAACTGTTTATCAAGCGCATTGTATATTCATAAAGATATTTCCCCCCCTTGGCTTATAAGGCCTGAAACTGAAAGTATACCAAACACAAACATTTAAGTGTGCAAGTCTGTCATTAATATTATGATATTCTATCGCTGATTTGCTGAGTGTGTGACGAATACTTTGCCTATCGCATAACCGATGTGAATCACAAAACGAATGCAATCTTAAACTGAGATTCGGTTTTCCGGTTGCCTATGGCCAAATTCTAATTTGCTTCGAATATGCACACAGAAATGAAATGCATATCTGGCATAATTAAAATAAAATGCAACAATTCGAAACATGTAAATTGCCAATTTTTGCTGCTATTTTCGGCTACAATTTATTTATCTTCCCCCCTCCGATTCAAATTGCGGCTATTTGTGCTTTAATTAAGAGTAAAAGAAATGAAAACAAAACAAAACAAATACGCGGCCATTCCAGTTGTCATTCATTCATCACATTTGAGGCCTACGGATGAGAGAGCCTTGTGCTATCCGTGAGATACTTTTCGCCGTGGTCTTTGTTTATTTATAAAATAAACGATTTGCTAAGGAAATGTGCAAATTATTAACTAGATGCAGCCTCCTTTGCTCATTCTAGTTGTGGTCTATTTCATTTTGTCGTGCAATTTGTAACGCATTGATGGAGACGTCTCCGACCCGTCAAGTTATATATATTCTTGATCAGCGGCATCATTAGCACAGTGGATATAGCCATGTCCAACTATTCGTCTTTCATCAATCAACAGAACTCCCTCAGTTTTACTGTACTGAAGTCAGTAAACTATTTCATAGTTTATTGTCAAACTTATTTAGAACTCTGCTAAACTCCAGTCTATAAGGGTATAGCATCTTCGGTGTTAATAAAAATCACTCTTAATTTTTGCATAATTTTTGGGAAAGTTGTTTTTGCGGGTGGGTGTCAAACAGTTGTTATATGCCTGTCTGCCTGTCTGCTTGTCGGGTTTGTCTGGTTGTCGCTTTGCATGTGATTTGTTTATTAATATTAATATTTATAAGCATTTCATTGGTTGTTTGCTTCTCAATCTTTCGATGTTTAGCATTTAAATCGAGAACACTTAAGCAGCTCCCTAATTTATTGGCCAGCCGTGTGCATGTCGTAATTTCTTGATTTATGAAGTGGAGGCGCGGAGCGCACTTGTGGCCAGATTGTACAGATTGGTGTTTCTATATCTACGACAAGCAAAAACCTGTTGATCAAGTGTTAACTTTATAGATTGTATATATATATTTTATACGAAGATATCTTAATGGTATCCAACATATTCTAAAATTCACGACGACTATGATTAAAACTAACCCAACACTTTAGTGATATATGCAAATTGTTCATTGTGGCACTGAAAGATACACAAAAGTAAAATGGTAAATTGACTTGACAGATTTTCTTCAACTTTCTTCTCCTTTTTTGCTGGCATAATTCATGATACGAGAGGATAGCAAATTGTGGCTTTGATGATTTTACGCACTTGCGTAGAAATTTCGTTTTAATTTGCGTACACAAGTTTTTCATTCAAAAAGATGCGAATCGCTTGGCGGTCTTTTGGCCAATTTAATTTGTGGATTGGGGATTGCAGATTTGCTCAGCTTTTGAGTCTGCACCGTTTGCAAGAGTGGCAGGCACACAGACACACACAACATATATATATATATACACAGATATAGCCACAAAATGCGGATATGTTTATTTTGTCTGGGGTCACGCCCCAGTGATCGGCGCATTAAGTTGACAAATCTCATTCATTACAATGTTTCGAGTACAGCTGGCAATTAAATAGCAAATGCTGTGCTCATCCCACAATTCATTTGCCAGCTTTTATCTCTCACAGGCACAATTGGCTTAGTAAGCGGTCGGTCAGGTGAAGTTTAGCGTTTGTTTACTTCTATGGAAAACGGGGCGGGAAATGTGCAATAACAGCTTCGAATTTGTTGAATTTGTCGATTACATTGCATAAACACAGACGCCAATATTGCAGATAATTTGCTAAAAAGCAAAAACAGTCCTCGTCTCTGGATACGGATGGTACCATTAGCCGCAACAATAACGTGGCACAGCCCTGAAATCCGCTAACTATTCTATTGACAGTTTGGTTTCATAGCTTGAATGTGACGCGGTGTGTTTTCCAAAGTCAACAACTCATTTTCCAAATTCAACTTAAGTAAAATATAAACAACAAATCAAGACTGAAATTCTCCACTCAATTTCGTAGCAACAGATAAAAAAAAAACATTCAACGATATGTAATCCTCACATCTCGGAAGCATATCTCGCACATTCATCTGGTATTTCTCCATATACATCACCTGTGTGTGTCGATTATGGTCAACAAATCAAACAAACTATGCACTAAATTAAAAAGTTAATGCAACTTTTTATTGGATACGATTTTAATTAGAAACTAATTGGGCTTCAGGCAACAAAAGAGTAGTCGATTTGACTAACAAAATAAAGCCATACTACAACACTATAAACACACACAATCCACAATCAAAATTAGATGGAATACATGGAATTACCATTGGATGGCCAAAAAGGTGTCCGCTTTCAGTTCGGAACGCTCCCGCATGCAGTCAAATTGACAGGCAACCAAACAAGCGAAGACAATAATCACAATAACACTCAAATTAAAAGCTTATAAAAGTCAAACACACAAAACACTCGACACACAATCAACGAGCAAATAGCATAAATCGGAAATCTGACAGATAACACGTTCGAATTTGGATGCGTTTGTAGAAGTAAATTAAAAATGTGTAAGTTGAGCTGAAAATAAATTAAATTCATTTTAGTTTATTTGAATGCCACTAAGAGGCAGCCACACAAACCAGATAATACATCTCAGCAACGGCAAACGGCAACGGCAAACGCCAAACGGCAACAGAAACAGCAGCCAACAGCCAGCAGCCGTTTTACATCTAGATAAAGTATCTATGAGGTTGCTGCTGCTGTTGCTGCTGCTTGAGAATAGTTGCCCCATGTGAGGCATCTTTGTGCTGGGGCCATAGATCATATCGTTAGTGCTATTAACTGGCAAAGAATACGTATCAATGGGCTACTTGTAACCAGATCAAGAAACACTCCAAACAATCTAATTAAATTCAATAAATAAAAATAAAATAAATAAGACGAATAAATAAATTCAAATTATGTTCAAAAGATGCAAAATCATAAATGAATTCACAATCAGATAGAGCAATAATAATATTGATCTTATAGATAAATGTTCCGAGATGAAATCAAGTTGAAAGCACACTTTTTACAGTGTGTTTAATGCGTTAATTAATCATACAATTATTAAGATTCTAATCGGATGCCAATTAGAAACACTGTAGTCAATCCAAGAAAACTTTGAGGGAAAACAGAACTTTCGTTGCAATATGATTGCAAATTGAATATAAAAATCGATTGCCCGCAACAAGCTTGTATATAAAACACATATCGTATATAGATCGTTTGACTGTGTGTTGTACACAATTTCAGCTATAATCAGATTTGAAAATGTATAGCGTATTTCGTTTCACGTTCGCATTGGCAGCAAGCATTTTAGCTTGTTTACTTGCGTCAAACATAGAACAAGCCAAAATATCTGACGCTTGGGCCAAATGAGTGTGGGGCGCAGAGGGATGGGTATGGGATCGGATTGTTGGATCGGATGGATCGGTTCTATCGCTTGGCCGGCCTAGGCCGATGACTCAAGAGCAGGCAGGCAACTTGGCGTTGGTATTTTTGTTACACCAACAAGCATCAACAGCAACAGCAACAGCAGCAGCAGGCAAATGAAATGTATTTTGTATATATAATCTGCCTCACACAGAGAGAGCGAGAGTAAGTGAGAGGGAGAGAGAGACAGAGAGAGAGAGAGCCAGACATGCAAGCTGAAAATTGAAAACAGATCCAAGAATATCTCGAATCGCGCTGCGGCGCAGTTGCCTCAATTTGAAAACATATACGAGGTGCTAGCTACAAATATTCTATACACATATATATTAATACATATATAAATGTATATATCTGAGTGCTATGGCATATCGTCATTAGATCTGGCCTCTCAAATCTCAGCGCATCTCGATATGTAAGCGTTCTTTTTGTAGCTAAACCATGCGTTGGCCTGCGATCGATTGCACTGACCTCTTGCAGATATTGTATCTGAAAGATATACACTTGCCAGCTTGTGGCAGCCACGTCGCGTCGTCGCTGGTAATTTTAGAATATTTTCTACATAAGCAATAACACTGAACACTCGGGGAAAAAAACCATGCGCCCCATTTAATAATATTGTGTAAAAGTTTATTTTCGTTGAGACTCTCATCGTCGTCGCCGTTGCCGTCGCCGTTGCCGTCGCCGTTGCCGTCGCCGTTGCCGTCGTCATCATCGTCAGCGTTTGCCACACAGTGGCGGGCGGGCACAAGAAAAACCATATTTTGATAATTGAAGAATTTGGATTACACGTGCACCTGTGCCATTAACTAATCAACCGATCGACTAATCGACTTGGACAACATGGGGTCCAGAGATTTGCGATGTTATTGGGCCAAAACTGGTGTTCTGCTAATATTTCATAATGTTTTGTTTAACATAAATGTGGAGAATATGTGAAAATATTCATTATACATTAATGCCAATTTCAACAGTTTTATGTGTCTCAATTATCGTTCTTTTAAATACTAAACAAAACACTCAAATAATTACGGCAATAAAAATATGAAATATTTCTACCAATTAGCTGGGTAATATGGGGTCCCAAACAGTGTTCTGCTTGGCCTAACCACTGCGGATAACTGACAGTTCAAATTGGGTGCCATAATTAGCCAGTTGGCATCTATTAGCCAAAGAGAGCAATACAAGTCACAGAATTCTGTGGTTTTCGAACCAGATAAAGAACCCTCTAAATAATATTTAATAATTAATTATGAAAATATATATTCGTAGAAAGTACAACAAGTTGTGCCTATGGCAACTATATGATATATTAATCCAATCGTAATGATTTATTTGTACAATTCTGAGCAGATTAATAATACACACATTAGGTTAGTTTGATTCTGATATCTTTCAAAACAAAAGTTTGGTTTTTATATCTCGTTAAACGAAAATTATAAAATGAAAAAATGCAATAGTCAGTCGCAAATTCCAAATGAACCTAAAGATAAAGATTCTTCAAGCAGGCCGTCGAACTCAAAGTATTAATCATAAATAGTATTTATATTAATTTAACTACTGCCTCTATTCAACATTAACATTAATTCGCAATCCTCTTTTTTCTTGCAGCGCTCAAAATACCAAAGAGATCTTAAGCTCAACTTCTACATTAGGCTATCTTCGATGAGTGTTAAGTGAGTGGTTAGCGGGGATTTAAGCAGATCCGCAGCTGGCGGATCACTGATCGGTTTGTTGGGTATATCAGTGGTTCAGTTTGCTGAGTAGCCATTTGGCCCCACATCGGATTGCCTGTCGTCCGCACCCCACAAATAATGCTGCAACATCCCGCCACCGATTTCTACGACTTGGCCGCTGCAAATGCGGCAGCTGTACTCACCGCCCGCCACACGCCGCCCTATAGCCCCACGGGGCTGAGTGGGTCGGTGGTTGCGTTGCACAATAATAACAATAACAATAGCACAAGCAATAATAACAATAATCTCGATATGCTGACGCACAACGGTGGACCAGGCGGAGGAGGAGGCGGAGTTGTAGGCGGCCTAGGTGTGGGCGTGGGGGGCATGTCTGTCACGGGACTCCACCTGAACAGCAGTAGCAATGGAGGCGGACCAGCTGGAGGCGGCGTCAGCTCAGCGACAGCCGGACGCGAAACTTTGCCGAGCTTTGGCTTCACGCAGGAGCAGGTGGCCTGTGTGTGTGAGGTGAGCAGCATCAGATCTTAAACATACCCTAGGCTTTAATAATTGTATCCAAAGAGAGCATGTCTTGTTTTCCGAGTATATTTCCAGCAGGCAGCGGTTTCTTCTTTCTAAAAAGTAAAATATTTAAGAATCTTTGGCATATTTCGATCAAAGCAAAGTGTTTGAAATATTAGTAAAATCATATTTCAATTTTAAAAAGATCTTCTAAATTTGATGCCCAATGATTTTATACCCTTAACCCATTAAGAATGGGAAATAGAGTAAAATGAAGTTGTGCAAAGTGTGTAACAGGCAAAAGAGACGTTTTCCGATCCCATAAAGTATATAATCATTTAATCATCACATCATTTTATCGATAACTGAACATGTTTTGCGAAAATCGATACAAATTGATTGCTGACAGCAATAAAGGGCACAGCTGTAAAGATATAGTCTTCTTATTGATGTATAATCTGTGTATTTCATATAATTGATCAACTGTTCAAATTTCATTAAGATTGGTTAAGAAAAGCAAATTTTGCCAACACTTATTTTCATATTGAAGAAGCGACTATCAGCAAATAAAAGCTAGGTGCAGGGTATGTCCAAGTCGAGCTGTCTCGACCAGGCACATTCCCACTTATATTGCCGTTTCATATATAATAATGTCCTTGCTATCTTGTCTATTTAGGTACTGCAGCAGGCGGGCAATATCGAAAGACTGGGACGCTTCCTTTGGTCGCTGCCACAATGTGATAAACTGCAACTGAACGAATCTGTGCTGAAGGCCAAGGCGGTCGTCGCATTCCATCGTGGCCAGTACAAGGAGCTGTACCGGCTGCTCGAACATCATCACTTCTCTGCACAGAATCATGCCAAGCTGCAGGCTCTGTGGTTAAAAGGTGAGACAAAAACATCCCTCTCTCCATCTCTCTCTCTCGCTTCAGTCACATCCTCTCTCCATCCATCTTTCTGTTGTACTAACCCGAAATTCTTTCACTGTAGCGCATTATGTGGAAGCCGAAAAACTGCGCGGAAGACCTTTGGGTGCTGTGGGCAAATATCGTGTTCGTCGCAAATTTCCATTGCCCCGCACCATTTGGGATGGCGAGGAGACGAGCTACTGTTTTAAGGTGAGTACACGGCGCACTCAGACACAATTTCCATTTTTGTTGTTGTTTTTTTGCTGCTCCTTTCACTTCTTCTCACTCCTTGCCACAAAATAATTGCGGGCAACACGAAAAATATAAAAAAAGGGGGCACAAAATGAAATCGTAGAAATGTCCGCTTGTCCCTGTTCCCAATGTTCTCTCTCAATGTGGTAAGCAGCAGCGACTACGACAATGAAAACCGGGAGCGGTCACGGCATATACATATCCATCCATATCCATCCATTACATAAGCAGTGCTGGGCAACGCCTTCTTTTTTGCCTGTTCACCTTAGTTTCCTGATTGACACTGTTTACACTTGTGCTTTATCTACGCGGGCTTTCAATTGATTAAAAACGTGTGAATTTATGCCACAATGAATTAAGTGGCATGGGTTAATTAGTGAGCTAGAAAAGTAAGGAAATATAAGTAGTTGAAGTTGATATAATTTGGGAGGTACTGATAATAATTACAGCATTATATCAGCACTTTTTCTTGTTACACTTTATGTTTATAAAATGAATTGCATTACTTAAATTGTTTATTTACTATGTTTATATATGCAATAATTAATGTATTTTAAGCACTCCTGCAGCAAAACTGTATTAAAAAAGAAATAATAAATACGACATCTTTGGCATTTGTCAATTAAGGCAAGGTTTTACTTTTTTGTGTACAAAAATTGCATCAAACCTTTCGAAATGAATACAAAAATCACAATTCAAGTCGATTTTAGGTTCGGAATTATTTTCTAAAATCGATGAACAATAATTTAATACCCTGAACCCATTAAGAATTAGGAATCGAAGAGTATTTTGCGCTTTATAAAATTGTTCAAAATAATATTTCCATTTTTGCTACAAAGTTTTTTTTTTAAATGAATGAGCCTTATGATTTGTATTAACCAGCTTTACACTGGCATTTGTTACACTCAACCGTGTTGTGCCATACTAAAGTGGTATGTTTATATTTGTTTTAGGAGAAATCCCGTTCGGTATTGCGAGATTGGTATGCGCACAATCCGTATCCGTCGCCACGAGAGAAACGCGATCTCGCAGAGGCAACCGGACTGACAACCACCCAGGTGAGTCTCTCATCGAATTATTTGCACTTGAGATGTGACCGATCTTTGATGAAATTTCGCTTGCAATTCTTATGCAAAATTCCGATGGCAGCAAGTTAATTGCATGTCATTAATCATTTTGACATGATGTATTCGTCTATTTATAAATGTGCACATTTCTATTTTACACATTTACAGGTTTCCAATTGGTTCAAGAATCGACGACAAAGAGATCGCGCTGCCGAGCATAAAGAGTAAGTTTCTCTCACATATATATATAAATAAATATATATATATATATATCGATGTATATAGAACATTTATTGTGGTACTTATAATTTTGAATTTATTATGAATTATTTTTGGGTAAGCGTCAACGCGTGCGAAATGAATTAGTATTTATATTCAAATTACAAAAGCGTTTACTTGGCTTATAACAAGGCCAAAATGTGGCTTGTGGGTGGCTGGCCAATTAGTGTCAAGGACACGGCCGCTTTTCACGTGAACGGACGCCACATGTGGATAATGTGAATATATGTATATATATATATATATATATATATATATATAGTATAAATTAATATGGAAATGGAAATATGTCGCTGACAAATTCAAGAACATGTTCTTCTTATTCTCATGTTTGTCGAACACTTTGTTTTCATAGGCGTATTTTCATATGTGTGCCAGACATGGTCAACTAACTAAAACTAATGTACTCCTCTCGATGCGAAAGAACGTTGGATGCTACTCAAAAGAAACATCTGCATTTCCGCTTAAGCAAATAGGACAACAACCAAAATTCTGCGGCCCGTTTTCAGATGCCTGATGATTGCTGATAGGCAACGTTTTTCAAATATTAAACATCCTTTCGGGCATCCTTTTGTTTACTTTCTCCCTCTCTCTCTCTCTCTCTCTCTCACACTCTCTTTCTATCTCTCTCTTTCTCGCCTGGCTGTTAGAAGTCATGTGAAGCGCAAACATGAACAATAAAAAAGAAGAGTGAAATGTGAAATGGGTTTTGAAGTGGCCGAAAGCATGTTGGGCTCGTATCTTTACATTCAAAGAGTTAGCCATTAGGCTAAACGGTATATCAGTTATTCAAAAAGGCAACTTCAAATCACAATTCGCAATTCACAATTCTCGTAGTGCCAGCCACGAAAAAAAAATAAAGTAAAGTTAAAACAATAATAACAACGAAAAATTGTCGTAATAAAAATAAAAATTGGCCGCCGTAGCAACCGCAATGCACACACACACACACATATATATACACACACACACATACACACACACATACACACACACACACGCACACACACACGCACACTTGGCTACAGATATGCAGCTGACAAAAGTATCTCACAGATACTTGTGCATATATCTATGTATGTGCATATACTTGATATAGGCTGGCAGTATCTACGGTAGTTTGCACTACGTATGTAGCTCGTCCTCACTGCTTTTCATTTTATTATTATTGTTGTTGTTGTTGCTGTTGTTGTTGTTGCTGTTGTTGTTGTTTCTGGTAACCTGATATATGTTTATGGCTCTGTTGCCGCGTCGGGCAGCAGCAGCAGCAGCAGCAGCAACGGCAACGGCCCAACTCAGCGCTGCTACTTTAACTTTTCATATATAGTAGTTTATTGTTATTGTTGTTTTGGTTTTGGTTTGTGTATGTGCAGCACAGAGACGCGTCCCTACACTCAACAAAATATATAGATGATTTATAGTTAGAGCATAGTTTATAATATATTATATATTACAGTTTCCAAAAATTGAGTATCAAAAATATCAAATTTCTATATTCCAGTAGTAAGTTAAAAATGGAAAGATATTAAAAAGAAATGCTATAAATTTTTATTTCTATCGAAAGTTTATGCAAATTCATTTCTACTCCCCATAAATAAGATACCGAAAAGCGTTTCCAAAAGCTGATAATATGAAAGATACTTTTTTGATTGTTGACTTAATTGGTTCATTTTGACAATTTAGAAAAAGAAATATCAGTTTTCTCTCAGTGCATGTACACACTAGACTATTTCTACGTATAGTGTTCCTTTTGGATAGAAATGGAAATGGAGAAAAGTTTTGCTGATGAGATCTGAGCCAATATATTTAATTTGCACCTCAAACAAATGTTTCGACAAAGTATCCTTTCAATAACGAGGTTGCACATATCACATATTTATATATCGGATGAATGTTTGCAAGCAGTTAACAATTTTATAAAAATATTTAAAGTTGGTTTATCAACCATTGCTTTTTTATAAACTTAAAAGAGAAATATATAATTTTAAAATCCAAAGATCGTTTTAGTTGAAGACAACGGATAATGCCATTCGCATATAGTCAACGGCAGAGGATATGGCCGTTATAATGATGCGATAACGATCGATCTGCATGGTGACAAAGAGTATATACTTCTTGTTGGTGACCTGGAAGTGCCACAAGTGCGATGCGTTGCCAATTAGATCCCACTTCGTCGGGAAGACTACATTCCAATGCTTCTCCCCAATGTACTGGAACATCGCATAGTAGACTGCCATGACCATAACGGGATATAGAATGGGTAGCAGTATGAAGAAGAGCAGGCCGCACGTATAAACGCATTTGAGTAGCGTCGGAAATGGTAACTGCTGCAGCCAAATATCGAACAGGTGCTCCACCAGAGGTTGCATATAGTGGACCAAGCGACCCGACCACGAAACATTTGCCCACTAGCCAGAATGAGAGAGTGAGAGAGATGGAGAGATGGGAAGAGCGAGAGATGAGAGATGAGAGTAGGGCCCTCCAATGTGTGGGTGTCTTTTGAGCTTACAACTTTCCGCTTGTGCAGTGGCTTTTTCCACGTCTTGTGCATTTTTCTTTTTCTATTTGTTTTTTCCAACAATATGTCAAATTTGGATCGTCGAAACTTTTCTAAATGCCTACTGTAAATGCACAAACTTGGCCAAAACTAAACCGATTATAATCATGATTTTACCTCAAGATTAATGCTACATTGGAAAACTTTAGTTTTTATCGAATTTAATGTTATAATTGTAAATTAGGCAGTGCAAAAACGTTGCCTTATTTGAGAGGATGAATTCGGCAAGTTAACTTTGACTGAATAACACAACATTTGTGTCATCAAATGAAAATGTTCAATTTGACTGCCATTATATTCTTAATCGATTGACAGTTGAGTAGAATCACGATTCCAGGATTCCAATTCAAGGCACACCTTCGTCATAGTTTTGATTATGCTCCACAGCACAACACAAGACAACACAATAACAACAATGAGCAGAACCAGCAGCAGCAGCCGATCAAAAAAACCTTAAAACTACATCAAATGCGAGAAGAGTTCCAGGTTCCAGTGCCAATCCCCCTCCCCGTTTTCAGTCTATCCGATGTTCATTTCACTAAAATGTGTGTGCTTGCGAGACTGTGTGTGTGTGTGTGTTGTGTATGTGTGTGAGTGTGTGTCGAACTCTCGGGCAGCTCTTGGGCTCATCGTTTTGCGTTTACGTTCGCCGTTCGTCGAATGCCACGGTTGGCTGGAGGGTAGCTGGAAAGAGTATCAAGTTACCATCACAAAATGTGCGTGTGTTCTTTATTCGTTCGCCTCAGCGCCGTCGTCGCCGTCGCTGTTGTTGTTGTTGCTGTCGCCGACGCTGACGTTGACGTCGCTTCGTTATTCATTTTTATTCGTTTTATTGTACATTCTGTTTTTATTATTATGTATTTTGCGCTTTTGCCCGTCGCAGTCTCTGTCTCCGTCTCTGTCTCTCGCTTTTGTGATTGTGTTTGCTGTCTTCCATATATATACTCACTCACATACACACACGCACACACACACACGTTCCTCAATATGGGTCTGTGTTCCCGTTTGCTGGAGTTCCGTGACGCATTTAAGGCAGTTTTGAGTTGTATTTTTTTTTTTGCTGCCACTGATGGCGTTGATAATGATGTCGTTGGTGATGATGGACCGGTATGGAACTGAGACCTCAATCGAAGGGTGTCTCATGCATGTGGGGTACACTACTCATCGGGTGGGCCCCCGATGTCAAGTGATTTACTTGGAACTATAATTAGAAATCGTTGTGTGTGCACCTCATCGCAACTCCATGTGGCTAAAGCACATGCGTCTATAGCAAAGGTTGGCTCTTAATTGCCCCACCCCATTCAAGTTGTTCCCCTTTTGCTCTCGCTCTGTCTCTCTCTCTCGTTCTATCGGGACTGACACATTTTTCTCAATGGCAGCGCTTCAATTTCTAGGGTTTCACTTGGACTCCTCTTTGGGGAACAAGTTGAAGTTCGCCTCTGAGTAGGCAATGGCACAAATGCCATAAGCTGCTTAGGGTCTTAAAAAAGTGTTAAGGCTTACTTATAAAACTGGAGAGCAACAACAATAACAAGTTCATTGGTCAAGTGGCAGACCCTGAACAATCAACAATTTCTATCTGACAATGAAGTGAAAGATGAAACTATTATTAAAGGTGAACTTATTTATTATGGAGACAGTAAAATACAATGACTTCTGCAGAAGTTGTTAGGATTAGTAATTCTGACAGTCTTTCCTAACTTTACTACCAATGCCATCAATGTTTCCCGCAATTCACAATTCACTCATTATCAAGTTGATTCTTATTATCTAACCCAAGCTCCCTGCAATAATAATCAGAGAACAGTGATTATCAAGATAATATTCCATGATCACATAAGATGCCCACATCAGCTGTTTACAGATGAACAAGAGTCAAAACAAATCGAAGAATAAAATCTAGAGTCAGTAAGGATAAGGGGACTGAGGGGTTAAGTGTGTCCCTAGTCAGAACGACACATCATATGGTAGATGTGTGCAGGATTTCCAAGAAATTCCATTGCTAATAAAAATTATAAGCCAATAAATCGTAAAAACAAATAAACATACACACAAACACACACAAACACATACACACACACACATAAAAATGAAACGCTGTTTCAAAAAAAAAGAAGAGAAAAAACACTAAACCCCAAGAAGTCCAAGATGAGCTGGGGATCACGATCGATCGAAGTGCAAGGAGCGGGATGAGCGGGGGCAACCAAAGCGAACAGGTTGAGTTATCGCATTGCGCGATCGGTACACAAATCTCGAGACGTGTGCGCAGCAGGACACCCAACTAAACGGTGACCGTACCAGCGACAGAGCGAGACAGAAAGATAGAGAGAGAGAGAGATGGGGAGAGATAGAGAGAAGAATCTGAAAAGGTGTTGATCATAAATTATCATTTAATTTACGCATGTGTGTGGTGTTGTTATTGTTGTTGTTGTTGTTGTAGAGGTTGTTGGTGGTGCGGGCTTGAGACAGACCTCGAGACTTGGGTACCTCGAAGCTTCGACTTCATCTAGTTGGAGTTGTAGTTGTAGTTGCAGTTGTAGTAGAGTTGTCCCTAAGCATTGTCCCATTGTCTACAACTATGTTTCGCTTTCGGTTTCGGTTTCGGTTTCAGTTTCGGTTTCGAGTATGTAGATCTTAACGATTAACAACAGCAACAACAACAGCAACAACAATAACAACAACAAAACCACATCGTTCCCATCGTTATAAAATATTTTATCTTATGGTTTGTTGGCGTGTGGCGCATTTTATGGCTGCGCTTTGTTTTGACAGTTTTTTAATAATTTTGTTGCCTTTTAATTGCATGCCACAGCTGAGATCGCTATCCGCTTAGATGCCAGTGTTTCCCTTTAAAGTGTTGAACAGCTGAAATATTTTTTGGGATTCTGTTGTTTGTTTTTTTTTCCAAAGAGGAAGGAGCAAACTTCATATTTTTGTAAGCCATAATTTAGCTAGCAATAATTTGTAAGGCATTTTGTTTTGCTTCTTAAAAATATTAGATAACATTTATTGCTATTTGAATTTGTTATCTTCACAATCTAACTTATCTCAGCCATCTTTCTATATGATCACCAACCCTTTCTATTCCAATCGCTTTCGCAGTTGGCCAAGTTCAAGTCAAGCCCCAACATAATCCGATCATGCATTATTGCCAAGCTAATGAATCTGCTTAATGCAGCTCCAGTAAACAACAACACCAACAACAACAACGTTGACAAAAGTCGCTTAAAAACTACAAAAAATCAATTGAGCAAACAAGTAAAAATTAATTCCTCATCAATGAGCAGACCCCAAAAAAAAAGACACCCAGAACAACTTTCCAGACGGGACCACACGCACACATACACACAAGGTACCCAAAGTCTTGGTCAAGTAGACTTTTTAGTTGTTGTTGTCATATTTTATATAAAGAAATATATATGTATTTAACTCTATGTGACAATCATGTATTGAGGGATTGTCCTTGGGGCGCAGCTACCGCGAAGGCAGCTTACTTCTGCTTATGGATATATATAAAAGTTGAATGTGTGCATTTATATCATAATGCAAGCAGAGTCAAAATTCTCCTATATATACACTTAGCAAAATATATGTTATTTATTGAGTCAGTCTTAAATGTTGTTAGAAAGTTGTTCAACATTTCTTCGCTAAACTCATCTGTATTTTCTTTTTTTTAAAGTAAATCTTAAAGAAAATTATGTTCATTTTTGGAGTATCTATTTGCGAAAAGTGTATTTCGTAAATTTAGAAATTATTAAGACGAAAGAAACAAATATTATTTCTGATATTCATTGCGGTTTTTTATCATTTTTTTTTTTTGAGTGTAGGGATATAAAAGTAGGCGCTGTCTCAATCTTCTTCCCTACCTTTCTACCGCCCTCTCTCTCTCTCTCTCTCTCTCTCTCTGTCTCTTTCTCTCTGCTGTCTCTTTCTCTCTGCTGTCTCTGTGGCCGTGTTAATAAGTGTTGCATTGAGCCAAAGACAGCAGCGAGCAAAGCCAACAACTATGAAATTCTGGTAATTTGATATCATTGTTTATATGCTGCTGCCTTTTGTTTGCTCCCCACTTTTGCTCGGCTCGGTGGATGGCTGGTTGACTGGATAGCGCTGGAGGGCCATTGCCAGGGACAGGAACAGGGACAGAGACAGCGACTGCGGGGGGACAGTGAGGGGGATGGGCATGGCTGCCATTTCTCATTTTGAGGTTAGCTCAGTGTTTGCTCAGCCTGTTTGCATAGAGATCTGTGTTTGTACTATATTTTTTGGGTGGGTTTCCTTCCTCCTTTTGGGCCATTATCGATTTTGTTTAGCCACAAACAAATAGCAATTGACAGCTCTTTAAAGTGTTTCTCTTACTAAACTCAACATTAAAGCTTAATGGCCAAATCGATTCAATATTTCATGGCTACACTTTCAGTACCCTTATTAATTGCTCATTTCTCGACATTTTATAGATCGAACAAGATAAATGAGGCCTCTCCTTCATTTTCTAAAATGAACTTAACATTTTTCTCGCATTTTTCTATTCGCTGTTCTGCGAATAGAAGAATAAGGAGAAATACCTAAATAGTACAAGATTAGTTTTTCATCACTTTACTTTGAATAGTTGACACACTCTGCAACCAATTGTGGTAAGGCATGCCACCCAAAGAATCTGCCAAGTGTTTTTTCTTGTCACCAGAGATCCGCGGATCCATACCGGCTGCACAAGAAGCCAATTGGACAGCATGGCAATTATGAAGCGCTGACTGCAAGTGGCTGACTACAAAATGGATTGCATGGCATGGCGATGAATATGGAGATGGCGAGTAGAATCTACAATTACAAGCAGAACAGCTGCTTGCCACGAGAGTCGAGAATCGAGAGATGCCGGCATGTCTGCGATTGCGATTGCGATTGCATCGACTACGACTGCGCCGTATGTGGCATCGTATCTGAATCTGTAGCTGTAGCTGTAGCTTTGGCTTTGGCTTTGGATCTGTGCAACTGGATTTGCAGGCATAGCTCGAATTGCGCGCAAGTCAGCAAATAACTTGGCAAAGGAGGGGTGGGAAAAGGAGGCGGAAAGCGGAGGAGACTGTTAAGGCCAGCAATCTGGCTGATCGTTTCCAATGATCTCTGGCTACAAATTTGTCGAGTGTGCGCTTAAATGTTCTTGTTTTTTTCTTCTTGTACTTTTTTTTTTTCTTTTTTAAGCATTGGCCCTGGAACCCTTGTCGCCTGCTTGTCGATGTCGTTGTCATCAATTTTGTTGCTCGAAACTGGTTTCTGCAATTGGGATTCGCAGCAAAGATTCTGATTAAAAGAGAAACACACTTGGGCATCGATAATGCCAGTCGCTCGAATTTCAAATGCACGCCTCGCTCTGCTTATCGCCAAGGCACTGAATTAGCCATTAAAATGTCAGAACAGTTTAGCACTAACAAATTGAAAGAACACGAACAACAAACACACTCACACACACACACACACATACAGTTATACAAACATATTGCTGTGTGTTTCAATTCCCAAACGGTGTCTGGAATTGGGCCAGTGTGAGCGGGAGAGAGAAAGAGAGCGACTTGCTGCCACCCTCAACGACAAACGGTGGCGATAAAAACGACACTTGAAAGTCATTTACAGAATCAGCCGCAAATAATAAAAGTCAAGCTGCTTAACTTTTTGATCAGAGGTGCGAGCGAGCACGAAATACAAACGAAAGGCGCAAACACACACACACACAGACAGCGAGAGAGAGAGAGAGAGATAGAGCGCAGCTCAAATAACTGAAATCAGATGCGACGTCGGTCTTGGGGGAATGCACTGAGCTGCTGCTGCTCCTGCTCGACCCTCTCTATCTCTCTCTCTCTCTCTCTCTTTCTCATTCAGTCTGTTGTTTGTTTACGTATGCGCGTGTGAGTGGGGGGTGGGGGGTATGTGGTATGCTGACACCTTTCGTGCGTGCTGTCTTGCTCTAGCAAAGGGCTCCTCGAACATGAAACTGAAACCATTTATAGAAATGCCTATCGCTGAGAGAGTAAAAATATTCAAGCAGACAATTTCCTTCCGGTTTTATTTTCAATTGCCCAAACTGTCATTTGTCATTTGTTTATAAATATAACACATATAACTGATGTACATTGTTGTTGTTGTTGTTGTTGTTGCTGCTGTTTTTGTTGTGGTTGCTGCGCACAGTAAATTAGTTACAGCAATTGACACATTTTTATTTAAACGATGCTGACAACTCAAACATCTGTTGTGCGAGGCAAACAGACAGACAAACAGACAGACAGACAGACAAACCGTGGGGACTAGTCTAAGAGCGTAAGGATTGCTGCAATGAATATAAACAGCAGCAGCAACATTATGTCATTATTTTGTTGTTGTTTTGCGATGGCAAATGATGTGGATGCACTCGCAAAAATATGATTTAGAATTTATATAGAGAATGCATCTTTAAGATACGTTTTTGTCTCCTCAACCAGCTGAATCACTTCTACGCTCTGCGTCGTATTTTTTAAGAGTTTGGCAACAAATACTATACAAAAACATATTTAACAATTCTACAAGCTATGAATTTTACTACAGTGTTGCCTCGCATAAATAAGCAATATCGTAATTCTGCTAGAAATCATATTTTTAATATTTTACATTATTATATACCATAAATATTTCTTCAACAACTTGATCATTCCTTCATTTATAACTTAGGAAATTCCCAATTTCGGAGAGATTACTGTATTTTGATCTTATTATAATTGAAATATATAAAAATCTTTATAATTTTAGTGGCTCGACGGACAAACAACATTTGGACTCGTCCAGCGATTCTGAAATGGAGGGCAACATGCTGTCCAGTCACAGCGCACAACAGCAGCAACAGCAGCAGCAGCAGCAGCAGCAACAACAACAACAACACTCAGCCGCCACGCATCACTCGCATCACTCACAGCAGCAGCAGCAGCAATCGCCCAGCAGCAGCAGTAACAACAACAACAACAATAGCAATGGCAACAGCAACAGCTTGCATCAACATCAGCACCAGCAACTGCAACATGTTACAAACGCTGAGCAAAGCCTGCAACAACAACACCATCAACAACAACAACAGCAACAACAACAAGCAGCAGCAGCAGCAGCCGCAGCGGCAGCAGCCAGCAAAAGCAGCGCCGCAGCGGCTGCCGTTGCTGTTGCCGCCTCCCAAATGCCGCCCCTCTCCGCCGCCGTTGCCTATTCGCATTTGCATAGCGTGATGGGCACCATGCCCATGTATGATATGGGCGAATACCAGCACTTATGATTCTAGTTGGAGGCTGCTGCTGCCGCCAGCAACAACAACAGCAACAGCAACAACAACAGTAACAGCAACAGCAGCAGCAGCAGCAACAACTTGGCCTGCGACTGGCCAGCAATGTTGCGTCCACGCCAGCAGCGCAGTCAGCAACAACAGCAGCACCAGCAGCAGCTGCGGCATCCGGAAAACTTTTACTTTTAAAGGAGGAGCGAGCATTCTCGAAATTATTTCAATAATTAATCATCGAATTAGCAGCACTTCGCATTTTTACAATAACAGCGAGACAGACATAAAGAGACAGAGAAGAGACAGCAGAGAGAGAGAGAGAGAGAAAGGGAGAGAAAAAGAGAGAGCACAACGGAAGCGAAAGAGAATATTGCAGCATAATCCACTTCATGTTCAATTCTCACTTAGTAAAAATAAATAACTTCATTGATCTGTGTAAATAGCTAGGCTTTAGTTTTTAGAGCGGTCGGGTTTTGGGAACGGAGCTGAGCATCTATTAATGGATGGCATGGGCATGTTGGATGTATAGATTGATTGATTGATTGGATGGATTGGCCGTCCACTGCTCAACCGCAAAATGCAAAAAATCAAATCGAAATGTGCAAAAATTATAAATATTTAAATTTAAATTCTATTAAATTATTTTCAATGTAATTATATTTATTATTCTTAAATTTATATATATATATATATATATAAATATATATATGAAAAATATAAATATCTACAATTTAAAAGAACTGTTACTTAATATTGATTGATTTCAAAAATGACTGACTATGCTTAATAATCGAAAATATTTGGAAATGATAAGTAGAGAGAGAGAGACAGACAGAGAGTGAGAGTGAGACAGATGCCTTCAGCAAGAAGCTGGATCATAGTCTGAAGGAGTTCTTCTCATTTGCAAGAAATGAGGATACACGAACAGAGGCGCATGGCTATATCGAATCGGCTAGTCATGTTGCTTAAAAATGCATACCTTATTGAATCGGAGACGTCTTCCTCAATGCCACGAGAGAATTACGAAGGTATAAAACCTACTCATGAGTAAATCATTATTGTAACATTAAAGTTTTCCCACATATTTGATCTGTTGATCTGATTGTTTAGATTTGTGTGTTGCACACCCATTAGCCAAATCTGACCACAACAACAGCAGTGGCAGCAGCAGAAGTGAGCAGACCGCACTAATCCGCGGCGACAGGTAAACCCGCTAATGCTAATAGCCACGGATAATGGGTCTCGTCGCTGCTCGTCTTTGGCGCGTGCGTCTCGTCTCACGCACACTTGCCGCACTTGCCACACACACACACACGCCCATCTCTCACTCAGCCTCAGCTCGGTCGCGACGCGTGTAATGAGCATGTTAATGGCACCAAATGTCTGACCCTTCCACTCACCACCCGGCAACCTGGTCTCGACTGGAGGGCGGCGCTTGGCAACCAGGATGTTGCCATGGCTTGTCGTCGTCTGCATTGAGGGTGGCTGCTGTCTGACTGGCTGGCTGTCTGACTTCTCACAAGCTCGGCACGCTCTCATTGATTTGCTGATTGCTATTGTTGCAGACTCCGGCAAGCATCCATCCCATCCACCCCGCCCTGTTGGCCGGACAACCAACCCACAACGCACACACGTGTCTGACTGAGAGACGGTGTCTCTGATTGAGGCCGCCTATCCGGTTACACAATATTTTGACTTCTTTTTATCTTGCGTCCCATATTGTCGATAATTTAATTAACGGCCTTAAATTGTTACATTTTTATACAAAAAAAAAAAAACATATTTCAGGTTATTATTTAATTAACATGAAAATTGAAAATTCAATATTGAAAATTACGAAAATAAAGCAAATATTCTTCTTTATTTATTTAAAATTTGTAAAAAAAAAAGGTGTCATGGAGTTGATCCATAAAAAACATATGAGAGTAGCGAAATGCGATCAAAGCCGAATTCCAAACAATTCACTCGCCGACAGCAGCTTTTGATTGTTGCCTCTTCATTTTTTATTCACTCAAAAAAATAGTACAAAAAATATAGAAGCTTTACAAACGAAGCAACAAGAATAATGTTGCCAGCAATTTCCCATAAACACAACTAAACAATGAATATAAAAATATAATGTTTAAATATGTGAAATGAACACAATTTAGATGTGATTATTGTTGCGTGTCTCAATTTTAGTTGTTTAGTTAAGCGCATAATGAGACGGCTGCTTATAATTGTGTTTTAATTGATATTTTGCAAGTAAAGGATCAAGGATCACTCTAGTTGCACCCAGCAGTTGCAGCAACAAAGCCTTGCGTTGCTCAGTTTGCCTTGCCTACAATAATTTGGAGTTGTTCTACTGTTTTCTTTGTTTTCGCCTTGACGGCTGGTGAGCAGTTTCCACGAAAGTGATAATATAATGGGATTACGACTAAACGATGTACAAAGCAGAATACAGACACATGTGTAAAATGGAAAACTGAATGAGAATCTGTGAATTGACACAAAGGGGATTAGGGGTGCATAGAAATTGTGGCTTGCTCTCCTAATCTGTCACAGCGTCTGCGTCTAACAAAAAGCCGTTTACATCTCAAATTTGAAAAGGATTTATTTTTATTTTAATATAAATATACAAAAAATAATGCAAGCTAAAATATCATTTGCGTGATCGCCGTGAACTTTGGGTTTTCCTAGATGGCGCTGCTAGCTCCTCCTCATCTTCGGAGTCTTCGCTCGCGCTGGACGAGAGGGCTGCAATCTTGCGACGCTGTTGCTTTGAATGTGCGGCCGGACGAGCCGGAGACTCATCGCTTTCGGAGGCACTGGTCTCCACCTCCTCCTCCTCCTCGGAGCTGCTCTCCTTTCGCACATTTCGTCCACGTCGGGTGTTGTTGGCGGCGACTTTGACTGATTGGCGTCCACGTTGCTGTTTCGCAGCCGGTTTTCCGCCTTTCTTCGTTTTGGTGGCACGCTGAGATCCAGGCTGAGATCCTTCGGCGGGTTGATTACCGTTCGGTTCGGTGACTTGAAGGCATTCGTTTAAGCGAGTCTCAAACTCGGTGACAACTGCCTTCAGTTCGGGCTTGGCTAGCTTGGAAGTGTTGCTAATGATCAGCTTGAAGGACTGATAGACCTCGTCCACCTGCACCTTGTCCCGGAAATGTTGCACATTATCAATGAGCTTGTTGATGGATCTCTCATTGTAGGTGAGCAGCCCGAGACAGTAGGCAATGTCGCGCCATTGGCGCTCAACGCGAGTGACCGGAAAGCGGAGGCAGAGTTTCTCCACTAGGGTCTCGATCTGGCGATCCTTCTGTATGAGTCCCAGGATGTAGCGCATAATGGTACGATATTTCTCCTCTTCCAGTTGCAAATTGATGTCGCCCAACTTGGATATAATGTCGGGCAGTACGTTATACAATATATTCGATTTGTTGGCAATCTCCTTGAAAAACTGTTTGGTTATATTCTTAATCTCGTCGCTCTCATCGACAATGCACACAGCGATATCGGCTATCTGTCCCTTGACGCGTATCATTTCGTGCAGGATGAGATGGGAGAGCATCTTTACGGCTGTCAATCGCAACTCGGTATCACTCTCATACATCTGGGCATAAAAGTGCCCCGTCCAAGCCTCTATGATGTTTGGAAAACGGAATGTGAGATCTGATAGACCCACAACCGTATTGCATTTGATCTTCAAATTTTTGGTCAAGTTCAGGATGTTCATGAGGAAGGACATGTTCGTCTCGCAGAACTTGGACGAGACGGTCATCAGGCGCGCCAGCGTCAATGTGGCTGCCTGCTGCAGCTGCTGATCACGATACTCTCCCGGCCGCTTGCATATATCAATGATAATTGGATAGACTTTGGACATTAGGGCATTTGGTTCATACAGCAGCATGTCCTCGCATATGGCATTAATATCCTCGGCAATGTTATCCTCAGCCGTTGCACCCACTAAATCATCATCTGGCTCCTGTTGCGGTTCGGCAGCAACTCCGGATAGACGCTTCCGCGCCTCCATCGCTGAGACATTCACAGTTTGTCGGCGGTGTGCACTGATCGCATTCTTTGTGTTCTTCTTCTCCTCGAGGGCCGTCAGCTCCTCGCGAAATTTCATGTTATTGTAGACATCCATGTCCAGAAATATCATCTCCTTGATGATCATGAAGCCAATGCAGAACACAAACCGTGAAACCAAATAAACAGGCATTTTCGGAGGTGGACCATCAGCGTCATTGGACTGCGTCTGTGTCTGCGTCTGAGGCAATTCTTGGGAGTGGGGTATATCAGTGCCCTGTGTGGGCGGCGCGGACTCCTCCGTAGCTGCTGCCGACCGCACCAGCCAGTCATCATTGAAGCGCCTAATCAGCTCCATCGCAATATTTCCGGCGAGCACATCGGGCGCCTGGCAGATGCGATAGTAATACTCGAACACGCTCATCGCCAGTGCATCAAAGTCCGGCACTTGGGGATGAAAGAAGAACTGCAGGAATAGATTCGTTATTTGCTGCACAAATTTTGAATTGGTCGCGCAACGCTTATAATATTTGTTGTTGTAGTTGGCATCGATGCAGTTAACCAGCAGTTGCAGGCAGCTGGTAAAGATGCGCGGATCCTGTTCAGCACGCTCTCCCGTCGCAATGTCTTCGATGAGGACACGATTTGCCGATGCAATCGTTGACTTCGTCTGCGATGCCATAATTAAGAGCTGCAGTGCGAGCCGAGACTCATTTTTTGTGGTGCCCTCCAGTTTAAGGGTGAAGCGTTCGAAAAGCACCTGAATGATGAGCGCATCGATATCTTCGCTGCCCACCCATTCACCCATCAGTGTTTCCATGGCCGTATAATGGCCATACTCGACTTCGGACAGGAACTTGGACAGATTCTTCACCACCTTGATGGCGTGCGCCCGTCCCGTGGTGTCTGTGGTGAAGAGCACCTTGCGATATGCATTACAGACGGCATCACGTTTCTCCTTGTCCGATGACCACACCAGATTCAACATACGCTGCATGCCCACATCGGTGCCGCGTATGCCAAACAGGTAGCCCGTCGTAAAGAGATCCACGGCCTCGAAGACGTCCGTATTCGTTTTGGATAGCAACATTTCGAGCATCTTTGGCATTGCCGATGTAGCCACATGCGTGAACTCAATGCTATCCTTAAGAAATTCAACAGTTTTGATTTGCTGCAGCATTTTCTCGCCCTACAAATAAATGAAGAGCAAATTAGATCAATTGCATTACTGATAAAATGCCGCATTTACTCACACTATCAATGCAGCCATTGGCTAGGGATAGAAATGTCTTAAATAGACCCAAATGATAGACACAAGCCTCATCAGGCTTCAACAATCGACTGTGTGTAAAGAATGAAGAAAGTAATTACATATTTTGTTCAATTAGTGTATTTCATAATTGTTACCCACCTCAATTCTTGATTACCCATTACATAGTCTGCCTTGCGCACCAGCACTGTTGCCTCCTTGTACTTCTTTTCCAACAGCACCGGCAAAATCTTATGCACCAGCTGCTCGTATTCCTCCTCCTTATCAAATTGCATTTCGGGAACTGAAGCGAAATAAGCATTTATAAAATACACAGTAAATTTAATTCAACATATATAAGGAATACTCACAGTCTCTTAGGTTTTCCTCAATAATGGGTATCAGCTCCGGCGTTATGGATTCCCATTGTTCGTTAAAATCTTCCGCCTTCTTGCGTTCATCGGCTATCACATCGTCCAACTGTTTCATCACTTCCACTTCAGTCTCGTGCTTTTTCATTAGCTCCTCAAGCGTTAGCTTGCCCGAATACGGATTGTTTTCAAGAAATGCTTTGATCAGTTGTATGGCCGATTTGCGCACCATGGAGCTCTTATCCTCCAGCCGGCAGACGGCCTCGCGCAGAACTTTGATCAGATAGGTGAGTGGAATGGCGTGCTGCTCCTTCATGTGATGCCAGATGTGCAATACCTTAGAGCGCACATGTGCCGATATATCGTTGATGTGGTCCAACAAATTGTTGAGAAACTCATCGCGTGCCTCCTTCATGTCATCACTAAGATCCTCGGAAGTCAGCTCACTAACAACCGCATCGCCCATGATCTGCAGCACACAGTTGCGCAGAACGTGCGACTCGCAGTTAAGCAGTTCGTCGCCCAGCTTGGACAGATGCGGTATCATCAACTTGGGTGCAATCAACGAGAATTCGGAGAGAAAATTTGAGAAGTTTCGCGACACTGTCGTATCCGATGTGTCCATCGTGAGGGCATCCGCGATATCTTTCATCAGTATGGAGAAAACTGTTGTAATGCCATATTCCTCATAGAGCAGCAAAATCCCATTCGCCACGGCAGTTGCAGCATGCTCCGTGCTTCGCAGAATTTGAAGAATACGGGCCGGGAATGTGATGGCATGATTATATCGTTTGATGGCGAGGCCAAAAATTTGAAAGAGTGTATCAATAATATGACGATTCTCCGATCTAGGCTGTACCACTTCCAAAGTACGATAGCAAATATCACACATCAAGCTATAATCGGGAAAGTTATAAGCGGGTCAAAATCATAAATCAAAATCTGATCAATTACAACTACTTACGTTACAAAAGTTTCCTCGACAACGGGCGGACTCCAGAGCTTCTCCAGCGGACACTGCATAACATTGTAGAGTTGCACCAAAAACTTGCTACGCTTTACCTCCCAATCGGGATACTGTTCCAGGACCTCAGCTTGTTTTGCGCGTTTCTTCTGCTGATTTAGCTTCTGATCTCGCAGCACTTGCTGAACTATGACATCGATGCGCTTAACCGTATTGACGAACAGATACAGTGTCATTTTGGTCAGATTCAAATAGCGTCCACGATCCTGTGACGAGGGTGACTCTGCCGCAGTCAACAGCGGCGTTAGCTGACCGCCCAATATGTCCACTGTCAAATAAAGAAGATCGAACGCGCGCATAAGATTGCGTATGGCAGCGCCATCGTTGGCTGACTGTTCTATTATTGAATAGTAGACATCAAAGTGTTCGAATATGTAGAACGGATCACGCTGATGTACTTTACTTTTACATGCTGCAAATAGTAAATAATTAAAATTGTATCTTTACTATTACTGTACTCGGTTTGAATTGCAGGCGCGCAACAAATATATGTGTTCACTTACCAACTAATTGATCTGGTATTTCGGTCGGGGTGTATACCTGTTGTACATAGAACTGATCACCTCGTGAATTGAGCAAATCATTGTTTTTTTCGGGCAAAATAAATTGAAAATCGTGCGTTTCTGACATTTTTGAACCGTTTGATTGAATAGTGACGCTTGTTCTTCTTGATTGTAGAGATGGAAGCCGCTAAATTATATAAATCAGTCTGGCAACGCTGCTCATCGATAGCAGCGATAGTGATGACAGAAACCGATTAATATTATATCGGAAAGTATATTGCACGGTGTATTGCACGCACACGTTGTTTAGGAGATTTAATTGAATTTCAATACAGAAGACTATCATGGAGACGGATAACCATGCTAAACGTAAAAGGCCCAAGAAGAAGGGAAGTCGATTTATGCGCAATGCCAAGGGCTTTGCCAAACAAGGCATTTTTGGTCGCGGCACCCACATAGACGATGAGCAATTCGGCTATTTCATAAACATCTTGGATGCCATGAAGGCCGGACTCGAAGATGTGGAGGAGCGTGGTAAGTTCTTGCCTCGCTGTTGCTCAATGTGATGTGTGATCTGGCAATTTATATGCTATTTTAGTCAACATGGCGAACAATGTATTCGAGCAGACAACGGATCAGGAAATTCACTTGGCCTCCAATCAAATTGTCTCCAAGGCACTGGAGTCTCTCATTGGTTTCGTGGACGATGTGCAACTTGAACGTTTCTTTGGTAAATTCGGCGACAACCTGCGTCCTATGTGCTCCGATCGTTTTGCCTCCCATGTGCTGCAAAAAATGCTAGAAATTGCCTTCTTACGGGGATTGGGACAGACAGCAGCGCTGGAACAGTCAGATGGCGATAATTCCATCACGGCGAAGCGTGCCAAACCGGATGCTGCACAAATCGAGGAGCAGTACAATCTAGAGACCGAGTTCAGTGATGCACACCGTGAACAGTGCCGGCAATTTGTGCTACGCATATCGAAATTCATGCTCAACAATCTGGAGGATTTTGTGTGGGATGCATGCGCAACTCATATTATGCGGACGGCTATACTCTGCCTGGTTGGCATGCATGTGCCCAAGATTGCCTTCGAAAAGGGAGGAGCTGAACTGGCCAAGCATCGACGGCTCTACGCGGTGCCGGAGGAATGGCATGAAATCATGAAGGAGTTTCCACAGCGCCTAGAAATGTGGCCACAGTTCGTCGACTTTCCCTACCAGGAGCACTCGTCCGCCCTACTGGGTGTTATATGTCTATCGCTTAGCGTGGTCGACAAGAGCATGCTGAAGCATTTTGGCAAGAAAATCTTAATGCAGAGTTTGCTCAAACCCAATGATAATGACAATGATGACAAGTCGAAGGAGACGAAAATTGAAATTAAAGACGAGGATGATGAGGATGAGGATGTGGCAACCGAAAAACCAGATGAAGACGATGCTGAACCCGAATCCAAACCAGAGGTGGTGCTCCCAAAAGTCTTTCACTATCAGTGTGCCGTCATATTGCTGGAGACTCTCCTGAGCGTTGCTGGTGCCAAGCTGCTGACCCAGCTCTATGCCATGCTGTTTAGCGGACGCATTGGCCACTTGGCCCAGCAGCAGCAAACCAATTTTGCCGTCCAGCGTCTGCTGCAGCACCTGAAAGAGGTGCCCGACTTTGAGTCCGTCTTCACAGAGTTGCAGCCACACATCGAGCAGCTGCTTAAAATGGGCTACACTGGCGTTGTGTCCGCCCTGAGCGCCGCCTGTCTGCGTCTGGGAGCCAAGCAGGCACAAATGATTGCCGCACTACAGACGGCTTTACATGTGTCGGGCGACAAGGAAAAATCCAAGCTTTTCTTCAACTGTCTGATTAAATTAAAGCCGCATGAGCTGCTCGCCGGCGATGATTCGGGCTTTGTGCATCTGCATGGCTCGCTGATGGTCCAGCATCTGCTCCAATTCAACAAGCCCATCTATTTGGTCAATTGCATTCTGGATTTGCCCGCTGTGCAGCTGGCACAGATCTTTAACACACCAAATGGCTCGCACATTGTCGATGCATTCTTGCAGAGCAAATATATTGGCGAGAAATCACGTGAGCGTCTCATCCGCCAGTTGGATGGCTTTTATGTTGATCTCGCCATCACCCGGCATGGTTCACGCGTTCTCGAGCAGTGCTTCAAGGCGGCGCAAGAGGCGCACAAGCTGCACATTGCCAAGGAGCTGAGCACCAAAGCCAACATGATGAAGGGCTCACCCTTTGGCCGACTCATCTACACAAAGTATCGTTTGGATACCTACAAATTGTCGCCCAGTCAGTGGCTGACCAGTCTGGGAAAACAGGAGGAGGATAAGAAAACAGAGCACTCGAAAAAACGTCCAGCGAAGACAGCAAATGAATTGTTTAAGGATATTCTTAGTTAGCGTGTCGGATCTACCCTAATATAATAAAATATACATAATAAATATTGTTATATTGCTTGTAAAACATTTTACACAATTATATTTAACATGTTCAAACCGTAACAAAGTATGTAAATCTCAGCGCGTATAAACAATTGCTTATCGTCGGCATTCATAAGCGAAATATTCAACCTCAACCAGCTGATAGCTCAGTTTTGCTTTTGCTTTCAGAGCATCAACATGTGGCTAATTCAATTGACGCTCATCTCTACCCTAATCAGCGTTTCGCTGGCCTTTGGCGACGAGGCCATTTTTGAGGATGAGGACATTTACAATCAGGCGCTGCCACCAGTGCCGCACACAGGAATCACAGCACCTGGCACCAAATGGTGCGGTCCGGGCAATACGGCGGCCAATTACAATGATCTTGGTCGGGAGCGGGAAACGGATAAATGCTGTCGTGCTCATGATCATTGCGACGAGATTATCGAATCGCACGGCTCACTCCATGGTCTGCCGAACAATACGGACTGGTTTCCCATGTAAATAAAGTGGCGTGGAAAAATCAATATAATCCCTGTGACTCCTCGCTTCCTTTTGCAGCCTGAAGTGCAGCTGTGAACAACAGTTCATCAATTGCTTGCAGGCCGTCAACACAATGACATCGAATACCTTGGGTCGCATATACTATGGTACAAGGAGTAGATGCTTTGCCGAGGGCTACCCCACCTCAGGCTGCAATCAGTACCAGGTGGGCGCAATTCGCAGACGTTGCATTCGATACAATGTCAATAACAGAGCGGCAAAGATCTGGCAATTCTATGACATGCCCTTCTATACAGCGGCTTCGCTGCTCTTGGCAAAGTCTTGACCTTGACAAGAGCTTTAATCTTGAATACAATAGCTTTCAAGCATCGAACTCATTATGGCATTGAAATAAATATATTAATATTCTTATTACTTGAACATTTTCGAAAATCTTTAGATTTTGCAGCCTATTAGCTCACAGATAAGAAATTTTTAATCTACAAAAATTCGATTATTCGATTCTGGATGACACATTTTATTATTCTCAAAAATAAAAAGATTTTACAAATTCTATAAATTTGATTCATTGATTTAAAAAATTGTATTTAAATTGTAATAGAAGAACGCGTGAAATATTTACCCTTATCAAGCTATTGGTGTAATGCTCTTCTTTTTTTTAATGTGTAGATAATAACAAAACTTAAAAGCCTATTGCGCAATTACGTGTCGCCTTCAATTGGGCTGCTGTGGCGACACGTCGTCTTCCTGGGTTGGGTGTGTGTATAATGGTAGATCATAGAATTGCCAGCGTGCTGGCTGCGATAGATCCTCTGTGTAGCTGAGGCAGCGTTCCTTGAAGAGATCCAACTGTCGCTCCTTACAGGACCGAATGGGCGGTCCATAGGCAAAGCAAATGTTCTTTGTGCTGAAATAAATACGACCCAAAGCAGCCGACTCCATGTTGTGCAACGAACTGAGACACTGCCGGAAAGCCGTTTCGCAGCCGCAGGAGAAGCTACATGTGTGTCGACAAACAGATTTGTTATCATATTAATGCGATGGAACGCGTTTTGTTTGCACTCACATGGGAAATAGGCTTATGTTGGACAGACCGTATAGTTGCTCCCCAGGCAATATCTTCTCCTCACAGTGGTCGTGCGACCGACAGCACATGTCCACTTCCACTTCGGATCCCAGATCAGTGTAGTTCTTTGCAATATTGCCAGGTCCACACCATTTTGTGCCAGGCACTGTTATACTCAGACCATATGCACAACCGATCAGCGTCGCCAAGGCTACAACTAAATTCAGAGCTCTCATGTTCGAGGTTCGAGGGCAAAAGTTCTACTAATCCGTGGGGATACCCGGGTGCCGAATTTGTTCAAAAATATTCATACTTAAGTCGTCTGTGACGCCGCTGGAATGCTGATTAGGCTTAATGTCAAAATTAAATCAGCCCCGTTGAAAGTTCAAAATTAATCTATAAAAGTCTAGTATATTTAACACATTTGCATGGAAAAATACAAAGCTCAGCTTACAAACAACAATAAAAAGCGCAAGAGAGGCGATTAATACTCGTATAATATCCACATTAGTCATTTTGTTCGTCCATTCCATTATAAATTGAAATTTCAATTCGTATAGTGTAGTGTAGTATGTAACTCATACATACATATAAATAGATTTGCTTATAAATAGATTTAAATCTCGCTCTTCTGACGATTCTGCATCACCTGGCGTAGCTGTGGAAAGGTGCTCTTTGTCTGTGGCGGATGCAGACGGGCACACAGCACTGTGAAGGGTTCATATAGCGAGGGTCGTTCCATAACATTGACAGTATAATGCTTAATGCGTTCCCGTTGACACCAATTATTTGCCCGGTCCATTATCGATTCGACGGGAATTGGTGTTGTTGGTGGCGTATCCTTTTTGCTGCGTGCTCGTACGTTTGCCAATACAATGACGGGCACTTCTTTCTTTTCCTTATGCTTATCGATGTCTGTCTTGATGTCCGCCAGCATATCCAAGCTGCGTGGATCTGTGGGATCGTAGACGAGCACAAATGCGTCAGGAAATTGCAAATAATGTCGCGGCAGCTGAGCCGCCTGTTCGCCTTGTAGTCCGGCAGTATCGTAGATCCGTAACGTTTCCCGTGCACCGCCACGTCCTGTGTCTACACTCGCCACATATATATCCTCGATGGTTGGATGCAATTCCTTGAGAAATAAGTTTTTGTTTTTGTTTACAATTTGCGAGCAGTGACGAAAAGAATCGTGACACGACCCACTTACGGTTTCGGTGTTGATTTTGCCATATACCAATTGCTCAATAAGTGCTGTTTTGCCCACATTTTTCATGCCACACACCAGCACTTTGCCAACTTTACCAATCTTCGCATTAAGCATTTTTATAAATATAAACAAAACAAGGAAATACAACAGATGCGTACACAACAGATGATACACTTCCTCAACTTTAGCTTAGCGTTGCCACCCGACAGAAAACGGAGAATGAGACTGTACATCGATAGTTTATTTATCGATGAAATAGTATATGGCAGCTCTGTTTGGCAGTAGTTTACGACAGTTAATCGTCTCAAGTTATGATTTATAATTTCTTTTACAAATTGTATTTCATTACATACAAAATGTGCAACAGAATATATAGACTGGTGAAATACATATGACTTATGTTAAAATTCATTTTACTTTTTATAGCGATTTACAAAATTGTCATCTTATTTCTTAAACTTATATTACAAATTTGTTCAACTACAGCAATATTTAATATCACTAATCAGACAATACATAGAGGCGTCAAATCGACTGAAAACTAGCTGATTGTCTAATTAGCGGTAATATGCCACACAGCATACGGATACTACGCCCATTTTAATTGGAATTTTAATTTTCGTAAATAAATGCGCGTGTTGAACACAATATCCCATAGTGGGCTGCTAATACCATATCCGAGATCTTGATGCGCAAAATGATGCTGATAATGATACCTTTTCATTTCATAGAGATGCTGACCAGCAGATGGGCTTCCATAATGCAAATAATAATGTATCATGTCATAGCCCAAATAGCCCACTAAAGCACCAACGAGAATCAAGCGTGGATGGTGATTTTGTAGAATAAAATATAGCGGCGTGTAAATCACAGTAGCAAGAATTACTCCAGGTAATGGAGGGAAAACGAGACGCATCGGATCAAATGGCACTTTGTGATGCAGTCCATGGATCATAAAGTGAAGTGTGCACAGCCAAGGTCCACTGTCGCTGGTCAGCTTCACATGAAAGACCCAACGATGCAAAGAGTACTCCAGCAACGTCCAAAAGAGCACCCCAAACAGAATATGGCTGAACAATACGGTGAACTGTTTGTAAAAACATGTTACGTGAATTTTGCAAAACAAAAAAAAATTTTTTCTTTATTCTTCACACTTACTCCTTTCATATTGTGCGAGTTTTCTTGGAACTCCTGCCAGCCACAAGCAATGATAGATGGGATCCAAAACGCTGGCACAATCCACCATGGCGTCTTCGTCAAAATTTCCAAATACCACGGACCAAATAGGCGCAATGGTCTATCTACAGGCTTATGCACCCATTCATCGTAATGTTTTGTTATTTTACCAATTTGTGGCAGCATCGCTTCTGACCAGTCCACAAGGAACTGGAATTTTAAACAAAAATCGGTTAATTTATATTTGAACATTTAGCAACACTTATGCACCGTCGATTATCGATCTATCGATAGTTCCCTAAAACAGAACCAAAACAAGTTGGCGTCTCAAGCAGCTGGTTGGTTTTAATTGAAAGCTGTCATTTGAATGGGTCGGTTGGCTTTCATTCCACTTGATTTTTGTAAACTGCTTAACACGGCAATATTTAAATTTTAATTTACATTTACATTTCAACTCACAAATACGTATTGTGCTTAGCCGTGAGCCAGCATAAACATGTCGAACACCTCAATTCGTCCAATACCAACATTGAAAGGCATGTTTACCGTGCCGCGTAAGTATTACTTTTTCCCTAACAGCCATGGCAACCGCACAAAATATATTTTTACGAATTTTCTTGAAGGCGTCGTACCGGGACGTAATTTCCTAAAAGAAAACAAACAGAGTTTACGCTCATTGGAAAAGGCAACCACCGAGAAGATTGCTGCTAAGAAACCGGTGCGCCCAAAATGGATGCCGCCATTACTTCGTACCGCTTCCGAGGATCCTGAACGGAAGCATTGCGAAACCGAAAGATTGTCGTTATCGAGGCGTAATGACAGCGAGATCTGTTTGTTGCGCACTCAAGGTAAATCACGCTCACATCATGGCCTGGAAATGCCAAAACAACAGGACGAACACATCGATCGTGAAAGACATGAAACACACAATGAAAAGCAACAAATAATAAAATCATCTAGCCGTTGTCAGTCATGTGGCACTGATCGCAGCTCCACAAGCATTGGCGTACAGACAGAGGACATTATGGATCAACTGTATTTAACAAATGCCTTGAAAAAGTTAATAACAGCCACGCAGTCATAAGTCAACATAATACTAACAAATGTGCTCTTTTTAGGTGCAACATTGATGGCAAGTCAGTCTTAAGTCAGGGCCACAAGTTGTGCAATGATCCTCGCCAGCATTACGATAACAACTATGGCAGCTACAGTCAATACAATGACGATGACGAGCAGCCACTGTCAGCATACTCCAATGAACAACTCAAACGCAGCGCATATAATATGGATGACAATGAAATGATGCCTCTACCAGAGATGGAAAATTTGGCTACGGACAATATGGTGGATGATGAGGAAGCACCACTGAGTGCACGTAGTCGCGACACAATTGCTACAAATGCAACCTCCAAATCAAAACGCCGTGATTACAAGCTGGGCTGTGAGTACGATCCGTAGTTGTATAACTTGACTGACAACAGTGTGTATTTGTTTTTCCCACAGCACGCGATGATTTACGGCTGCCGCGCTATTTGGAAAAGGAGAAGCGCGAGAAGGCCGAGGCAAAAGAGCGTATGGAGACACGCGATCCAGATTGTCCACGAGGTCATGTACTTCTAAGTGAACAGGACCGCCTCGCAGCTTTAGCTGCAGCCAAGAACCGTTAGTTACAAATAATTTTTAATAATGAATTTCTTTTGTAATATTCAATTGATGAATTTTAGATTTTGATATGCTGATCAATGAGCTAAATCATATGCCAATGACCGCACAAACGCTGCGCGTGCGCACACGTAAGGCCGAGATTGATAAGGAGCTAACTGGTGTTGAGGATGATATACGTATCTACTCCAAGCAGAAAGTCTATGTGAGAGCCCCCAAATCGCGAGATCTCTAAAGCATGATCAGACACTTGCAAAATACATATCAAAAGGTTAACTGGATCAATTATGTGAACTATCAATATCAATATATTGAAGATGTGGATCAACCCTAGTCGTTTTTGTGTTAATAGTATTTATATTTTTTAAATGAGAACAATCTGTAAAAACAGCAGAACAACACCCCCCGCCCCCCGCAAAAACAACAAAAGAACAAAAATAAAAATTAAGAGCGTGAAGAGCAACATAAAATATAATACATATAACATTTAAAATACCTCCATGCTGTCGTCCAGTTGATTATTGTTGCTGTCCTCCGCTGACTGTTTCGTTTGTTCCAGCAATTCAATTCCATTATCTGCTAACTTGGCTGCACTTGGGCGCTCCTTTGTCTTCTTTTTCCCCTCATAATCCTGTGCACTTATCTTGTATTCCCGCATCAAGTACATGGCTGCATCGGAATGTGGTGGCGCCTTGAGAAAACGGGCTGTCATATCTGTCTGATTGAGACCCTTTAGGGTATTTATGCCACCCGGATGCTTATGCATAAAGTTGGAAAGATCATAGTACTCCTGCCGATATTTTACAGTGAATTTATGACGTTGCTCCGTTGTACCGTTCAGCGTATCCATTTTGATGAGCTGCAAGTTTCCAACTGCAACCAAAAGTAGTGCATGAGTAAATTATTAGTTGAATGTGGTTGTAGATTCTTAACTTTTTAATTGTTGCAATGTTGCTAGTAGCATTATGAAATAATTAATAATTGTCAACCACAGGCAATAACACAAAAAGCTGATACTTTTTTATAGCTTTATTTGGACATTTATAAATGGAAGTTATTTTCACATCATAACATTGACACGAAGCTAATAATTCAATATTACTGTATGATTTGGGATGTTAAGATTGCCACGAATTGTAAATTTTAGTCAATAATATCTTTCTATTAAGTATATACAAATCAAATCAAGTTGAATGCAAAGAAACTTGAGGAGGAAAGTGCAGATAAGTTAATGCTAACGTTGTTCAAATTGTGTTCTAGATTTGATCTGTTAATGACAATTTGATAATGAGAGTTGAATTTTGATTATAAATTAGAATTATGACTTGTAGTTAATTGTTTCGAAACATATTTTGTAATCTAAGAGTAGATAATTATAATATGAAATAACCAAACTAACATTTGAAACAAGTGGTGTACGGCCAAGTGTAAACTACACTGAATAAAACTAAACTTAATATTCAGCTACCTGTTAAAGTATTTATGCAAATTTAAGTCCTTCCGTATTGCAAGTTCAAGTTACCTTAGTAATTGGCTTATGTAATAAGTGCATCAATTCGATTAGTAATTACAGCCAATAGAGCATGTGAATATTTGCAAGCTGCTATAAATTACAATCCACTTATTCCGATAGAACAATCAAATCCACTTCAGCTGCAGTCCACAAACTCTTTTTCTATTTTATAATATGCATAATCCGCATTCCATGGAAAATGTACCAGATGTTCTACTCAGTCGATCGATTGCACAAATCTATTGCCAAATAATTGAAATGGAACTTAACATCAATTTGAATATGTATATATATATATATTTTATAATATATTCGAGATGCATGTATTTCCATTCATTGGCTGGTTCTGATTCAACTGTTGTCTACGCGCCATTTGGAACGTAACGCGAAACAAATAAAATCTCTCATAAAAACAAAAAATAGTTGCACGTACACATATGTATGTCTATATATATGTTTGGATGGATAAGTAAAGGTACTTGCAAACTTATTACTTATCGCTATACTATCACTGATAGAGCACAGTTAATACCATGGTCCCAGGCCAAATGCCATGTCGGTCGTTTGTCAAAGTCTATGGTAAGCCCCATACTAAACATGGTGGCAAGGTGTACCGTTCAAATACCACTTTATACATATACATATACATAAACATGTACATATGTATGTATACATACATATATAAATATGTAGAGTAGTCGCACTCTCTGACTCATGCGACAGGCTACTATTCCGCCACATTGATTAATAGGCATATAGGAACTCTCAATTTTCACATATAATCAAGTGGTATGTTTTATGAATTCTTATCTGCTGTATTTCTGAGTATGGCCTTTTTTTATTTCTCATATACAAATAGTCATGTCTGCTTTCGGACTAAGGCTTTCGGCTTTAGCTACACCTACAGCTAGCTCTATTAAAATGGGGTCTACTATTCCGGCACCCCTTAAAACTTGTTTGTTTTTGACATATTGTTACTTTGTTGTAATGTTTGTTTGCAACTATGTGGAGTGGTCATGTACTATTATCTATGAAATGTTATCTATTGGGGCTAGTTGTAACATTGTTGTATATCTCTATGGTTTTGACTGATTTCTGAATTGACCAAGGTTTTTCAAGCGGGCTTACTGCATTTTAAATACATTTTGATTAATCGCACACAACAAAAAGTCTTGTTTCAGCAAATAATAAAGGATTTTAAAATAAAAAAGAATTTAATTATGAAAATATGGTCCATGATTTTTTAAAACTTTTCTTCTGATTTCCAAATATGTGAAATTAATATTTCTGTTTCGTTATCAGTTCAAATCGAAGCCAACTTATCGAAATTTGTATAATCTCGAGTTTATTTAAGCATTAACAGTTAACACTCAAATACACATACCAAGGATTAATGTTTCCTTTCCTTGTAGACCTAACAAACGTAAAGTCCTGTCGCGAATTTCAGATTACTTCAAATTGTATAGTTATTTAGCACACCGCAGTAAGATATTTATTATTTAGCAATAAACGTCAAAAGGAAAGAGACAGATGCGTGCACGCGTCCTATACGCAATTGTTCCTCTGCTCTTCTAACGAAACGAATAACGGACCGCACACAACGCAAAGCAGCTCGCAACTGAAAATTGAAAGAGAGCGCCAAATGGTTTGAAGAAAGAACAACAACGACGTGAACAGCGACGCGAGCTGCGCTGCCCCAACTATCATGCTTAGTATACAAGTTCTGCCACCAGATAAACGGTGATAAGATTAACTGTTTGTGCCTTTAATATTAGTTATGTGGGAGCCAAACATTAAGCGTTGTTTCACCTGCATCTACACGCCTTATCTGCTGTCAAATCCTGTCAAAGCGAGCCCGATATGCCAATGTTTTATGTTTAATTTACGTCACAGAAAATATTGTAATAATAGATTGTGACGATGGTTTTACCGATATGTATCCATCATAAAATTACGCATATTATATGAAACAAATATTATTCTATCCACAATGTACAATCTGCAATCTTACAGTGTACATAAAATAAAAACACATATAAAGATTATTTGTAGACGTTAGGCGATATCGAGCTCTCGTGTAGCATAAAGTTGACTCACAAGTCTTAACATTTTTTCAGACTGCTAAATGTATTATTTTTTGTGTTCGTTCATTTACTGATTAGTAATTGTAATAGTAATATATATTGTAGAACGAACATAAAATTGATAAGTTTATCAGATGTGGGTTTCAGAATGAATCAGAATTTAAGACAAGGAGCTTAAAATCATTTTTTTTTGTTAGTTATTTATATTTCATTTATTAATTTATTTAGAAAAAGAAAATATACTCGTATCTTGACAATTCGAGTCATCGGTGTAATTTGTAATACACATGAATTTTCTTTTAAATGTAACTTTGTGTTGGCCATGCTCCGAATAGGAAATGAAGTGGAAAAATCAAAGCGAAATTTGCAATTAAAAGCATATTAGCAACAATACTGCATATACAATGAGTTAACATGTCACTTTTAAGGTATCCGACTTAAGTTTCAATGCAAAAGAGTTGCTCAATATTGCAAGTCACGCAAAGACCGGTAAATCAAGTAGAGCTGATCTTGTCACAAAAGAAAATTATGGAAAACATAATTTTTTCAGTTGACTTCGATCATATTCCATCTGTACTCAGCTTGCAGCAGTTGTCCATGATATGTAAAAGATGCACTCTTCTATTTGCAAACATTAGCAGAACAGCATTATACCCTTTTTACGCATTTTCAATATTGTCACAGGGTATAAGTAAAGGTATTTGATTGAATGCAAATCTTTGGCTTCCATCCGTAATGTGTTAATAATTGCAATCAATTAAAGCTCCACTGCAAATAGGGTCTACGCAGAAGCACGTGTTGGACATTGGCCATAGAATCCTTCAAGGTCGCCTTAACAACCTTTAGATCTGATGAGGCGGAGGGGAGGTCCTGGACGTCCTGGACGGCACGTGTGTGTGTGAACACCAATTTCGGTTCATATATCCGTGTCCTTTGACATTTTTGCACGCGAGCCACAGTTCCTTAAGCATGCTACACTTTTTCCTGTTCGAAATTATGGCAAATCCTTCAAAGCTACATGCCCTAGGGACACACCTTTGACTGTTTTACGAAATTTATGAGTTTCCACATATACACAACAAAACACACACACTCCCATATACATAGGCGCTATAGCATATACACTTTAAAAAAAATATATTAATTGTGTTTTAGAAAAATGATTCATTACTGGAAATGTGTTGTTACTTTGTGTTATCTATAACAAATTATCTATAAATTGTTATCAATTATTATTGAGTCTAGCTGCAACCCAAGAAAATGAAAGTCCTTTCGTGAATATGAAATTTGTCGCGGAGCACAGCGATTAATAAACCCTAACCAAATATGAATTATTTGGCAATAAGAAAATAACAAATTGATTAGTCTTTTTCTATTTTAGAATTATGTAGAAAACACTTCTTGATTTTTCGTAGTGCATGGATAAACTCTCGGGAGCTGTCAGTCTTCCTATTTGACATTGACACGCCAAGCCTTTTAGTGGACGTTGAGCTACGCCTTTCTGGCCAGTGGTTAGTTATACATTTTTTGTGGATCGAAGCACCGTTAATTACACATATACATTTCTTAAGTATGTATGCTATATGACAGACTATTAATGTAATAAATTGAACGGCATTAAACGCCCAAATAATCATTAAGGCATTCAATTAGGCGCCTTTCGAATTTGTTCAATTGCCGTTCGACTTTTAATGTGGTTGTCTCTTAATTAATTGTCACTGTGGAAAGAAGAGTTTTGGAGCACACAACAAGTGCATTAAGGCTCTCACGAAGATTGCGATAAGGCCTCAAGAGGCAGTTATTATTCTGGCAATATACCTTGTTCAATGTGATAATCTTATCAATCAAATAATATATATGGTTTTTGGGTTTTTGGAGACAACCCAATTGGGACCAGGAATTTCATTGAAAGTGAAAATGAATCATTAGTCATCGAGAGCCCCCACCACAAAAGCCCCCAATAAACTAAATTGCTGATTCATACTGCATTGTCACTGAAATTGATTAATTATTAACTGGCGATTAGACAACGAATTCAGCTAATCGAAATACATATTATAGAAGCACCTGTATAACACTCATGATTATCAAATTTCACTGAATATATAATCTCAATTTGCTCAATCCTTGACAAAGGTGTGGCAGAATGAAATTTTATTAAGATATTTTGATGGGCAACAATCTCTGAAGTCTACTTAAATTTTTACAAACATACCTTTAGGCGGAGCGTAGAAAATTTACAAAACGCTTTTGCTAAATATGATTTATTTATATTCCATAAATCAATTGCCTATCTCGACTAAATTTCAAATTCACACAATGTTATTAAAATGAAATAACCGAAAATGTGTGTAATATCTCCAAAAATTCGCTAAAAATAGAGATGTACATATTTGTATATAAACTACCATATGGCATAAATTACGCGAATGTGAACAAATAAATTGAAAAATTCTGAAATGTTGGAAATCAATCGCATCAATTCTAAACAAAGGCATAGATATATATATATATCTATAGATAGATAGATATATATACATATATAAATGAATCGATTCCTTGTGGGTTTTAATTTAAAAAAATGATTGTTTTGTTCAAGTGCTTTATTAGGAATGAATTTGTAAACTCTAACTCATCATAATTAAACCTCGGACTGTTTTTTCTGCTGACATGTTATCGTTGTCGCTTTGGTCGCTGCAGCTTTGTCGCATTGCTGGAGGCGTCAGTTGACCCATCTGGGTCACAGACGGTCCCGTCTGGGTTCTCTAGTGGAATCGCCGTATTTCTCCATGCGCCTTAGCTGTGATCGTAGTCTCTGCATATTTCTGCCTGAGTCCCACGATGCCGAAATATGCTGACGAGGCGCACGTGTTGAATGATATTTATTCTAGCTTTTTAGTTTGAGTTATTTGTAATAATATATCGTAACTTATATATGTAAATGTAGATATACATAAATATTGCATATATGTAGATATTTATATATTTTCTACTGTTGTCTTTGTTTCACATAATCCAGTGACTGAAAGACCTCTCAGTGACCATTGCCATTGGTGGCCAGCTTGGTGCCATTGCTGTGTCCATTGGCGTGCAGCTTAGCCTTGGACTCCACGGCGCAATTCTGGCCGATCAGCTTAGACTTCTTCAATGGTGGCTCATTCGTAATGTTGGCAAAGTCAAACTGCAAAAAGCAAGAACGATAAGATAATTTTAATATAAGAAAATGCTCAGCTTTGCCTGTATCAAATCCTAGTTAACTTATCAACCCAATAACTATGTGATTTCTTACCCGCTGCTCCAGTGTTAGATGTGATATGGGTGGCAGTCCAATGCAGCCACGCAATATGTTCTCAATGGCCGCACGCTGACGGAAGAGAGAGTTCACGACCTGCGCTCCTTGTGGCACCAGTGGCGCCTTGCACAGATAGCTAAGTAACGAGAGGACCGGCTTGAAGGGCACCCAAGCGGCAGCATCTCGCTCGGCGCTGCGCAACTGAATGCGGGCACTCAGCTCGCCAAGAATGAGCAGATCCAGGATGAGGGGTGCGGCCAGCAGCGAATCCTCGCATGTATTGTGTATGACGAGAGTGTTATGTCCGCCCATCATAATCTCGGAGGTATACTCATCCATGGCACGCTTACTATCACCCACATAGGGCACATACTTGATGACGACCACATGGTCGGGATGCTCATTGGGCTTGTACAGCACATTATTCGAGGCGACCATGTCATCGACAACGTTGCTCTTGGATATCTGTAAAATGGACATTGAATAGCAATCCCATTTTCAGTACGAGCTACAAAACAAACCTCCTTGGAGCGGAACTGTTGGGGTGCGGAGAGATTCTTGCCATCGTTGTTGCCCAAATGATTATAGCTCACAATGGAGACGGGCTTAATGCCGGCACCCACCAAAAAGTCCACCAGCACCGACTTGATCTTTGTCTGTCCCGACTTGAAGTCGTCGCCAGCAATAAAGATCTGTTTCTCCTCCGCCAGCTCAATCAGACCCGGCACAAATGTGTTCTGTGGCGAACCGTTAATGTACGTACACTGCAAGAAAGAGTTGGACAGTGAAAGTTACTCGGAGAACATAATTCCAGGGTATATGTACTTACGCCTTCGGCAATGCTGGCCATGGCAAAGATGGTCGATGGCGACACTTCCGATATGTTGGCCTTGAGCGAGGCTTGCAGCTCCTGGCTGGTGGTATTCAGGCCCTTCTTCACTTCGCTAAAACGCTCCGTATTCGCTGTCCAGAGCACAATGACTGTCTCCACGCCGCTTGTCTTCTTGAAGTCACGGATGTCGCGACGCACCTGCTCGTACTGTTCCAGTCTGGTGCCCTTGATGAGATTATCGGCGCGATCCAATTGATTGGCAGCGATGAAATCTGGATCGTAGATGGATGGACGCGGTTTGAACGCCGAGAGTTGTTCATAGAGTTGATCCTGTAGACCAACGTCCAGGACTTCGGCCCGCCGCATGGCATCGCCCAAATGCTGGCCACTTATGTCCCAGCCATCGACAACAATGTCATTTGGCTCGACCATCGGCAGCAGTTCCTTCATCGGCACATGCACATCGCTGCCCGACTCATCCGATCCGATTAAGACCGTCGATGCCTGGGTAATCGAACCAAACCAATTGGCCTGCTGTATACCCGTCTTCTTGCGCCACTGCAACTGCCGGCGATTCGCCTCCAAGGCGGCTGTCAACGTCGATCCATTGTTGCCACCCCATCCAACGAGCATGACACCCAACTTGGGCACATGGCGAGCTGTACGTATTTTCAGCGACGTTGTCTGCGGGTGCACCTGTCAGACAAATCGGAGCGATATCAGTATTAATTATTTCCTACCCAAAATCACACAGATATAAAATAGCATTTGCTCCACTGGGCAGTAACCTTATCATCCAGACAAAGCCAGGCCGGTAACTGATGTTAGACTACCCAAGAGTTACTAAGCGAATTTTGCGATCGCGTGATTTTTATTAACGTGGCCCAAAAACTGATCGAATTTCATATGCTCTCCCATGAAACTATTTAACCACCCAACCCAAGCCACTAAATAATTTAGTTATTTTAGAAATTCAAAACAAAATCAACAACAAAAATTCATGTTGATTTCGAAACGTTTTCAAACATTCCGAAAAATTAAAGAAAAAATAAAAATTTTACGAAAGTTTCTAACATTTTCATTATGTTTTCGAATATGTTCAATTTAGTATTATTTATTTTTGATCAGCAAGTGTATACAAAGATTGGCGTGGTATTTGTGATTTCATATAGCACCTGATTCTTGTCAGCGACGTGTTCGTTAGCTCGCAACTTGTTATAAATATGTATATAATGATAAACGTATAAATAATTTATAAGCATTTATTGTTATCTTTTTGCCGGCCGGCAAATTAAGAAGCACATGTGAAAATTTCATCACATAAAAAACACATGTTCCTAGACAAAATAATCCAGAGTATGAATACGATAAAATGCGAACGGAGCACAGTTCATTGCCAAATGGGTTAAGGTGTTGGCCCAAATAAGAGCATCAGACTTCTGCTCTCAGAAGAGCGTCGCTCTTTGATTGCTCTTGACCTTATCAGCTGGGCACATCAGCCCCTGACATTGACCTTGGAGCAGAGGAAATGCAGCAAGTGTCTGTTTGCTGGGCACAAGAAGGCGGGCAAACAAAGCTAAACAGAAGACTGGTTTATGTTTGTATACAGACGTATAAATATATACATATATATGTATATAATTATGCACATATGTGCTTAGCTGATTAAATGACGTATCAAATTCACAGTGCAAACACAATTATTATGAGACTCAGTTTCATAGACGACGCGTGCGCATTGTTCGTAGGAAACACGCCACCAAAAGGCCATTGTTAATGGATATGTGTGTGGAAAAGAGAGGAAAAATGGGAAATGGGACAGTTATCAGCGATTCATCTTTACTTTATCAGCTCTTTCGGAAAATGTGTGCGACAATCAATACAATATATATATAATATGTATATATATTTAATACGGCACCCACAAATTTTTCTGACTGTACGAATTTTATTTTCTTTTTTGGGTTTTATCTTCCTTTATCTCGCTGCATACAAATATCATATGTATATTGAACGAGCGCATTAATAAGCTCTCAGCCATACGGAATGCTAATTAATGGAATATTTTTTCCGCATGTACTTATTATATTTGATGTGTATATGTTTTATTGCTATCGCTCGTACAGCTGGAGAATAGTCGAGAATAGTTTTCTTTGGCTGGCATACAATTTCAATGCGAAGGTCGGAATATTAGCCGAACAATAAAATTGCAATATTCTCTAATATGCTCTATTTAAGAAATAAATAGAAAAATAGTAAACTGTAAAGCTGTTGACTGCATAAACAAAATTTAAACTATTCCCTTATTGTTTGCCAGTCGCAACAATTGCCTTAAGCTCATTAAATCCTTATGCAACTGTTGCATTCTATTTTTAAGTGTCTTCCGCTTAAATCAATAAGTGGTCTACGGATATATATTTTTTGTTGGATGTAATGTATCCAGAAGGTCGTCAACTCACCTGCAGTTGGCCCGCTGCTGTGCGCTTCACATGCGATGTTTGATATTCATAGTCGGTCTCAATGAAATCATCGTCCACGTGTACCTTGGGCGATATGATTTCCAGCGTTGAATTCTTTGTTGGCTTCATCTTTTTTTTTGGTTTTTTTGATGCTCGAATATCGAATGTTTACTTTGTATGTTTTTCACACGTCACTTGGACTTTATCCCTTCACTAGCATATACACTTGTTGTTTATGATTGAGCGTGTATTTTGTTTTGTTCCAGGAAAAATCTTTGCTTGACTCCCGCACAAATATTTTTGTTCAGCCGCAAATTCTACTCTAGCGTGTCCAGGGTCTGTAAGTCTGCACAAAGCAAATGTTCGCCGCCTAATGAGCAAAAGAGCGAGATGCGACTCGCTTTTATTTACCGCGGCGGCATTTTGAAAGAGAAGCGCATAAGTAAATGGAATCGGCAAATTGCCGGCTTCATCGTTCACACAGAGAGCCAGAAGCCAGAGAGAGAGAGAGGGAGAGAACGCGAGCGAATTTACTGTGCATGTGAGTGCCTGTTTATGTGTGTGTGTAAGTTTCAGTTGAGTCCAGTGAAAGCTTCTTGTTTTGGGTCCCCCGCCACAAGGCAGTGCAAAAGTTAGCCAAAAACCGCAAAGCAAAACTTATAATGAGCTTCGAGAGGAGAATTTGCGCTTAGCTTAATGAACTAATCGGAGAGAAATATAAATACAAATAAAAGAACAAAACAAACAAGACAAGAATGTGTATTTAAAGATGATAATGCACTCTCTGCCAAATAAAATGTAATACAATATTTTATGATTTTTGAAATCTAGATACATATATCTAACTAAAACAAACAAATGTCTTCTATTTTAATTTTTTTATAATAAAACAATTGTAATTTCTAGCTCAAGATTTCTTCCAAAGAAGTCAAATAAGACATGGAGTAAACATTATCCAAAGATATCAAACACGCAATTGAACGAACATTTCCTCATTCGGCTTCATTGGTTGATTCCCCTTTAAACTCGAGAACAGAGCGGACCCATTCACGACTTGGTTAAGACTTTATTCGTAATTCAATTTCAATCAATGGGCAATGCCTAGTTAGTGGAAAATTTGCGTTGCCGAACAAATGAAATGAAATGTGAGCGTCTTCCATTGGCTTTAGCTTTTCAAGGTTGTCAATCATAGCTATTGTACTTAAGTATAAAAACTTTCTTTCTCATCAGAATTTTCTAGATGCATACGTTGCGGCACAATCTGTAAAACTTTCCATCATTGCTGCCAATTGAAACCAAACTGCACTCAAATAACAATTTGTTTATAAATATAGATAAAGTTGGGTTGGTTTGAATTTTTGTACTGAGCACCATGGAAATCCATTCGAATCTTCGCGACGTTTGAAATTGCATAACTACACAATTTCGATGTGAAACTTTTCCATTCGAGTCGAAAATAAAGTTAATTGAGTTTCTAAGCCGCTAAATTGTTGTGAGATTAGATTTCAATAAATACAATTTTAGCCGGATCGTTGGACAAATCAAATTTCAAATTTATAACACTATATATAAATTAATAAAATTATTATTTGAGTTTTAGATCAATTTTAAATTATTATTCAACTTTGATATTAGTTATATATCATTAGCAGACATAATGCCGGACGTTTGTGGGCGTCTTGCTTCCCTCACATGCCACAATATCGATACCAGAATACACTATTAGAAATGTGTATCAAGTGTCATGCATATGGAATGAGCCAAGTGGTGCCCCAAGTGGTTATCAGCTGGATTTATTTCCTGCGGCTGGATCTTGCGTAATGAGTAAGCGTTTACATTTGAATGAAATAAATATGATTTTGTGTATATATTTTGACCTTGTATTTGTATACTACAATTTTTGCCAATGGCCGATAAAAGAAATTACAGAAAAAGCTGTTGAGTTGCATTTCACAGTTGACTGTTAAAAGCGTAGACTGAGATTAATATATTACACTGCAGTAGTAAAGCTAATTTTAACTTATTTATGCTTAACAATATATACAAATTTAGTAACATTAACACATCACAATTTAAAGCACACAACTTGTTCCACTCAAAAATAAACAAACAAAAAAAAGATCACAAAATGTAAAGAAAAGAAATGGTGCATTTAACTAATAACGAAACTCAAACTCAACAAATGGAACTTTGTAAATAATACTTGGCTACAGATAACATTAGTTATCTAAAAACTCCCATTCACTGGATGTGTTGGAATCGCCAGATGCGGGTGGTGTCCGCTGCTTCTTGAGTGGATCAGCAGCGCAACGAAAATCAGGCAGAAAGCTGCTATATTCGGGATCTGTATTTGGTTGAGTATTCACAAAATTCAGTGGCGCTCTTGAAGTGACTGCACAAATACCATCAACGGGCTGCCCAGCGCTGTAATCTGTGGCGTCCTCGTTCGGCGCCAGTTGCTTCTTCACTGGCGTTGTCTGTACACTGACCTCCTCCAGTCTGGTGGGGTAGCAGCTAATCAAAGATTCGCTTAGCTTGGGTGTCTTTACGACGCGAAGGTCCTCCGAGCTAACCGGTCCCAGATGAACATCCGGCAAGTCCAGCTCCTCAGCTAACGTTTTGGCCTTCATTGCAACCGTTTTCTGCAACGTTGTTGGAGTCATTGCATCTGGCAGATGCTGTAAGAAGGCGCTTTTAATATCCACTGGAGAGACCAAACCGTTGCTGAAACAGAAAAAAAAGTTATTTGGCGACAAAGTGGATCAGTTAATGCTTTGTGCTCACTTCTCTAATTGACAGTAACTGGCTTCCATTAGGGTCGCTGCGTTGGTCAACGGCAATTTGCGCTCGTACGTCTCCTGTCCAATTTCCACAATTCCTCCGGTGGCAGTTGCTTGCTTGCTGCGCTTCTTCTGGTTCAGTGTGCCGCTTGTATGCAAAATGGATTGTTCAAAATCCATTTCACCGATGCGCTGGAAGATCTCCAAGCGACGCTTCTGTTGCGCCAACGGTGACTCCACAGCCAGCTCAATGGGAACATTCAAATCAAGTTTCTCGATGGCCGGCACTTCAAAGCACTCCTCAGCACAGTTTAATGCCGGCTCCAGCTCAATCGGGGACTCAAGCTCCAGTTTGGAATAGTATGAGGCGCCCAGCATGGGCAGAGGTGGTGGCAGCAGTGGATTAAATATAACCGTAGCCGTTTTATTTGGTCGTTCCGGCAGCGGACCCAAGCGGAGCAGCGAACGTTCTCCTTCGAGCACAAAGATCTCTTTGCCGCAAACACAAAAGTCGAGGATTTTGCGAAAACCGCGTGCCACAGCCTCAACTTTAAGACGCTCTAGATTGAGGATATATAATGTGACGTCATCGTGGGTAACTAACAGTGTATCCTGGCCATCGTACAAATCTAGTTCGCGAAAGTTTTTGCTAGCCACATATGCATCACTGCTTCCCATTACTGAAGATGGCTGATTCCGCTGCTTGGGATTGAGTAGGGGTATCTCCCAGGCGGGACTCTGCAGGACGGTCTCGTTGAATATTATCGTCTTGGACACATTGCCAATGGTGTCGGCAATCCAAAAGCGCAGCCCTGGCCGACCACAAATAATCTGTGGCAAACTGTCGTTCGATATTGCTTTTTGCTTAAGGAATACGCCGCCGCAATCGATTAGCTGCTTCCGATCTTTCCTGCCCACTTGGGTGATTTGCCACTTTGAGGTCTTTGCATCACATCGGCAAACAATGCAGCGATAAAGTGTCGCCACCAACAGGTAACTCTGATGCACGCTCAACTGGACAATCTCATAAGCTTCGCTGAGTATTTCCAAAGATTTGCTCAGGTGCTGTGAATATATAAGTTGTTTAAAAAAAGTAGATAATAATAATCATCTACACGCACCTTTTGATAGTCGAATTCGGTAAGGACAACGACACCTTGTCTATCGCCCGAATATAGCTTCATGCCATTCTTGGACCACTCACAGCAACTGACCACACAACGATGCAAATCTCTGATGGTGTAGCGTTCAACGGGTTTGTTTCTCGTGCAGGGTGCGACCAGATCCAAGTCCGGCGGCAATTCCTTTTGTATTTGAAAAACGCTAACTTGACCGCTAGCGCTGCCCGCTGCCACCATATATTCGACGGAATTAACTATTTTAACGCACGTAATGCGTGTGGCAACCTATTCGAAATTGTGGATTGGGAAGGGGATGCACCCATAAAAAAAACATAATGAGTGATTAACACGCAACGCCAGTTGTGAGTCATTTAAAAAGATGGACTCACCTCCGCTTTGAGTTTTTGCATTTCACCCGAACGGCGATTATACCAAAAGACAATTCCTGCATCGCTGCCCAACGCCAGGAAATCTTCAGCGGCATCGACGCAAGTAATATTTAGATTGGCTTGAAAAAAACCACGCCGGGCTGTTGGAATCAGCTCCATGATGCCGGTGAGCGGTGCCCATTCACGTAAGCACAATTCCTTGCTACTGGCCATTATGGCTGGATAATAACTTAATTGGAATTCTATTTGGAACTTGCTCCGCTACCTCCGTAAACAACAACGTATTTACACTGATTTTGTTGATATTCGATTCTTTGGAGAGCTCAATATTATGTTACTGAGTTGCCACACTTTCAACATATGACTTAAAATACTAACTTTGTATATCGATATGAACATATTTACTCGTTACGGATACAAATATCACAATCTTGAATGAAATTTTCTTTTAATCGCTGCAGTAATATTAGCCGTCTGAAATTTAATTAAAAAATAGCTAAGGATCGAAGCATTTTCCCTATGACTTAATATATTCGATTACAAAAAATACCACGACGCAAATATGGCCCGATATATTTGTATCGACGCAATAAAATATCGTCACTTAATGATTAAGACACCATAAAGAAAAAGTAATTAATAAAAACACTACCTCTTTCTTATTATCTTGTAAATAACAAGAATAAAAAGAAATACTGGACTCAAATAAAAGTATTATCGCAGCTGCACACAAGGCAGCAATTGAGTAAGCAGCAATCAATAAACAGAGGTGAACAGGTAAGTGGAATCAAGGTTTAAATACTTGGCCAAAGTTCATTCAAGCAAAGTTTAATCAGTCAACAGCCACAAAATGGACAACAATCTGCGTAGCGCAATTATAAACGAGTCTCCAATGCTAGCCACGCCCTACGGCAATGTGCGGTCCCTTGCAGCGCCCCCTCCCGTTCCACAGTCACCCTTTCAACAACAGCAGAGCGCCTATAGCGGATACGGTGGAGGATATGGCAACGTTGGCAGCTATGGACTCGGTATTGGTGGATACAATGGAGGTGGATATGGTGGCGGCTACGGTGGGGGCTACGGTGGATTTGGTATGGGCGGCCTGGGTGGCTATGGCGGTCGTGGCTACGGCGGGTACAGCAGATTTGGTAGCATGAATCCCAACGATCCCGAACAGCGTTTCATACAAATGGCTGAGGCAAGCTCGCGTCCCGCATTCCAAAGTATCGAATCGCTGGTGTCGGCTATCGGGAATATTGCATCTATGTTGGACTCGACATTCTTTGCGTTAACTAGTTCCTTTCGTGCGATTCTTGGCGTGGCTGCCAACTTTGGACGTTTGCGCAGTGTTTTTGGACAGTTCTGGGCATCGTTTGCCATCTTTCGCGGCTTAAGATGGATCTACAGGAAGTAAATACCTATCAGCTATATGAAATAACAATTATTAATAATGTGCTCATTTAGAATACTATATTGGCTGCGTATTTCGCATTTGGATCCATCGTCGAAGGCTTTTAAGAAAGCGTTTGCCAAAGCTCTCAACGATAATAACATGCAAGAAAGTGGTGCGCCACATCCGCCACGGAAAGGCACATCCGCATGGCCGGTTCTAGCATTCATTAGTTTCATCTTTACCGCACCTTATCTCATCATGAAATTATTAGGCACCGTTACGAATACGGCGCAAGAAGAAGGTACGCTTATCTAATCTCAGTACTTCGTTCTCAACCAGCTAATCCAAATATAGCGGGCTGACATAAGTTCATTATTTTCATATTTGCTATAATAATAATAATACCCACTCAATTAAAACAGCTCGCAATCCGGCCAAGTGGATCGCCCCAATTCGGACGCAGGCAGTCTACGATTTTCAGGCGCGCAACCAGGGCGAATTGACACTGCGTTCTGGTCAGACTGTACAGGTGGCACCGCGTGAGATACAACAAACCCTCCAACTCTTAAACTCAGGCTGGGCCATCGCATCCATAAATGGTCAGAGCTCAGGCCTAATACCCCTCAATTATGTGAAATCGCCACAGCAGTTGCGACAGGAGCAACAGGAACCCGTTAAGCCACCACTACAGCCACAGCCGGAGCTGATGAATCTGTCGGCAAATGCATTCCCCAACCCTCCATTTGACCAACAAATGAACTACGACTTCAACTTGGCCTGTCAGCAACAGCAGCCGCTGGGTCCGCCATCCACAATGGCAGTGACTGGGCTAGAAGATGGCTTTGCCTGAGGAGAGGAACAGCCTTGACTACTTAGCTTTAAGCCAAAGGATTTGGTGTGAAGAAGAAAGGCGTCACCTTCATACTGTTTTGTTAGTAAGCTTATTTAATTTGCTCAACAATTACACTCTCACATTTCCCAGTTGTAATATATGCTTTCATTGTCAGTAATGATTTAAATGAATTTATCTGTGTGTGTAAAATGCAGTTCCCTCCCATAATGGTATTTTTTTATAAGCAAATTTATGTATTTCGAATGCGTTTTTGAACGTATTTATCTGACTCGTTATTAACCTAAAAAATACGAAAACGACACGAATCATTTTAAAATGTAATAAAAAAAAAAGTATAATGGATTAATAATTATAAAGTGGTTTTAATGTTATTGTGTCGCCCCAAATAATTGAATGCATTCCATTTTTTTTTTATCATATTTTACAATATGTATTCAGTTTTATTACCTATATATATAATTGGTTTTTGTTTGTTGTTGTATGCTTATAGATTTTATTTGTATTTGATTTGCTTTTTATCGATTACCCATTTTCAAAATGAAATATATTTTTAAATTTATTACACAACTACTCTGTTTGACTTCTTAAATGTACATATTTCACTTTTCTACTAAATTTGTATGCATTTGTTTGTTATTATTTGATGTAATTTCAATAATATATTTATATAAATTCTAGAAATTTATATCAATGCATTAAGTTTTAGTTCTGTTATGACTAAATAGGTAGGTTGATTATTCCGCATTTACTTTTAAATGTATACATGTATTACACATAATACATATATATATATAAATATATTTGTTTTTAGCTGAACAATTTTTGAGAATTTCTTGAAATGTGAAACAATTGGTTTTAAAATTGTTAATTTTAGGCAAATAAACATACATATTTTATATGCTTTTTTTTTGTCTACAGTTTGCACTGCAACTTGTAGATCTAAAAAATATTTGTTTTTATTATATATTTTATTGCTGTCACTTTAAAGATTTGGTGTACAATATATAGTTTAAAAAAGTTGCTCTACACTTACAACATTTAAGATAAACTTTTTAAAAACTCTGTTCGCTTTGCTCAAGCAGCAATCGTTTAACAACTAAAAAGAAGACAGGCATTTTACTTTTGTATATTTTCACTAAAATACAATTTTCTGCTTAAGTAGAAAATTATTGTAACTGTTTTGCGCTTAAAAATAATCTTCAAAAATACACATACAAACTGAACGCCAAGTAATATTTAGAATTATAAAATTTTTTTGTGTTTGCTTATATATATAATTTAATCAAGTCTCATTGAGAAATAAACAAAATCAAAGCTGTTGAATGCTTTTTTATGTGGGTCTGTGTGGTAAAGGAGAATCGTGAGAAATTGGCAGCCTAACTAAATGGGCGTGGCAATCCTAACAAAGCATTAATAAACGTAAAACTAAATGTATCCTCTGCATAGCTGCTGCTGAGATAACCAGCAGCATCCGCAGGGGACCCCGTTGCCCACGACACATCCGCATCATCATCGTCTGCTCAATCGATGTCATCCTCGAGCTCATCATCGTCCAGCTCCAACTTGAATTCGACATCGGTGGTACGCTGTGTGTGTTGTGCAAAGCTTTGAGACTCATTGGTTGTTTCATGGTACGTATTGAAGTCGTTGTCTTCGTCATCCGAATCGTAAATCGGATCTATTTTACCAGTGCCGTACGCTGAGCACAATTAAATCGTAATAATCAATGAGTAAACAATTAAATAAACTAAAATGTGAATTGAATGAAAGCTCACCTTCCACATATTTGGCCAGGTTAGGTGGAACCCAAGACTTGACTTGTTCAATATTCTCGCCCGTGCATTCGCCCTTATCCAAGCCTGAAAATATCCAAACAATGCATGTTAAAATACTGGGTGATAGCCAAGAGAGGTGTCCACTTACCCAGGAGAAGACCCATGCGTTTCAAAACCTCGATGTCATCGTGCATTTCGAATGTATTGTCGAACTTGAATATGTACTCGGATCTGTGCAGAATGAAAAACAAATTAATATAAGATGGACCAAGGACCAAGTTAAAAATGCTGCTCACTTGTCGTTGGTAACACTGCAATTGATCCTTGTCGATTTGTGCGTATTTACAATGATGAACGGCAGCTGAATGGATGAGTTCGGAGATGGCACCACGCCCTGGTTCTCAGCACGCTTATTACGCTCCACGAGACCCTTGAATGCCACATGCTGCATCACCATTTCGCGTAGCATTTCATTTTTTTGCTTGATTCGTTCACGTCGCAAATTGTTCTCCAACTCCAAAGCCAGAAATTGCTTCACACAAAAGAAAGATAAAACATTAAGCATAACTTACATATAGAAGACAGAATAAACAAGAGGCCTTACCTCGGCTGAGTTGGCGGGTAAGCCAATCCAACGTATTTCCTTTTTGTCCTTAGAAATAACATTGATTGCCATCAGTACGTTGAGCGCATCGTAGACACGTCGCCGGATATTCTTTTGATCACAGTTGTTATCGTATGAATTGTTCTTTACTTCTTCCGAAACCAAATCATCAGCCACCTCATTATATGTAGTCTTGCCCTTCTCCTGCACCTTCTCGCACACCTTCATCGAGAAGTGGCGCAGTCCCTTGCCAGCCTTGTCTGGCTTTCGTTTCCTTTGCACGGACGTTGAGGAGGCGGGCATTGTGTGCATGGAATTGTTCTGTATGGTGTGCCTTAAAGAACAATTCCCATTTTTATAAATATATATCTTGTACGACACATATGCGCTTTGCCAAAATAAGTCACTTACAATTTTGATTTCATTTTCAGGGCATTATTTGGCGTATATTTCACATATCGCTCGGTCTTTATCTGAAAAATGCCAATTGAATTATTCTTGTCACGAAGCGAGTTATGTCAGTTGTTTATTTACCACTTCGTGCATATCGCTTCCGCCTCCGCCGCTGCCCTTCTGCGCTGACGCAGGTGCAACATATGAAATATCTGAAACAAGAAAACCATAAAAAGGTCATTGTTTTAATAAGAGCCGCAAGCTAAATTTGTTTTCACTTACTTTCGGTTTTTGGAATAGTAATACAACTGTCCTGTAGTTTTATAAATTGTCCCTGATTCGTTGTGCTCTGAAGTTAGAGGAGGGGTGGATTTGTATTGACTGACTGACTTGACTGACGGCTGATTGATTGATTGGATTAATGGAACTTACCATTTGACTGAAGGCGCCCACTCGCCCAACATTACCGATGCCGCCGCCGGCGCTGCGTGTTGAGCTGCTGGGGAAGACCAAACTGGACTTTGAATTATCCATAGATTGCGATTGTTTCACTTGCACCGGCTTCAGTATTTTGACAATTTGTCCTAAAATATATGAAATAAACTGTCATTCAATAATGTCACATTAAATATGTATTTGTTACGATTAATATTCCAAGTATATTTTTTCGAATTAATAGAAGAAAAAGACTGAACCACGTGGTTTTATTTATGTTGTTTTGCTAGAACAAAGAATGCATGGATGACTTACAACAATAAAACGAACGAATCGAGCAATGAAAATGAAGGATTTTTTATGCACGCGTTCGAAAGTTCAGTTGGGCTGCTCCAACTCAAATGCATACACAATAATGTAAGCAGCATACATACATATACATGTGCATGTACATACATGCATACATACGTACATACATACGCATAGGCACAGTCTCCATTTGTGTCGTTCTTTGCGATGCGTATGTAGTGCAAAAAGCAGAAACCAACACAGAGCAATAAGTGACAACATGAACCACAACAACAACAAGCGCGACAGAAACTCGTGGAGCAAAGAACAAACGAAATGAAACGAAAACGAAAGAATTCTCCCTGCTTGACATATGGGGTGGTGGTGGTGGTGATGGTGGCGGTGGGGGTGTGGTTGCCTGACTAAAATACTGTCGTCTGGCAAAGGATGCATTAACAGCAAACCGAAACAGCTCAAAACAGAAGCAGTAAACAGAAAGAAATACACGCATACACATACACATTTATGTATGTAAGCTACACGTGATCACAAACATTAATAAAAAAGAATCGATATACATATGAATGTATCTTGATCGTATTCTGTGCAGCCCTGGGAATTTGTAACCGGCTTTTCTCCATTCAATTTACATCTATGACTGTCAGTTATGCTAATTATTCACCTGCTGCGATAACACATTTACATAATTCAAATATTAACGAAAGCTTGGCAAAAGAAGACACACACAATACATACATAAATGTATTCATATTTTTGTGCATATGAATAAACAGCAAAACCGCAAAAAGGGCCTAAACTATAAATATCAACCAAATACACAAACACACACATACAAATGACTCACGACGTCTTAACTACTGTCAAACATGCTCTTCTGCAGTCAGCCTTGCAGGCCGGTTAGCCGGCGTGCGGTCGACGCTGCTCACTCATTCATACAAGCACAGCACATGCGCACACACACACACACACACAGACGAACGGGCTTACGTATATATTTGGATGTACGTAAGGTGGTCAACAGAGCGGCAATAACAACAACAGCTCTGCCGGCGTCAACGTCGCTGCGCAGCCGCTGCTACACATGTTTGGTGTTTGTCCATTTTGGGCTTTAACATTTTTTTTCTATCTATACAAATTTTGTTGTTTTCATCTGTGTGTGCGTTGAGTGCTTGTTCAGCTTTTTTTGTAGCACACACCGAAATGTCACGCAGCTTTAGCAATTCTGCTACACCTCCCTCGCATGTATTTTATATTTTCTTTTATACACATATATAGATATTTGTATCTGAAGCCTTAGATTTATTATGCAAAAAGGAATAAAGCAAACGAGACGCATTTTCGCGACGACTGAGCTGCCGGCGGCCGCTGCGCTGCTATCAGCTGTTTGGCACTAAAAAAATAAAACATACATATGTATATATGTTAAAAGTATTTATGTTTGTATGCATATATGGTGGGGAAGTATCTCTTTTATAGTTGTTGTTGTAGTTGTAGTCAGCGAATAGCGATAAAATGTGTGTTTGACTGAGCGCCAACTGGGCGAAGAACGACAGTCGTCGTCGCTGCCCGGCAATGTACAAACCCACACATACATAAATACATACCTATATATATATATATATATATACATATAAATGTATGTATGTGTGTGTGTATTGGCAGCAGCAGCAGACAAAACCAAACGATTTTACTTGATTTTATTTTTTATTATTTGTTTTTTGACGTGTTGCTGTGCAGTAGTAGTTGTTGTTATTGTTGCTGTGTTGGTTTTGCCGCTTAAAGCGTATTAAGCGATAAATATTGTATGTAGAAGGAAACCGAAAAAGAAAAAGATGGCGTTTACGCGCCAGTGTGCGAGCATGCAAGTTAGTAGCAGCAGCTCCCCCGCCACACAACTAACGTAAATACGCAAGTCGACTAATGTGTGTGTGTGTGTGTGTGTGTGTAAGAATATATGTTACGCATTCATTAAAGCAAAATGAAGCTGCAACATAGTCAGTCAATTTGTAACATGCACTCTTGTCGAATGTTGTTCATGAATCATAAAGAAAGAGAACACAACTTAAGTCCTGTATTTAAGTAAAGACACTTTAAATACATTAATATAACAGATACTCAAATTGAAGAACAAAATTATTCCAATTTTGTAAAAAAACTCAAGAAATACGTTTATTAGCGCTGCTCAAAAGGGAGTACATTTGCCAATATGGAAATTGATAACAAAACGAACGCCGCAAAGATTAAAAAGCAACTATTTATAAAATCAACAAAATGAAATATTATATGCCGAGTTAAGCTTATGAAATAACTCATGCTCGTGCTTCGTGCCCAACTCCAGTAATAAATAGCTGTTTAACTGGTCGATTCTATCAGCCGCTAAGCTAAGTGGTTTAGCCTGTGGACTCACCGTGCTCATCCTGATAGAAATAGTTGACTTCATCTGCTTTAACTGCGCCACTCGTAGTCTGATTTGCTGCCGAGCTATGCGCCATTTTCAGGTGTTTACAGGTGTAGTGATTGCGATGCTTCCTTTTTGGTGGCCTGCACCCTTAGCTGCCTGCTACGACACGACTACCTTCTTGTTGTCCTTCTGGGTTACTTACTTAGCAGTAAGTACTCTTCTTGTAGTGTTCCTCTTCCTAGAGTTGCTGGGGGAGGTGGGGTGGAGGGGAAGACCTAATATTCACTAACACGCCGCCAAAATGTATCAACGCAGCCGCAAATGTGTGTGTGTGTGTGTGCGTCAATGCCTGTGCATGTGTGTCTGTATGGGTGTATATCTGTGTGTGGCGCGGCCTACGATGAATTCCGTATTTTTCAGTGCACAATTTGTAACCACGTGTATTAAATATACTTTGCACAGCACTAAATAGAAGTGCTAATATTTGAGCCTTATTGCCTTTATTGGTGCACCTTACAGTGTGCCTATTTTTATGGCAGCAAGTGAAAATTTTGGATGTCGCGCGAGTCAAAATGGCGAGCGCATTTTTTGTTTCCAGCACCAGCAGCGCATTTTTTTCTACTCACACACACAGAAAATGGTTTCAATGCGGGTTTTTCGCTAGCGTTTTTCGTGCACTTCAAGTGATTCGATTTTGATGCACTTTTTTGCAAAAGGATCGAGAAATTCTTGCGATTCCGTTGCACTGTTTAGAATTTAAGATTGGTTCGTTTTAATCGCAGAACGATATGCATAAAATTTCTATCAAGTCGTTGGTTTTTCGACGACGACGACGACAACGACTACGAAAACGACTAACGTGCGAGTGCGAGCGAAATGGCAGACACCGCGTTGATCAGCTGATTGGCTCGACGCGCCAAATTTACGCATCCATCGAACAGTGCTGTGTAACGTGCGTGCTGATAGCGGCAAGCACAAAATGCAACATTTATTATTTGATACCTACAACATAAACCGAAATGGAATACAAATGATAATGCTTCTTTACTGACATAGGTATTCATTCTGTTAAAACTCCTAACCGCTTCCAATATCATCAATTGGTTGCTATGCGAGTGCGAGCAGCTCGAAAGGTCATTGCAGATAAGATTGATCTACTCTAATTTTATACCCAGAATGGTATTATTTAAAGGTGGTATTGAATATTTTGGGGTAATGAATTTGGGACTACAGTTTCACAGAATGAAATGAGCAAGTGGAGGTGATATTATATTGACACCGCCCATCGATACATGAACCAATTGAAAAATAGACTGTTCAATTTTCAACGCTATCCAGCACTGTGCGAAAAATGTAAACAATGCTGTTATCGTTGACAACAATATTCATATGGCCAATCCGACATTTCTTTTGCCATCCCTAGCCACTGCTGTTGTTGCATATCGATAGCCTTACGAAATCAAAATAAGAGCAGTTGTTAACAGGTGTTGACTTGAAATTTGCGAACAAAACAAATTTTCGATCAAAATATTTTAATTTCTTTTTTTTTAAAACGTACTGTAATACGTTTAGTTTCAATTATTTCGAATATACAAAACAAAAGAGTAAATAAATTAAATACTCGGAATTAAGAGCCCAAGTCTGACCTAAGTCGATCTGTGATGAACTGGTTCGGATCTATGTGATTTCGATGTTTTTGGGGAATATATGGCGAATTTGTTGAATATTTTTGTGAATAATAATGCTCATAAGACAAAATAAAAATGATTTATAGCCGAAAGTGATAATTGAATACAACTTAATCAAGACTTATTCTTATTTATTAATGCAAAAAAACATATCTATATATATAGAGTACTCATTTCGAGTATGAAGATTTTGTGTTGCTTGCAGTCCCGATTTGCTGAAAACTCATGGCTAACCGTAGATGTTGCAGGCTCGAGCTTTTACTAATCTTGCTTTCCCCTCGATTTTTTTCAGTGATGAGAAAAAAGGAGTAGAAAACATGGAATATCGGCAGCCTTGAAATGCCTCGCTGTTCGATATAAATTTCAATGTATCGATATTATATCGATATGTGGTCCAGCATCATAGCATCGGACGGCTGTTTTTGCCAAATAGTGTCATAAACATATAATTGATATTGTAAAATGTCAAAACTGGGATTTAATCATACTTCATGTGAAACAATTCCAAAGAAATAATAAACGATTACTGTCTGCACAACAAGCCAATCAAAATATAGCCAAAACGCGCCAGTGGGTACAGTGGGACTAGGCAACAACAAAATGGTCGATCCACTGTGCAATTACAATGTGTTGGAGTCGATATTCTCATATTTGGAGCTGAACGATTTGAATCGATGTTCGCAAGTGTGCAAAAGCTGGTATCACTTCCTGAACGATGAGAACAGCGACGTTTGGCGATGGCACTGCCTACGCAAGCTGCCCAAGGAGGCTGTCAAATCGGACCTGCTATCCTCCGTCACCACATACAAGACTAAGCTGCGAGCGTACCTGCATGCCTGGAGTCCCAACGATTGCTCCCGCAATGTCTATGTTAAGCCCAACGGATTCACCCTGCATCGGTAGATAATTGTTAATACATCCATTGTTCATAGATCCTGTGTTAACTTCTTGCTTCATATTTGCAGAAATCCGGTTGCACAAAGTACGGATGCGGCACGAGGTAAAATTGGATTCCGTCATGGAAGACATGCATGGGAAGTGATTTGGGAGGGTCCGCTGGGTACAGTGGCTGTAATTGGCATTTCCACAAAGGAGGCAGCACTGCAGTGTCATGGCTATGTGGCACTGTTGGGCTCCGATGATCAGAGCTGGGGCTGGAACCTAGTTGAGAACCATCTATTGCATAACGGTGATACGCAGGGCAGTTATCCGTTACTAAATAATGCACCCAAATATCAGGTTGGCGAACGCATTCGCGTCATCCTCGATTGCGATGATAATACTCTGTCATTTGAGAAGAACTATGAGTTTCTAGGCGTAGCGTTTAGAGGTAAGACCCGGATTTGTATAATCATCATTATTCCTTATAAGTCTGCCAGATAAGAATCATTATCTTAAAGTATCTATGGGTTATGTGTATAATCATCCTTTGTCCTTGTGTTGCAGGTCTACCAGATAAGAAGCTTTATCCTACAGTATCTGCTGTTTATGGCAACACTGAAGTGTCTATGGTCTATTTGGGAACTCCATTGGATGGTTAACTATTGGGAGCACAGATGAGGCCTTACTGCCGTACAATGTGTAAAATTAATATTACCATATATATATATAATATATAAATGTATGTATGTTTTTGTATATTGGTTTAGATTTCGTTCCCTCCGTGCAGTTTTTTTTGTTGTTTTTTATACATTCTGTCTAGTTTCTAGTTTCTTTGTACAAACAAAAAATAAAAATATGTGCATTTTGTTGATTTTAGATTACGCCAAAGTTAAAATCACCTCTTTTGTTCTATATATATATATATATATATTTATATATATGTATGTATATGATTACCAATTAAGTTTAATTGTACGAACCAAATAAATAAGTATGTAGTTGTAATTTCATACAATGAACGGCATAAAACAAAAAAAAAAATGTATTTATATATACTCGTATATCCTTAATTTAAACGAACTGGTTATATACAATCGGCTTTAAATTTGGGTACATTTCAACAAGGACAAAGGGTGCAAATTCCTGGGATTTGTTTAATGGGGAATATGGTGGCCTTCACAGCAAGGACTCCGTGGCGCAACGGTAGCGCGTCTGACTCCAGATCAGAAGGTTGCGTGTTCGATTCACGTCGGGGTCAGAAGGTTAACGAGCTATTTTTTCCCTTTTCTTTTCTTTTCTTTTTTCTGGTTAATAAAACAAAAGAGATACCTTTTAGGATTAAATTGGTCACTATGATTGTTTGGAAACTTTATTGTTATACATTAAAAGACGCATATGTACATATATTTAACAATATTCAAATATTTATTTTTATATATAAGCAATTTATATTAGGGTGCAAGAAACAACATTTGCATAACGAGCATATTTAATTTTATTTTAAATATTATAGGCTGCATTTCGCCTTCGTTGACATATTTAAAATACATATTAATATTGTTTTTTGTTTTGTTTTAAGCATATAATAAACATATGTAAGTATGTTTGTATATAGATATAACAAGCAATTTGAACGCTGCATTTGTTTACTATTTTTTTGTTGTTTTGTTTTCTTTGTTTTTAAATACATTTAAATACATATTTGTTCGTACATTTAGATAAATATGTATCTATGTAAATTTGTATATGAGTAGATTATTATTTTTACGAATTTGTAGCCTAATTGTAAATTCCCTAAACGGTTTGCAATGATGTCTCATTAGTTGTTCCCTTATTGTATGTATATATATATATATATAAAAATATTATTTATGTGCCATAAATTGCGTTTAATAAATGAACAAAATGTAAACTTATTGTAAAAAAAACTAACCAACACCACCAAAAATTCGCGTTGCTTCCGTGTACATATAATTTTTTGCATATTTAGCTAAACGAAAACTAAAAATTTCAACAAATTAATGACACAAGTCAAAATAATGGTCATAGAAATGTTATTATTTGCTATTGACTAGATTTAGGAACTCCTCGCGCGTCTTTGGATCATCGCGGAATACGCCCAGCATAGTCGATGTAACCGTTTTGCTATTGATTTTCTGCACACCTCGCATCACCATGCACATGTGACTGAAATAACAACAAAATATTCATCAATTCCACAGTCAATTCAATTAATTATAACAATTGGATTTTGGTTTTTGTCCATCAACTTCTTTGTGCTTTCTATGGAAACTTAGCGCAGCTTCTCCCATAAGCATCGGTGGTTCAGTGGTAGAATGCTCGCCTGCCACGCGGGCGGCCCGGGTTCGATTCCCGGCCGATGCAAATTACTTTTTTTTTTCTTATTTCAAATTTGTTTTTTGTATTTTTTTTATATTAAACACAAAATCAGTAAATAATTTGTTTCTTATGTACTTACACGCCCTCAACGACGACTGCAACACCTGCCGGCTGCACCGCTTGTGTCACAGCAACCGCAATTTGTTTGGTCAAACGCTCCTGGACCTGCAGACGACGCGAGAAGATCTCCACAATGCTATACAAAGGATAACAATATGTTTATATTACCTTTTTGGTTTGCAGCCCTTTTCTAAGAGACTTACCGAGCCAGCTTGCTGAGTCCCAGAATCTTATTGCATGGCAAATAACCGATTGATACTTTGCCGTAGAAGGGAACCAAATGATGTTCGCACATGGAGAACATTTCAATATCCTTGACAACGACCATTTCATCGTGATCCTCGTCGAAAACAGCGCCATTTAAGACATCTGCAAAAAATGTATTGAATTTTTAAAATACTTTCAAGCAGTTTGCTAATTCCGATTTCGTTTCAAATTGATATTCAAATGCCGTTTTAAAAGTTGAATCAACTTATTCATGAGATACTTTGACATATACTAATTAAAATGGATTTGTCTAACGGTATACAACATTTATAAAACCAAATTAATGTTTTTAAATTGGCTTTAATAAAATGTCCCCATTAATCTAAATTTAGAAGCCAAAAAGGAATCATTACCCGCATAATTCAATCAGATGTATTCCATTGCCTTCAGCAAGTGGATAGCCCCACTGAGCCACTCAGCGCCAATCTTTGGTGCTGATTTATGTTTGACGTTGAAGTGTTTGGTATATTTTATGCCAGATTTATTTGCTCAACAAAATGTGTGGCAATGTATGCAATGGCATAACTGAATCTTAAGTTGAAGTTTTTCCACTTGACTGTTAATGTGCACACATACACACATATGTGTGCATGTGTGTCTGTGTGTGTGTGTGTGACGCCACTTGTTGGCCATTCTATTGGGCGCTTGAGCTTTCACTACTTCAGCTTTAAATGCTGCCCACTCTTCTTCTACACTTTTTGCACACTTTTCGTGCTTCGCTCTAGCGCCCGCTTGACGCCCACTCGCTCTATCGCTCTCACTTTTCCTTTTCTTCCTCTACTCTCGCTCTCCCTCTCTCGCTCGCTCTCTCTCTCTCTCTCTCGTTGCAATTTAAAAAGCTTATGTGTGTTTCCTGTCAATTCCTGGCAGTGGCATTGAAAGTCAAAACGCTTTCGCTTTAGCAACTACAATTTTTGGCTAGAGTTCAATTTACATGCCTAATTGGCCAATGTTAACAAAGGGGTTTTCAGTTGATAACCTGCCTCGAGGCGATTTACTCTCGTTAAAGTCTGAGATTGTTGTTGGTTTGCCAATTTAAATGTGACTTTGACTTGTGCCAGATTGCGTGTGTTTCATAAAGTGTAGAACCTGATTTTGAAATGATTATTTTTTTAAAACCGGTCTGCAACCATGTGCACATAAAGCTAAACATATTTATATTAAAACAACATATGCAGTATTTGTAATTAGGATCGAAAGACTTGAAAGACTTTAGTTGCAATCAACTCAACATTGATATAGATGCTTCTAACTGTCTACGACACTTTTTTTGCATGCAACCAAATGCAAATAACTTCTAAGTAAATAAATAGCACAACAACTCGTAAGAAAAATGTAGAGGGAAGCACGCAAATTTAATGATAAAGGTGAAGTACGCAATACGACTTAAAATGAATCAGATGCAACTAAGAGGAACAAAAAAAAACTAGTTTATGAGCGTGATAGCTTGGAAATGCCCTGGCAGAATCACACTCGTTCAAAAGTTGATTCATGCGAACTCAGGATGACTGACCCAATGTTAATTAGACAGAAAAAAAATACAAACAATATCAACAGCATTTCAGGTGCTAATTGGTCTTATGTTTATGCATGAACCCACGCGTGTGTCTTGCTATGCAAATTGAGAGGCGCCCGAGTAACCCAACTCCACTCTCCCACTCTCTCCCCCTCTCACTCTCTTGTCACTTACCCTCGAGATTCTGATCGTAGCCCTTGGTAAAGTAGAGCATCGCTTTGGCGGCACGCTCCGGTGTCTTAATCAGGCCCTGCCTGTCGGGATTCTCGCCGAGACCGCCGAGTAGCAGGCGATAGGAGCGTGCCATATCAGGTAGCAGTGCCTCCCGTGTCGGTGGCTTGTGATCCAGCTCCAGATCGTGATGGAAAGTGCAGTTCTCATGACCTAAAAACAACAATAAAAAAAAAAAAACAAAAAAACAGAGTGAATATATATAAAATAACATTCAAAAAATAAACAATGTGTAGAAACGCTCGTTTGGGCAGATAAGGATAGCAGCCAGTACTGAATGAGTCGAGCTTTCTGCTCTTAACGGGCTGAGTTTACAATCACCAATCAGATTCGAATCACCTCTGACCCACACCCAGTGTGAGCTACCGAAATTTGAACTCTTATCTCTTATAATGGATAATGGGTTATGTTCTAGCTGGGCGCTAGATTATATTAACGTTGTTAAAACAATAACAATATAATAGTAACTTACAATTTGACTACCTCCTAACTGGCAGTTATCTCATAAAACCCTCTAAATATTTATGTAAAATTGTCTTTTGATCATTTTTACCTTAATTGTAAAACCAAAAAGATTTGTTTAATATGTATAGAAATACATTCTATAATCAGAGGAATTTGCCATATATATATATATAATATATGCTATACTTTAACTGAGAAACATTTCTAAGAACAGAGAACACATTTGTAATTCATGTGATTCTAATTCATATATAAAATCTATTCTCTATCTGAGCTAATTATTGAAGCAATTAATTGTTGTTATTTCAGTGTAGTATCTAGGCTCGATAAGTGGTAGGTGGGCGGGTGAACCCTGCGTTGACCCTGATGAGATGACGCCCTCGCACGACTACCTGGCGTTGTCGATGTGCGCGGTGTCATTGGTGTTAACGGTTGTGTACCATCGCTATTTTCCGGAATGCTTGTGCTGGTCTTCAGTATCAAACGTGGACGTGGATGTGTTGTGCTGGCCACCAGTTGCTGCTGCTGTTGCTGCTGCTGTTGTTGCTGCAGTTGTTCCTCATTATCCACAACGTTGCCCGTTAAGTTGGCATCCTCGCTGTTTGCTGTGGTTGGCGGCACGGCACGCTCGGCCAGGGAGGAGGTGCCCGATGTGCTACTTGTTGAGCAGACACTGTTGTTGCGGCCACGCGACAGGATGTGAGCCTGTGGAAAATTGGTGTCATCGATGGCATCATTTAGCTCGCTGGCGCTCATCTCGGACAGTTGGCGTGTGAAGCTCATTGTTTACTCGTTTTTTTGGTTTTATTATTTGTCTCCGGTTCAATATTTGTCGTGTGTGTTTAGAAATGGCGGCGCAAATGGCACAAACAACAATTGTCAAATTATAAATACACAAAAAAATATTCGACTTTGATTTGAATGAGCAAAAACAAACGGAGTATGAAGCGCGCGCGACGTGTTTGCGTTGTGAAATGCTTAAGGCAACTGGCTGGGCTTGCGGGCTGAGCGATGCTAATAAGAACTTAAAGAGTGGAGAGCTTTGAGCGACGCACACAAAAAGCTTTGCTCAGCTCAGTTTGCGCGCGCCTACAGTTTGAGGAGCATAGTGATTGCCAAACGGTGGCATTGTGTGGCATTTTGACTTTCGAACTTGTTGCTTTTATGTGGGCGGTGGGTGGGCGGGTGTTGGTCTGCAAATGGCCAAGGTTACTTCTTCTTTGTCTCTGTTTACAGTTCGTTTTAAGTTGTAAGTTTTTTTTTTCCTCTATTGTATTGTGTTTACCCAAGCGGCAGCAGTCAGCTGAGAACTTAAAAGTCACTCATTCACACACACACACACACACGCAAAATCGAGAATCCCGTTCTGACAAAATTTCAAATTTTATGCTTTTGGCATGGCTCATCGAATTAAGCTCCGCTGCGATGATTTTGATGTAATTGGCGCCGTTCCACGCGACCTCTCCGTGATCAAGAACTTTCTGAAACGGGACTGCGCCGTTAAGCACCTAATTGATATCGAAGAGGACTTTCTCAGAAAATGTGCCCAGCAACAGGAGCAGCAGCAGCATAGCGCCAATGATGACACCATTCGTCATGCGAATAATAAGAAAAAGCAGCAGAATGGAGCCAAGGAAGCGGAGCAGCCACCACCACCAGATCCTTGTGCCAGCACCACGCCCCCAGATGCCAATGCACCCAACTATTGTGATCCCTGTAGACGCCTCAAAACTTCTCTGGTTCTAGAAGAGGTGCGTACCTTAGAGAATAATTATAATTAGTTATTTGAACTATATAAATAGTTATAGCTTATAGTTTTCATCAGCCGAGGGTATTAAGTTCTACGGAACTCTTATCGCCTAATCGTTAAGTGCCCGTTATAGGCGCGACTTGGTAATAATAATAATTGTTTGACGGCGCCTGGTAAATTTGTTTTGATTCGATTGCAATAATTTACATTAGTTCCTGGCTAGCAATTGAATGAATAAGTTCAAAGATTTTAATTGTGTTGACCACACAGGTGACTCAAAAACTAATTCCATAATCGACACACGTAGCACGTAGCTAAACTCAACTTGTGTCTAATCTGTCTATAATCTATAGTAAAAATTAATCATCATGCATAGACAATTTTCAGCAAAATATTGAAATTAATATTTAATTAAAATGTATATAAATATTTTCATGATTATGGATTAAGGATAAGCGATTTAGGAAAAAACTTGGATATACCATCATTATCTTCAGGGATTCAATAGCTTCCAATAACTATTGAACTCTCTTTTATTTGAAAGCTAACAAGACCGGCTATTACCAATCCCGTCTACAATATGGGATCACCTCCATATTTCGATGAGGAAACCGTACTGGATAGCTCCCAACCAATAAGATTTCGTTTCCGGCGGAAGGCAAACAATTGTGATGCGGAGAGGACCTCCAAATTGCCATGCACTCCAACGGAAAACACAAACGTTATGGTGTTAACCAACAGCAATGACATTATGGTCTGGCCCAGTCAGAAAGTGTCTCAAATGAATCGTGTACCAGTTACTCTCTTATCTGGACCTGGAGACCTCACCGAGTACATGCTGGAGGAGGAGACAATTATGTGAATGAAGGAAGACTATCGAACATTAGTTTTGCAAAAATACGAGGAAAAAGAACAACTAAATACAATCACAGTTATACAAACTGTACAGCAACTTTAAATTCTGCGAAGCCAACAAAAAGACTCAATAAAATGCAGTCAAACAAATTACATGAACAATAAAACAATTAGAAGAAAACATAGCATTTACTTATTTTGGGGAAGCCATCAAAAAGACTCTCGCCCTCAGAAAAGTTGGGAGCAAATTTAGTCACGTTTAGTTGAGTGTAATTTGTATGGCTTACAATTAGAGTTGAATTAATTCTGCAGAGATTTAAATGCAAGAGATCTTAATATGCTGGTGTTATATAGAAAGTGTCCCCGAATGAGTCAATGAACGCTCAACGTTTTCGTACTATCCAAATTTATGCAGCTCGGAGAGTGTCTGCGAATGCTAATTGCGGTATACGATTAAAATTTAGAATATTTTTTTTTTTTAGGATCCCATGGCTTGAGCACAGTTATTTAACATATACATACCATGCATATGTAGTTGACAGGCAGCTGGGGAATCGAAATCGACATCGACATCGACATATAGAATGAAACACATATGCTATTACAAGAAAAATAAATCAAATCAGCGACAGTACAGTAAAACCTAAGCGAAGAGTTTTTTTTATTGATTTTATCAAGTATACGGCACGTTAACAATGCGAATTCAATATTGTGAATATCTCAGTTGGTATGTTTCACTAATCATCGATTATTGCGATATAATTTACCACGAATAGATCTGAGCAAATCGTTTGATCTGCCAATCAATGCATTATAGTGTTCGAACAGTGTACGCTCAACCTGCTTGGCAAATATCGATCGTAAGCATGAACTGCAATTAAGTGAGCGACGTCATTATTAACATTTTTCCATAGGGCAGGTGTTTTACTTTAAACATTTTTTTTCTTTTGTCACAATTGCAACAATTACGCATTACAGAATTCTACAAACTATGTGCGACACGGGAAGAGGGGTTGGGGTGTAGATTTGAACTTATGGGGGTTGTCTTTCAGAACACCTAATTATGCGACTCTTGGATTGGTTTCTTATGCTACAATTATAAGCGACATATGTTTTTAAAGTGGTTACTGTAATTTTGTTGTTGTATTGACCGCGATCGCTCAAATGTGAAGCTTGGATAGCCACCAAGTATTAAGTATTGTTACTCATGCAATACGTAAGAAACAGAAATAAAAAAAAAAATAGACAAAAAAAAAACTGAGCCGACAAATCTAAACGATTTTAGCCGCTTTGTGCTGTTGTTGTTCTTGTTGTTGGTATTATAGAGCGAGTGTACTCGCAGCAGAGCGTCCAATTAAATGCTTTTAACCTTCAAAAAAGTAGTACAGGTCTAGCCTCGGGGCCCCCGCTCGGCAACACTCCCGCCTCGCTATCCAAAATACCGGATTACGTTGAGGAGTTAATGCTCTGTGTAGCATTATGTATAAAAGAAGAAAAAAAATAGAAAAAATAAACCATACCGTTCTCTTGTTGAAGATCTGCCGATCTGCAGGCGAAACTTTCAATGTCAATGTCAATAAGTCAGTTAGTCGTTTAATGTATGGTTTTTTTCGAATACATATTCATATGCATATGTATGCGGGCTTTCGGATGTATGTGTGTATGATTTTTTTTTTTTCTTAGAATTTGAGGTAACATTTTGCGGCTTACGTGCAATTGGTATTAGTTTTATGTGCCAGCATCGCCGGAAATCAGAGCTATGCCTAGAGGGTCATTATGCGAATCTGAGAATCTGAGCTGCACCTGATCTCATCCATATACATATGCGCTTATATGATGAAATGTGTGTGCAGTATTGCTCTGAAACTAGTCGGGGGATTTATGTTACCTTATACGCGATATTAAACACGTGCTGACAATCACAAAGGGCAACTCAACTCAACTCAATCGGGAGTTCAATAAATAAATACTCAATCTTAACAGAGCAGAGAGATTTCTCAGCATCGGCACACTGTTAACTAACAGCCGATATACAAGGAAGCGAATTGCAATCATTTCCACTGCACTGTTACCTAACAGATAAAGATAAACAAGGAAGCGAATGACATGCCATCCTTTCCAGTCTTGCGGGAATGTTAGTCACAAGCACTGTACACTTACTATTTCCGTTGCCTATGTTAAGCATTTCCAGTTTCAGCTGCTGAGTGCTTTTCGCAGGAACGATGGCGCCCGCACTTTCCGCAACGGCTGCTTCTGCTGCTGTTGCTGATGCTGCTGGCACGATCGCCGCTGCATCCATAGCGACGCTGGCCGCATCCGTGGCAATGTCGCCATTTTGAGTGCTACCATTTTGTTCGTTGACTTGAGGTTTCATTTTGTTTTTCACTTTTGTGTGTTGTACAATTAATAAATTTATTAAAAGGATATGTTATTTTGCTTCTTTTTTTTTGGTTTACTAGCGCGATATCGATGCTAAACTAAAAACTAAATAACGCGTATGGCGGAATAATTAGCCGTTAGCTCGTTTGTTTTTTTTGCTATATAATTTTTTAAATTTATTGTTTCTGTTTGGTTTTGTTTTATGAAATTTGATTTTAATGGTTTGACGTTAATGCGCGCGCGCTCCGCTTTTATTTGCTTCACCCGACTAAACGGCCAGAGATTTAGTTGTAACCTTTTTATTATGAAAAATCGAAAGTTCTTGTTCAACGAGAGATACAACTGACGACGACGATGACGGCGACGACAACGACGGCTGCCAGCGTCGCTTTTTGCGGTCGCTTGCCTTTTGTTTCTGCTAATACAGTGTGGCTCCGTTAAGTTCAACCAGCCAAAAAGGTTGACTGACATTCGCTCTACGAGATTTAATATAAATGCAAAGTTATCAATTTTTTCATGGTTCATACTTGCTTACAAACTTGTATTTTCTGATTTCACTGCTCTCTCGTTTCTAATACGATGCCATTGCATGCATTTCCTTTAGCGTCAGAGTACTGTAATTGTATTCGGTTACTTTTCGCTTACTTGTTGCTCTCTGAGCAACACTGGCCGTGGCCGTTAGTTATGTGCATATAAATCGGTAAGTACTCGTGTGCGTATTATTGCAAAGCTTTTGCGCTACTCTTTCTCTCCCTCTCCATCGCTCTCTCTCCCTCTCCCTCTCTCTCTCTCTCTCTCTTTGGGTGTGTGTGTGTGTCGGGCTTAGCGCACGAGGACTACAGGAAATCGGTAAAGTGTTCGTCGCTTGAATGCTGAGTTTCAAATATTTTAATTGCCTGCAAAATTGTTTGTATGCAATTAGAACTTTCTCTAAATAAGCTAAATAAATATTGAAGTAATATGCTTTTACATCAAACGTACATATTCTTGATAAACTGACTGTATAAAGCCACAATTGAATTATTGCCATCCAATTTAAAAGTTTACTTCAAATTCGATTCATCTATTAGGCAAATTACGTTCATCGTCATCGATAACAACAACGATTGATTTTGCCGCCTTGAGCAGCTGCCGCAATTTGGATATTGAGTCATTCCAATTGGCGGCGAATGAGCGACCGCTAAATTATAAATAATATTAATTAACAGTTAATAAGGCATTTACGTCAGTTTTGCCATGATTAACAATATAATACAAAAAAATAAATAAAAATAAAAAACCCGCCCCAGCCAAAGTTTTGACTTTTTAAGTTATTGTTCGGCTTTTGTTGCACCGTTTAAAGGCATTCAATGCCATTAGCTGGCAACAAATTCACTTTTTATTATAATTATGTGTATTCTCGTATACAGCCGCAAACATGGCCCGTCAAAAGGAAAAATACATTGCGGAAGGAAGAGCCAGAGCCAAAGCCAGAGCCGGGCGCCAGATACGAAAACCGGTTTCGTTTTTATTGATTTATATTTGTTTTTGTTTTTTTTTTTACAGCTCCTGCACCTCGCCGCCCACGCCCTGTTTGCCCTGCGCCTGCCGCTCCAGTTTCTCCTGCTCCATGCCCTCGAGTTGCGCCAGCGTCAGCAGCGATATGCCCAGCTGAACTTCCCGTGAAAACGGCTGGGCCATGCGTCGCAGCCAGCGGCGAGCGAGCTGCACAGCCTCCTCTGTGCTCAGATTGCAAAAGCTATCGACCAGATGCTCCTGTATCCATTTGGGCAGACGCGAACGTTTATCCTGGCGCGAGAAGCGCTTGTCGGCAAAGATCATGATGCCATAGTCGGTTTTGCCGCGCAACGCACGGCCCACACACTGGGCGGCATGCCGCATCGCATCAAAGGTGAGAAAGTCATTCTCACGTATCTGGAATTGGTCGCGCAGATAGTCGAGACGCGCCTTGAGTATGCGCGACTGCGTGTACACATAGGGTATGCCGAACATGAGCACCGCGCGACCATAATGATGATCGAAATCCACACCCTCGGAGACCTTGCCACGCGCCACAGCCAACAGCACAGCGCCGCGACCACAATCGCAAGCCTAAAACGAAGATCGAGATCACGATGAATATATGTGCAAAATGTGTGTCAAGCGCATAGCATGGAAGCCATAGCAGTGTCAGTGCCACACCTTAACATAGTTCATCAGCGCATAGCTCGTCTCCGCATTGTCCTGCGTCTCAATGAAGAGCAGTTTGTAGCGCAGCAGTGTGTCCACAATGCCCTGATCATACCACGAGGCAACAACCGACTCCAGATACAAATACGATGTAAAGAAGCAAACAATGCCATCGGGCACAGTTTTAGCCACCTCCACCAATAACTGGCCATAATTCCTAATCACCGCAGTGTCCTCACGTGTCTCAAACTTGGATGAAATGGACACTTGATCGTTGCCCTTCGACACAATCTATTCAAAAAAAATAAACCAATCAAATTTAAATAGATGCCACAGAGAAAACAAATTAAAAAACCGAACCATTGGCAGCAAACAGGGACGCGCCAATGTCATTGTAAAGCTGCTCATAACCACCGGATCAAAGTCCAGAATCTTGGGATACATGTCCATGGGCGAAAGAGTGCCCGATGTTATGACAACGGTTTGAAAGCGCGAAAAAACTGGCGCCATGGCAATCGATGAATCCAAGCAGCTAAAATGCATTATGGGATTCGAAACAGTTGGCGTTTTGTCATCAAAAGGCTCAATGATAATTGTGAATCCTTTTGTGTACGTTGAAACCAATGTTGCAAAGTGGGTAATCTGTGAATGGATGAATATAAAAAGTCTCACTAACAGCAAGTATCGTTTGTTGTGACCCACCAGCGTCAGGGCGCCAAATTCAGTCATATCGCTAATTTCCAGCGTACGCAACAAGCTGGACAAGCGCTCGGCACAGAAACGAAGCGGTTTGCGTTCGATGCATATCTTGGAGGATACATCTTTGAGGAAGCCTGCCGGCGATTCCTGGACGACGTGATGGACACGCAGACGCGTCTTGATGTATTCGATGAAGCGGCGCAAGAAACTGAGAAAATGATCCGCATTGCGTATGTTGCCGGGCACAACCTCGGTGAGGACATCTTTGGGCAGCACTGGATTGGCCAAAATCATGTCCGTATCGCGTTGTACGCTGGCATCCTTCAGACCCTGCACCATGCGCTGATATTCCTCATTCAGTCGGTTCGTATCTTCATCGCGCATACTAGAAAAACCAAAATTGGAGTTAGGGGCTTACATTATTATCCCATTTAGAGCTACATACTCCTGTACCAATTTGGTGAGATTATTGAGAGCATTCGTGCTACGCTCCACGGTGCGTCGATTGATTTTCACGCTCATGGAGTCAATGCAGACATTATCAATATTATGCGCCTCGTCGAATACAACGCAGGATTCGCGTGTCATCTCCTTGGAAACGACCTGTGCAATCTTCGGATCCAACAGATAATGATAACTGTAGACCACAATATGTGCGTGTGCAATCTGTGCAGGATTATCAGGATTCATTAGAGCACATTTCATTGGTATATTAACTCGGAACTCACCGCGTAACGTGCTGTAAAATAAGGACACCAGTTCCTTGAGCGTCCATATTCCTTAAGATCATCAATGCTATATATGCCCACAGGCAACGTCGACTCTTTGCCCTCCAGGGTAAATCCTTCAAAATACTGACCTGCAAAAATACTACATATAGAATAGATAATCAACATAAAACCTAGGCGGCGTTACTTACAAATGGGCACTTCTGCATCCATTTCGTGGCGTTCACGTATGTAGCTAGCAGTTAATCCATAGCATTTGCCATCGACAGCTTTGCCCTCGCGCTCCTTGCTCACCTCCGGATGGATGCACATGTTCTTGCGTGAGCTGAGCACCAGACCCGTCATCCCCGGCGGCGTATGCGCATGTTTATCATAGTAGACCATTAGATTCTGTAGCTCAGCAATTACTTTCTCGATTTCGGGCACAGTTCGGGAGCAATATATCAATTTGCGAATCCTCTCTGGATGCTCAATCATGTAGGCGACAATTAGGGAGAGCAGCGTGGCTGTTTTTCCCGTTCCCGAAGGCATCTCCAGCAGACAATGCCCCTTGGCGTCCAGGCTTCGCTTCAGCTCCAACATATACGCATATTGTTCGGGATAAATGTATTCGTAGGGAAAATATACAAGCAGCCCATCTACGCTGAGCCTGAAGAAGTCAAAAATATACAGACTCCAGACTCTTTACACATGAATTATCTCACTTACTTCATTTTTAGTAGCCTCTAATTAATATAATTAAACACTTTCGAACTACAGAGACTTTTCTTATTTAAAATTTCGCTTCTCTGAGGAATTTCGCATTTGTTTTCATTCAGTATGCGGCGTGCATGCCGGCATATCGACAGCTATCGATAACAATCGGCATTTATTGCAATTCTTACGGCACGTATGCTGTTCACAAAACATTTTACCAACCAATTAAACCTAGTGGTCTTAAAACGAAACCTAATTAAATAGTTACAGTTACTGTAAGAAATCTTAATGTATGTATTGTTGTTTTGATTGCGCAAATTATACCACCAAGCAAAACAAGCAATTGAATACAAGCAAAAAATTTGCTGTTAACAGCGTACCAAACCCAAAACAAGTATTCCATAGATTTATGTGAATTTAGGCTGAGTAAATGTTTTTCCAAAGTAAAATTACCATTAACAATTAGCTATTTGCGCATTACTTAAAATTAAATATCAAATAAGATAAGCTCACGCTCTATGGACGATCTCAATCCGTTGGCTGGCACAGCGCATCTGCTGGAGGAAGTGGATAGTGAGAATTATTAGCTGAGAGTCGGCTTGATTTATGTTAAATGATTTTACAAATACAACTTTTGCAGAGAAACTCATGGTGCTGCTGAGGGATGGAAGAACACTCATTGGCTACTTGCGTTCCGTAGATCAGTTCGCCAATTTGGTACTGCAGCGGACCATCGAGAGAATACACGTTGGCAATGAATATGGAGATATTCCGCGGGGAGTTTTCATAATACGCGGCGAGAATGTTGTGCTCCTCGGGGAAATTGTGAGAAAACCGAAGAACACTCCTAAATTCTCTGTTACTAGTAATACTCTCTCCATTGCAGGATCGTGAAAAGGAGCAGAAGTTGCCGTTGAAAGAGATATCGGTCGATGCGATTCTCGATGCACAGCGTCGCGAGCAGGAGCAGCGACAGGAGAAGCACCGACTGGTGTCCAAGGCGCTTAAGGAGCGCGGCCTGGCCGTCAATGCGGACATCATCAATGAGGACTTTTGCTAGGGCAACATAGCACATAGTTACTTTACCATTAAGATTAAAGAGAGATTCATATTGATTTTTTGTCACTTGTATATTTGTACTCCATAAAAATCTATTTAAAAACTATATATATACATTTATATATGTACATAGGTCTCGCTATGTGTGTGTTTGTGTGTAATCTATGTGGTCGCCTCCGCCGACTCCTCCAGCAATATGTACTTCTCCAGTATCTGATACATTTCCACTTTAGCCTTAATCTTATGCCGACGCGACAATTGTCGCAAATAGGCCGCCACCGATTTGCAGAAGAAATCATCTTCAGTCTCATTCATGCCGCTTCCGCTGCAACTGGCGTTTGCTCCTGCTGTGCCTGATGTTGTCGGTGGAGCAACTAGTGCTTCGAAGTTCGACGCCGTCTCTGGCTTGTGGTCGCGTTCCGCTCGCACACTCGGCATGCAGACCATGTAGTCCATTTCCGTCTGAGAATGGTCAGCATCAGACGGCGATGCAGCCACTGTGGACACCGTTGTAGCTGCCGCTGTCGTCTCTGGCACCTCGCTGACCAGTGCCGGCGATGAGTGCAGCGAGGGCAACACTTTGTGATCATTCGATTCCGTTTCGGCCATATACTCTTCATAGGAATCATGGCCATCGCCATCGTCCGCTTCGACCAGCACTGAATAGCTTTCCGATTGCGTTGTCTGCACCTCCAGCTTGGCATCGGCATCGTAGTTGTGATCGCACTCATCATACACCTGCGACTCATCCAAATCCTGTTCGATTAACGCGTCTGGCTCCGCGCGTACTTTCACCTTCGTCGGCGTTCTCACGTCCGTTTTTAGCCAGTTGGCGCAATCGTCGCGACGGCTTCGCTCGCGTCGCTTGCGCACAAATTCCCGCAAAAAGTCCATTTGGCGAAAAAACTCATTACGTCCAAATTCGGAGGCCGGATGAAGGCGCATCTGTTTCAGCTCACGAGAATAACGATCCCGGAGACAAGTCCAGCGACGTCGCGCGTCTGGCGATGAAATGTTCAAAGTATCTGCGACTTTAGCCCAATCCTCCTCTTTGCGCTGCGACAAACGAAAGTCGCCATGCCTGTGATCGTATAGTGAGGGCGTTGAGCGAATCGTGCGTATTAGCATAACATCCGATTCGTCAAGAGGCCGGTGGTGGGCGCTCATTTTGTGTTAATTACTATTGTACATTAATTTTGATCAACTTTATCGAAGTTTATGTTTTCGTTTTGCTTTCTATACAGTGTGACCAGTGTGTACAATCGCTAAATACCTAAAACTGTGTAATGCATCCCTGACATATTGCAAATAGTCTGACAACCTCAACATTTAATATATCCTTGCCCAATAAATGAATGATATACTGTTTTTAAGTAGGATTTTATTATGTGTATTGCAAAAATAAAGCTGTTCGTATATTTATTTCAGAACATAGAAAAAAGTAATCGGCTTATTTGTATGACTACTCAATATATGTGGTACATCGATATAAGCCGATAAGTCGATATAAATAACAAGTATCCCTGCAATCGGCAGCCATTTTTTCACGCTTTCATGCGAAAAAAATTTGTGAAAAATTCGTGTAAGAAGTTGTCGAACGCGCAGAAAAGTGATTTATAAAGTTTTCCCCACATTAATATAGTATGCCAATTTAGAATTTTGTGCGTGTGTGTGTAGTGTGTGAGCATTCAAATTGAACATGGAGACGGTCGGCGCATTCAATAATGAGGTAAGATGAGGCCGCCGCCGCACACACACATCTGTACATCGGTACATCTTTCAATACATATCTAAATCAGCTCACGGTATTTACTTACATACATACATTTGTATATATGTATATATATTGTATAATTTTGGATCGTACACAATTGTAATGTGTAATTTGTTGAATGCTTCTGACAGAGACAGCCGCAGGATGCTGCTGTGTGGCCGTCTGTCTGCCTGTCTGTCCACACTCAGAGTCAGTCTCCATATATTTTTACTGATCACCATTTGTTTCCACAGCTCTCCGGACTCTATGATAGCCGGCCGCCCATATCGAAGGCTAAAATGGCGGCCATCACAAAGTCGGCAATGCGTGCAATCAAATTCTATAAGCATGTTGTGCAGAGTGTCGAAAAGTTCATACTCAAATGCAAGCCGGAATACAAAGTGCCGGGCCTGTATGTCATAGATTCGATAGTGCGCCAGTCAAGGCATCAATACGGCACCGAGAAGGATGTGTTTGCGCCGCGCTTCCAGCGCAATCTGACGGAAACGTTTGCTAATCTGTTTCGCTGTGCGCCCGAGGACAAGAGTCGCATTATTCGAGTGCTCAATCTGTGGCAAAAGAACAATGTCTTCAAATCGGACGTTATACAGCCCATATTCGATTTAGCTGATCCCAATCATCCGATTTATCATCAAATGCCACCGATTGTTGGCGCTGGCGGACTCAATGCCGGCCCCGGGCCAAGTGGCAGTAGTGGTGCTCTAAATCTATCCGATCTGTCGAGTGGCAATGTGGCCAATGGCTTGAATTCGTCTGGAATGAGCAACATGGATCTTAGCTCGGTAGGCGATGATAAAATGGGTGGAGCCATGCCGGATTTGTCGGTGAGTGGGAATATCAGGAGGGAGAATGGCTGGATGGATTTCTCTCGGCTAAAGAGACTGGCAATGGAGTTAGTTGAGTTGAATAATTAGTGATTTATCATTGCCAGAACTCAGGTTGCATATAGTATTATTATTAACATGACTATGATGCCTCTTACGATTTGCTTTGTTGTTTACTACTCCGTTTCTGATGCATGTCTTGCCTAAAACTCCCACAGTTGAGCCATGATAAGTGCTCCAGTTCTAGCCGGCGGCACATGGAGCAGCATTATATGAAGCAGCGACAACAGCAACAGCTGCAGCAGCAACATCAGCATTCCAGTTCGTCGGCTTCCGGTTCGAAGAGTCGCTTCGATGTTGTGGGTCCGAGCAAATCGCATCATCACAGCTATGGCAAGAATAGCAGCTCACACGAGCTGGACTACGATGTGCGTGAGTTTATGGATGACGACGATGGTGACATGATGATGGCCGATGATCACCATTGTATGGGCGATGATTCCCCGCCGGGCTCATCGAATATGCTAGATGTATGAGGAGTCGTCCCCAACAAACACATTGCACAAATGCATTTTGATTTTTCAGTATTGTTTTTGTTTGCTTAATTTTTGGGTTTAAGATTAGTCTGTTTAATTTATTTCTACACCAACGACAAGCAATGCCTGTTATTTGATTTATAATTTATGCACGATATTGCAGAACAACAACTTGAAGCAGCTGCTGAACGATCCCAATGTGCTGCGCCAGCTGCAAACGTTGCAGAACTTTCAAAAGTTCAAGCAGCAGGAGGAGAACCAAAAACATCGCTACCAGGAAGATGCACTGCAGCAGCATTTGCAGAATGTGCTCAAGGTGTGTTGTGTACCGAAGCTCTGATTAATAATTATATTAATTCTTATTCATTTTTAATGATCAATATTAAAATTCTATTCGTTTAGAGCACAGCTGGAATGCCGCCGGGCATGGCGCCCCTGGGCATGGGTCATAACGATGTGGCGGACATGAACAAGGACGTGGAATTCATATCGGAACAGCAGCCCATTGAGGTACACCCCCATTACCACATTAATTTTATAGATGCCAAGCGGCAATTGTGTGCAATTTTGATTTGATTCGAAACAAAAGTGCAAACAAACCTGCAACAAACAATTGTGGTTCTTGTTGCTGATACATAATACCATATAAATTATAACGCACACATGAAACTGGAATTCGGAGATCTCTTCTCTTCTCAATTCCGATTTCATTGTGTCGGAAGTGCTGCGGACGTGCCCAAAAATGTTGTTATACCGGGGCGGACTCTTCTATATATATATATATATATATATATATATATATATATGATCCGGTTGGCCAAACTCAAGTTCGAGTTGAAAACGTATTGGGGAATAATAATGATTAAGTCTGCCAAGCGTAAACACTAAATTATTAATTAATAATTATTTCGAAATGACTACATAAATCTGACGGGATTTGTCTTGCAATAGTTCAATTTTGTGTACTTTTGGCCATAAATTGATTGTTTAACGAGAGCCATAGTTAAATTTTAAAACTTGACACTTTGCATATGAATTTATTGAAAAAAAAAAAATAATGAAAAAAATGGTAAATAAAAAGAAATGAGACTAAAGGTAAGGTTTATATATACAAACTGGCGGATGCGAAAGCCGATGATTGCGAAGTCCCGTATAACAGCACGTTTGGTAAGTTCCTTAATATGTAAACCACAAAACTCAAGTCGATTCAAATTCAAATTACCCATCAAAAACTTGCTCGAAAACGCATCGATAAAGATACAAAAACCAAAAAGAAACAATGCCAAAAACAAATAGTAAAGATAACCGCCGACCAAAACAAAAAGGCCCAAAAACCACACGTCAACACGCCAATGAATGCAGTTATAAATTATGTATTTCTATTTATTTGTAGTACTACAATTTCCAATTACCCAATCTTCCCACTTCCACTCAATACTAATCAAAAAAAAAAAAAAAAAAACATCAATTCTAACCGAATGAGAAATCAAACCCAATTCCCATTCCCATATTCCGCCATTATTTGTTTTATGCTTAAAATGTTAACGTTTATATCACATCACTCTCTCTCAAATTTCTTGCAAAAAACCAAAAACAAAAACCAACCAACTTGAAACGATCAGGTTATCAATCTGGATGGTGCCGATTCCCGTAGTCCGACGCCCGATCGGGACCGATACAAGCGTAGTCGCCGCAGCAGCCGGAGTCGATCGCCACGGAATCGTGGCGGCGGCGGTGGTGGTGGTGGCAGCAATGCCAATGATCGTGATCGCGGCAGCCGCCGTCGTGGCTCTCGCTCCCGCAGCCGCTCACCACGTTCCAGCCGGAGGCGTGGATCCCGAGATCGTGACCGGATGGAGCGCAGCACACGCGACAAGGAGCGGGATCGCGAGCATGAACGGGAGCGACGCAAGAAGGGTCTGCCCGACATCAAAAAGGAACACCTCAGTGGTAACTATTCTCGCATAAACTATAGCATAACGTAACGTAACGCAATGTAGCATAACGTAACGTTACATTGCGTTGCGTTACGTAACGTAACGATCATGTAAGTCTCGTCACAGTAAATGTCGCAAGCGAAAGGCTCTGCAGAATGTGGAAATAAGCTGATCCTTCAGTTTCTTTGCATAGTTTCTTGCATGCAACATTGAATCTTAGTTTTTTCTTTGTTTCTTTTGTTTGCCTTTTGAATTGCGGCTAATATGTAAATCTTTCTTTATTCTGCAGCTCCTTGGCTCGGTTGACGTGTGTGTGTGGTGTGGTGTGGTGTGCGTGTGTGTTTTAGCTTTAGTGGTTCTTCAAAACTTACTATCTGGCATTCTTTAACCCACATTTAATATTCACAATAATTATTGACGCGTTTTTGAGCAAAGTTTTTGGCAAACTTATTAAGATAAATAAGTATCTTAATTAATGTACCCTTATCTCTATCGTGTACATTTATCATTTACCTTTACCAATTTACCGTTTGATACTTGATACAACTTGACACATTCAACAAACGTTCAATTGTGGCAAGTCAGTCGAATCGCACTCGTTTTGTACCCAATTAATGAATATTCGATGCGATCCGAATTTACGATTAAAAAAAACACATACATTTGGTATGCTCATACTACATACTAAAGCTACAACTTCACGCGGAGGAACAGAGCCTAGAGAGAGAGCGTATATGTCTTACTTACATGCAGAGCTATATTTATTTATATATATATCGACTATGTTGCGAAAATATTGTATGTTTAAATGTTAACTGTTATTTATACAAACTAGTTTTCAAATCTGAGTTTAACTACTCACTAGTACACATTTTAAACTAATCAAGAAGAAAGATGAGTTTTCATAGTATTTTTTTATAGGATTGACTATTCAGACATATTTGATAAATTTCACAGTTTGCTCAACATAATTAATTATAGAAACATAGTAGCTTACTTAATCTACAACAGAAATGGTTTCTTTATAATATGTTATATTTCGACCAACTGCTTATATTGGTCATAAATTTGATACAGTTGCAATACTTATCTATGCATCATTTAATTAATGAAGCTTCTAAGTGATAGTTTAGTTTGTGTGTAGGCATATTGACGCGGTAGTTGATAGGGTCTATAAATATATAGTATATATACTTATCTGTCTTTTTTAATAACATTATACGTTGGTTATGGTACAATACGTTATTTTCGCAGAAGAAATCAATATATATATATATATAGAGAGATTAAGGTGAATCACATTACCAAATGCGGTTTTAGTTTGATCACCAAATAATTGAGTTTTGCATGCAAAACATTTTTGAAATTCTTAGCGCAATTGGTGTCCTTTTATGTTCTATCTATAATTCTATATAAATTCATTATTTATACCGTTTATTACTTTTTTTCTTACAGTATGCAGTACGACGCTGTGGGTGGGACATCTCTCGAAGCTGGTGTATCAGGAGGAGTTGTCCGATACGTTTGGCGAGTATGGCGACATCGTAAGCATCGATCAGATTGTGCCGAGGGGTTGCGCCTTCATCGTGATGAATCGACGCCAGGATGCGCACAAGGCCATGCAGGCGCTGAAGAATCATAAGCTGCAGGGTCGTGCAATCACCATATCTTGGGCAGCCGGCAAGGGTGTTAAGAGCAAGGAGTGGAAGGATTTCTGGGACCTGGAGCTCGGCGTCACGTACGTTCCGTGGAACAAGTTGTCTCCCGACACCGACTTTGACAGTCTGGAGGAGGGTGGCATGTTCGACGAGGACACCATGCCCGGCTGGATGAAGCAGAAAATCAATCAGGCGAAAAATGTCAAGGACAACAAGGGGACAGGCCTCGGCGGTGACATAAGTGCGGTGCCACCGGTGGCGCCACCAAATCTACTCTTTGGCATCGACACAACGCAGCCGCCACCGGTGGCGCCACCACCACATGGTGGTCCAGGTGCGCCTCCGCCTGCTCTAATGGGCATGGTGCCCGGTCAGTTCCAGATGGCGCCGCCCTTAGGCGGACCACCACCACCGCAACGCATGCTGGGCCCCATGGGACCCATGAATCATCCGATGGCTGGCATGGGCATGCCACCCAATATGGTGCCGGGCATGCCGCCGCCAATGATGATGCCGCCTAACATGATGCCGCCCGGCTTTCCGGGCATGGGTGGTCCGCCGCCACATCCGATGGGACTGCCACCAGGCGCACAGTTTCCGCCACCTGGTGCGGTGCCGCCACCGATGGCCACAATTCCGACACCGGCGGGCTCTGGCACCGGCGGCAATGTGAGTGACGATCAAATGGATATCGAAATGGAGCTGGAGGATGCGCCACCGTCCGTGCCGACGCCGTCACAGCAGCAGCAACAGGCACCCAACTTTAGCCAGCCACCACCGATCTTCCCCGGTGGCTCTGGGCCGCCCAACAGCGTGGAGGTGGCCGTCGCTGCCGCAGCCAATGAGCTCTTCCAGCGGGAACGCTCACGTGGCCCTGGCGGCGCCGGCGGCTCACGTTGGAGTGGTCGCGATGAGATCGCCGAAGCGTCTGAGCGCTGGCGCAATGAGAACGGCGGAGGTGGACCACCTCCGATAAGTGCTGGCTTCAATGAGGCACGAGCGCGCCTCAATTTAAACAGCATGGAGCATGGCGGCATGCTGCGACCAGAATTCTTGGGTGGCGTGGGTAAGTTTTGGATACTTTAGAGATTAACACACTGAACGGCAACATTAACATTTATTCCGGGCAGACTTTGATAATCGCTCTGGAGGTGCACCACGAGGCATGGGAACGGGACTAGGTCCAGGACCACGAGGTGGTAATCATAATGGCAATGGCGGTGGAGGTGATTTCTTCCCGCCCAACATGAACCAGAATCGCTTCAATCAGCCAACGAGTCTGATGCAGATGCACATACCGCCGCCATTTAATCAGCGCATGGGCGGACCGGGAAGTGCGGGCAACGGCGTGGGACCGATGTTTATGCGGAATCAAGGTGGTGGCGGCAGCGGCGGTGGCGGAGGGCCAGGCGGCAGACAGCAAGGACCAGGTGAGCCAGGTGGCAAGCCAATTGATTGTTGTACACAATATTAATTCCATTCCATTTGCCATTTGTAGGTTTCTTCAATCCACGCAATCCGTTTAACGACAATCAGCGCGGACGTGGAGGAGGACCAGGCGGTGGTCGTGGCATGGGCGGCGGGGGCGGTGGCGGTCGAGGCGGTCGCTGGAGTGATGATGAAGATGATATCAATGGAAAAAACAACAGCAATAATTTTAATAACAAACGTCGTGGTGGATCCGCCGGTGGCGGCCCAGGTGGCCCTGGTGGCAATCGATTTCGAGGTGAGCGCGGTGACGGCGACGATCGTCGCGGTGGCAATGCACGTGGTGGACGCGGTGGACAACGCAGCGAGGAGCGAGAACGTGGCCCTAACAACAACAACAATAACAGACGCGGCTCACGTGATGACAGCAACCGGCATTCGGTAAGCTCCACGGATGAGAACAGAGATGCCAACAAGCGGCCGCCATCGTCTGAGGGCGATTGTATCAAAAATAAACCGGTGGCAGCGCCAGCCGTTAACAAATCCACCGATAGCGACACCGAGGCGGATTGGGATCTTGAGCTGCAGGAATACGATGCGAGAATGGAGGCACAGCAAGCAGCTGAAATCGCTGCTGCTGAGGCGGCTGCAGCTGCCTCTGCTGCTGAGTCAACTAGCACTGCAAATGACACGGCGACAGACAGCAGCAGCAGCCAGCCAGTGGAAACCACAATCGACGACACAAACAGAGACGAGCAATTTGCCCGACCAGCTGTGCAGCAACAGCAGCAGCAGTCGCCACAGAAGGAGAGCAATGAGGGATCGAAGCCAAAGGCCACATCTCCTGCCTGCACGCCCCTCTACGACGAGCTGCCGCCACCTGCATTGGTCGCAACAGAAACAGCAGCAAGTGCAATGACAACGGCACCGCCTCCTCCGGAGCCTGTAGAACCGCATCCAAAGATCGAAACGCAACGGACTCCAGAGCCAGCGCCAGCGTCTGAACCACTGCATGACAATGTGGAATCAGCGCCAGCAGAAAACTCGCCTCCTGCAACGAAAGAGATATCGGATGCGCCGCAGCCAGTTGCCGATGCCCAGCCGGAAGTGGAGGCCGACTCATAGAATGAAATCCTAGAAGCGACGATGTAAGAAAAAACAAACAGAAAATAAATTTCGATTGGTTAAACATATTAGTCGAAAAGCATGTGTAATTTATAATTTCCTTGCATATATATATATATTTATATGTGTGTGTATATATGACACAACACCTCCCAATCCCACAACTGCATCATTTACATTTTACAACAAAATTTAGCTTGAGATTACGCATTTGTTGAGAGGCAGGCGACCCGTCGAGTCTGCACCCATTCTTGCTAGGCTAAGGCGCTTTAATTTTTATTCACCTATTTTAAGGCATTAAGCCGCCAAACGACATTTATGATGGATATCCCTCTGGTCCCAATTGTGAGTAACAAACAAAACAAAACAAACAACAACAACAATTATATATAAAAACAAATTAATTATTTTTCTTTTCAAATGATAAAAAGTAAATTTCAAATAAATCCAACACCACACAACCGTTAAGGGCGCAAAGGAACAAAATTGTAGAAAATAATTAGTAATTAATAAAATAAATATGGACGAAATTGATAGACACAGAAAACAGCCACGCTTGAAATGTTTATAATTTTGTTATGTATATAATTTTAAGCAGATATTTAACACATAAAATTGTTTCATATGCGCAGATTATAAGTACACGTATAATAATGTACAATTTAAATATGAAAATATTATCAATACTATTAAAAATAAACAAAAACAGACAGTTGACTTAAATACACTGCTTATCAATATGATGAGGGCGAACCTTGGGAAAACTCAGCAGGTCTTCTCTTTTGATTATGGTTTGGCTTCTTGATTACTATTGAATTTTAATAAGGAAAGCATGATTTTCCGTCCAAATTCATAAAAGTTCGTTTACTAAAAATTCGAATCAAGCTCTTGCGATGTGTTTACATGTATCTTATCCATATCAGCTTTTTGACCTTTCTCGTAAGCTTTTCATGCACAAATCGTTTCAGATCCTGAAAAGTTACAATCTATCGATAGATGTGCAGAATTTTGCTAAGGAGGAGCGATAGTTTATTCAAATTCAAGACTCAGCACTGCGTTACTTACTGAATTAAAGCAAGTTATAAGTTTTTCGGGCACAATAATTTCTCCCCAAATTGCATAAAAATATTAGATTTCAAACTTGTTGGTCCATAAAAAAACCGGCCGATTCTTTTCCGATAACAATTGTTTGCTGTTGAAAACAGTTCGCCAAATGTTAATGTTATTGGCGCTGTTAAGTAACATATCTGTTTGGTATTTTTCATAAATATAAAAGTCTTTGCACTTGATGTATGTGTGTGCGCGTCATTTTAGAGCGTGAATTTTCGATTCGGTAAAATAAAACGTAAAAAGCAAATCAATAATATTAATAAATGTTTTAAAAATTGCTGCACAACAAATAGCACAACTGCCATATGACAAAGTAACCAAAACTGAATAAATAAACCTCAAAGAACGCGAAACGACGGGCAAAAGAAAATTTTGGTTTCTCTGTGCCAAAGAATTTACACATACACCAGAGCACACGCATACATACATACCGATGTGCATAAATGTATGTAGATGTGTATGTGTGTGTGTCTATAGCTGTTGTAAGAAATGTGCAAAATTTTTTATAACATATACAAAAAGAGAGTTGGAATTGTTTGTGAAACGCGTTAGCCGCACTGATCAAATTGTCAACAATTCTGGACTGCTGCATTAGTGAACGGGAAAGGGAGAGAGAGCGAGTACACAAATCTTGTGAAATTTCATGCTATGATAAAATAAAACATGTCTATGCATATATGTATATGCCTATGTATTTGTGTATTTTTGAATATAGACACTATGCATACATCATACCAAAGAGCGCGCGCGTATGTTGAGTGTAAAAAATTTACATTAATATATGTATGTGCATACACAGGGACATCGCCGCCGCCAACAAACCAAATACATGCAAAAGTGTGCGCTTTGGTGTGTGTGTGTGTGTGCTTGTATGAATGTAAAGCGAAAAAGCAAACGTAACCGCTGACGACGACGACAACGACGTCGGCAGCTGGCTGTAATATCCAGGAGCATCCTTGTTTCTTTTCCTGTTAGCGCACAGTTCGCTCTCTCTCTCTCTCTCTCTCTTGTTGCTTTCTGTTGGTCTGCAGATGTGTGGATGCTGTTCAACAGCCATGCACCCCTTCCATAGCTTTACGCAGCAGCAGCAACAGCAACCTACCAGAGTCAGTTCGAGCAACTGTAAACGTCGCTCGCTGTGTATTTGTTGAACAACTTTTCACTTTCGCTTCGCTCAGTGCTGGCACACTTGGTTTTGTGCAAACTACAAGCAAGTACTTTGCGTATGCCATTGCTATATAAATTTCAATCGGCGCGAATATGCTGTTGGCTTAGACTTGATTATTATCAAATCGATGCCGGCGCCAATTAACTAATTTGACTGCAAATTCATTTAAATATATGTGAGTGTGTGAGTGCAATAAACGTCTAAACATATAAAGGAAAAAAAAATGAAATAATCACGTCACTTGAAACTGGCAAACAAACAGTAAATAAATTTACGTGCTTAAATGTATGTACATAACATGTGCATTTAGCCTGTTGTTTATGTTGTTCTAAAATCGCCGAAATCAGCTGTACATTAAATACGGGACAAAACGATCGTTGCATTTCATGTATGTTGTGTGTCTGAGTGTGTCTATCTTTGCTTTGATATGTGTATTGTGTATGCTGTTAGAAAGTGCACACAGAATGTTAAATCTCCGCAGAATACAGGACTTTACAGCGTAATAACAGCAAGTGTCACTGCATTTTTCTCGCAGCTAGATTTTTTTTTATAAATGTATATGTTTGTGTGTACGTACGTACACAATTGGTAAATCAATTTTCGTTCAATAAGTAATAAAAACTATATATGAAAGTACTTATTTTTGTACATTCATTATGGTATACAGCTAATGACCATTTTATATATGAATTCTATTTTTCCAACCCATTTCCTCCCAAAACGATGGGGTTGCTGCAAGCGCTTTTGGGCAAAATGTTAGCATGCACAGGCATGTTGAATCCGAGTATTTGTAAATGGATGTGTGTCTGAATGTAAATGTATTTGTTATATGTTTATTATACATGCATATGTGTATTTATTAAAGAAATTATCGTATTTTAACTAGAGGCTAAAAAAATCAGCATTGGCTTACACAGAATCAGTCATTTAAAGTGCAGATGGCTGTCAATAGATTTATCTATCAACTATGCTCGCACTTGTGTACATCGGATGTATGCATATGCACCAATACATACAGACGTATTTATATGTATGTGCGTGTGAAGCCAGACCAGACGTCATCGGTAAGCTCAGCTTCCGTTAGCTCGCTGCTAGTTGTTCGTTGTGTCAATTTCATGCTCTCGCATGATGCGCTCCACTTTTGGATGCTATTTATAAAGGTTTTTCCTTGTATGTACACACACACACACACATACTTATGTACACATACATACACATGCGCAAGAATGGTTTCTCTTGGCCACACACTGATGCTGCTTCCTTTAAATTTGCATACATAGTTCCGCTTCCGACCAAACTGAATATGTTGTGTCTGTGTGTGTGAGTGTGTGTTTACAGCGCAGTCGCAGTCTGTAAACGGATTGGATGCCATACGTCTGTGTGTGTGAGAGTCACAATCATTCAACTTACCGGGCAGAGCAGCATCCACATGTTGAGGCGCGTGCAGTTGCCGCTTCTTTCCCGTTCTTTCGAATGCTCTGCTTACGCATGTGCATAAATGTACATAGCATCATCCCGTTTCAACTACAGGTCGCATTCAAATTCAATTTCATCATTTATTGACAGGTTAGCAGCAGTGTGAACCACTGCAATGAAAACGTGCAACACTTAAAAAAAAAAAACATTAAAGGGACATAGCACGTCGCGTCTGATGGGGGCCCATACACGATTATTTTCCGCTGTTATCCTATCGGGAAATGTGTGAATCTGCTGTTATTATTTGACTTGGCAGCCTGTTGTGCGAACACATTTAAAGAAGACGTCTGTATTGGTTATAATATTTGTACAAGCAGCAGCGGAGAACGATTTTTCGTATTTCTCTTTAATGTACATTTCCATTATTACTTGCTTATTTTTGGTCTTGCTGCTCTTTCAAGTTGAATGTCAACTGTTGTGCTGTTAAAATATGAGCGAGCTGTGTTTTATAATTAACGGAGTGTGCACAGAAAGAAATTAAAATCGATAAACGATTCCGCGCTATTTATCACAATCCCAATTAATCTTGCAAACCATCTCAATTCTCTTTGTAAAAAGTGCGACAGCTGATCTCGCTCTCTCTCTCTCTTTAGGACGATTCGATTTTGTATTAAATTGTTTTATTTGCCTTTAGTGGCAGATGAATTAAATGCTAAATGCTGTAATTCGGCTATCGCTAAAAGTGATTATTTTTGTATACTAAATGGCTTGACCGCATTTCAACACCAATTGCAGCAACGCCCACCACAAGCAGCAGCGGTCAACGCACAACAAAACGAAAGTGTTGTCAAGAAAATAGTTTTGCTTAAAAATAGTTTTATTTTTCTCGAATAAATAAATGAACGATCGCATGCCCTCCTTCGTCCCCTAAAATGCAATGCTTAATGCTATAAAGGAATTAAATCTTATAAAGCATACACATGTGCATATATATCTATATCTATATATATACATATATATATATATATATATATATACATATATATATATATATATATATATACATATATATATATATATATATATATACATATATATATATATATATATATATACATATATATATGTGTGTGTAATCACGCTCACACATGCACAAAAGTAAAGTTTATATTTCCCGCTCTTCTTTCTGACGTATGTATCTAAAATGCTTATGTGTGGATGCGTGCATTCGTGTGTGTGTGTATATATTTGCAGTTAAAAACTAGAAGCCGGCTCAGCAGGAGGTAAATTTTGCGTATGCGTGTGATGTGAGGAAATGCCGCAACGGCAGCAGCCACCGCAGCCATATCGATGTCGACAGCGTCAACGTCAACAGCAGCAGCAACTGAAACAAAAGCAGAAGCAGAAACAAAAGCAACTGAAACAAATACAAATACAATTAAAGCACAAACTACAGCAAGAAAGTATCCACGACGAGCCACAGCATAATTAAATAATTGGCAGCAGATCTCCTCCAGCAAACTGATAAATTAAGTGTAAAAACTGAGCGTATGAACAATTAATTGATCCAAATTAACAGGCAACGAAAATATATAGATATTTATACATATATATTGTGCATACAATTTAACACAAAGTTCTCCAAACCGATAAGCAAAAAATAAAATAAAACGTGCTGCAAAAATGAAGCGACGCAACGCTGATTGTGGCAAATTACGTCGCCCAATGAAGCGCAACAAAATCACAGAGGGCATGTATGGCAGGTAAGTGTTAAAATGTCACTGAAGAGTCATAAGTATAAATACTCGTATGCATATACTCGTATATGAGGAAATATATGTATGTAGGCATAGTACACCTATCCAGCATATCGCGCTCTGTTGGCACACTTATTTGGGGACTACTCACATACCGCAGTGATCGCGTAATCCATAATTCTAGATTTGCTTCATTCGTCAAAAAACTTGTATTAAGCTCTGCTGCGTTACGTCAAAATTTGGAAGAATCAAAAATCAAATATAAGAACGAGCTTGTTATGAAATGACACATTGTTTTTAATGTAACCACTATCAAATACCCTGCAATAAATAAATATTAATTATAAAGCATCTCTTGAGTTCTGTGCTCAGCATGACTTTACATAAGATATACGATATATGTACAAGTCGTACAATCACAAATTAGGTTTTAAATTCAGCAAATTTTTAAATTCATTATATTATTTATCTTGTATGAAGCAGCAGGGTATTCTCATGGTACAGAATCCGATTTCTTCTCACACTCTTTCTAGTTTTATTACGCATTTATTTGTTTGTTTACCTTTTGATTTTGCATTGTAGTTGTTCTCTTATATGCATTCATGCTCACATATGTACACACACACACATACACATACATACTTGTGTGTGTTTCTGTGTGTGTCTGTCTATTTAGACGCTCTTCGCTTGGTGCTTTTGCTTTGTGGTTCATTTTGGGCTGCTTGTCGCGGCGTGCCAATCGAGTTAGATAATTTATTCAGTTTTTGCCGTTGAGAGCCATAATTGAGCGTTAAGATTCGTTTTAATTAAATCAAGTAATAAGAAAAAAATCTCAGTTTTCTTTGTAAAATTCAGAGTTTCTTTGAGTCGCTGAAGCGCATTTATTATAATATTTAAAAACAAAAACAACAAATATTTAAATTAATCTTGATCTTGCAGCACAACTGTTTTATACATGAAATTTCTGATACTTTGGGCAATTGTGATGGTAGCCGACTTTATGTTTATGTTCCGATTTGAATTCCTGTGGCCATTCTGGCTGCTCCTTCGCTCCGTGCACGACTCGTTCAAGTACAAGGGTTTGGTAAATATATATTGCTCATATATCATAATTGTTATATATACATTTTATTAATTATACATTTTACCCACTTTGTGCAACAGGCCTTTTCCGTGCTATTTGTGTGCATTGCAATAACATCGGATCTGGTGTGTTTGTTCTTCATACCCGTACATTGGCTGCTCTTTGCGGCCAGCACATACGTCTGGGTACAATATGTCTGGCATACAGGTGCGTTTATATAATTTATAGTAATAATAACAATAATACAATTGACGTAATTGATTGCAGATAAGGGCATCTGTTTGCCGACTATAATACTCTGGATGTTGTTTGTCTACCTGGAGGTGGGCATTCGATGGAAAGACAGTCGTCATATGCCACATTTGGATCTCTGCCGACCGTTTGCCGCGCACTGGTGAGTAAAAATCACGATAACAACCAGTACAACTTTAGCTGACCGCTTCGCCTCTGTTCTCCTCTCTGTTCTGTCTGTGCAGCATTGGCTATCCGGTGGTAACTCTTGGGTTTGGCTTCAAAAGCTATGTAGGCTATCGTATGCGTCAGCGGAAGCAGCGCGAGGTGGCCAAGGAGAATGAGTTCTACATGCAGCTACTGCAGCAGGCACTGCCCACTGAGGAGGCCAACGACGAGGCGGCAACACCACAGACAGCGGCTTCGACTGTGGTGACGTCGGCGTCCAGCAGCAGCACGGCCGTTGTGCCCAATGGCACGGGGGGTGCGCCGTCATCACTGTCCGCTGCAGCATCAACATCCCAGGCGAATGGTATTTTGGCACCGGCGTCGCAAGCACAAAATCATCACGATCATCACGGCGGTGGCGGCGCCAGCAGCAGCAGCAATAATAATAATCATCATCATCATCACCATCACAATAACAACAACAATAATAATAACAACAACAACAGCAACAATAGTCATCACAGCAAGGATAACAACAGCAACAGCGACAGCAGCACAACGACTGCCACAGCGACATCAGGAGGAGCAGCAGCAGCAGCTGCCGCAGCTTCTTCATCATCCTCCGCATCTGCATCATCGTCCACCAGCTCATCAAACTCTTCGTCTGTCCGGCAACCAAATGCTGCAACAATTGCAGTAGCAGCAACAACAGGTGCGGCATTTACAAGCATTATGTACACAAAACACTGCAAACTCAATGGATTAACCTTGTGTTTGAAAATAATATTGTGTGTGTTTGTTGGGTGTTATCAGAAACTAGCAAAACGATGATAAGCTCATGAAGCAACCAAATCAATAATTGGAATTAATCAGAGTTTAGAATTTGCGAAAAACTGTATTTAATTAAAACATACTTTTTATTTTGAATTGATTAACTTTCTAAAAAGCATTTATATATATTCTTCTATATGTGTATTATTATATAATAAGATGTACATTTATTTGTTGCAGCAACCTCAAATGGTCATGTTGGCGGTGGCTCGAGGAATCATCGACGCAGCATGGACAAGGACAAGCATCGCAACAAAGGCGATACGGCCGACAACAATGAGCACAACAACGGCGGCGGACGTCATGGCGGAAAAAATAGCAACAGTAATAACAATACAAGTAGCAGCAACAATTATCAGCAAGTGGATAGCAATGCAACCACAACAAGTAATAACAGTAAGGAGAAGTCAGACTGGGATAGTGGCAATAGCAACTATCAACAACAACAACAACAGCAGCAACAGGGGGCTAAGGATAAACAGGGTGCTTTGAACAAAAAGAAATCGCTTTATTCAAAGCAAATTGATATCGGCCCCTCCTTGCTTGCAGACAACAAAAAGACGCACAATGCTGTCAGCAACGGCAACGTCCTGCAGCACGAGACAACAGAAGAACCAGCGGTCGTGGAGCAAGTGTCTCAGGCAGAAAAGGCGCCAAAGGGTATGTGTGCTCAATCTGTCCAGATTCTAACAAATGTTCAAAAAGTAAATCTCAATTTTTTTGTATAGGTCGTCGCAATCGCGGTAAGAAGGACAATACAGCAAAAGACAATCATAGCCAGCAACAGGATAAGCATAAGGAGAATGCAGCAACAGCTGCTTCCAGCAATAACAACAACAACAACAACGATGCCTGTTCCGTTTCGTCATCGGCGAGCTCAACATCGAGTAATGCAACCGCTGCCGCCATTTCGCACATTGCCAGCAAAGTCGTATCGAAGATATGTGAGACGTGCCTCAAGCTGGAGGCAGACGTTAAGAAATATCGCGCCGAGATCAGTCACATGAAGCAAATTGAGAACGAGCTGCGCCAAAAACTTGACGCGAATCTGACCAGCAAATCTAGTTTGCAGGCCAAACAAAAGGAGTGCGAAGATCTCGAGAAACGCCTACAGGAGCTGCAAAATGCACACCATGCCGACATGGTCGGCCTGCAGACCATGGAGCGGCGTTTGAACGAGGAACGGCGCCTCAAGCAATCCCTGGACGCCCAGCTGGCTAACGAGAAGAAGGCACGCAAGGCGGCCGAGGAGAAGGCCGCACGTCCCGAGTGCAGCACCCAATGCAAGCAGCGCCGTCAGCAAATGGATGATGAGCTGAAGCGTGTGCGCACCGAACTCAAACAGACCGAGGAGGCCAAGCAGATGGCCGTCGATCATGGTCGCAAGTTCGAGCAGGAGGTGGGCAAAGTCAAGCATATTTTTAATTGTATTATATTTATATTTAATTCCATTATGTATACATTTGACAGTATCGTATGTTGGATGCTAAGGTGCGCAATCGCGAGTCATCGCAAGCGGATGCCGATATGTTACTGGTAGCACTGGCTACCATGCAGGAGAAGAACGCAACACTAGAGAAACATCTATCCTCAGAGACGAGAGTTAAGCTGGACTTATTTTCGGCTCTGGGCGCGGCCAAGCGCCAGCTAGAAATATCTGACAGTATGTGCATCAAGAAAACAAAAAAAAAACATCGATTATTCCAAATATTCACACACAATTTCTGTACACTTGCAGGTCATCGCCGGTCCCAGGATGATGAGGTCATTGATCTCAAGGCCAAGATAGCACAGTTGCTGGCAGTTATGCCAGACTCAATGTGCCTAAATACAGGACCACATGGTCCAGGCGGTAGCATGCTGCGCATGAACGATACACCTCCGCTACAATCGGGCGGACCTGGCCCCTCCTCGCCCATGCTCAGCCTGAGTGTTGCACAAGAGTATCAACAGCATCAGCAACATCAACAACAACAGCAACATCAACAACAGCAACATCAACAGCATCAGCAACATCAACAGCATCAACAACAGCAACATCAACAGCATCAGCAACATCAACAGCAGCAGCAACATCAGCAGCAACAGCAGCATCAACACCAGCAACACCAGCAACATCAGCAACAGGTGAACAACTCTCAGCAGCAGCAGATGGTGCCGGTGAGTGTTGCTGCTGCACTGCATGTGGCTGCAAATAATGCTGTAAATGGTGGAGGCAATGGCGGCAACGGGCTGTCTACACTGGATCCAAATGCTAGCGTCTATACGCCCCAAAAGGGCAACATGATGGTGGTGGCGCCGGTTGGCATGAATCCCAATGGAGCGGATGCCTGACGCCAACAGCAACAACAACAGCAGCAGCAGCAGCATCAAAAGCAGTCGTCGACAGCATCGTCAACGTCCGCTTCATCCTCGCATCAGCTAATGAGACGACAAGTTTGAGATTATCATAAAGAATACTTTATGAAAAGCAACAGCAAATGAAATGCCAAGCAGTGACCGATTGATTTAGACTATAGTAGTCAACCGATGACAATTGGAGCTGTTTGCATATGATATAATATGAATGTCCGTACTAAGCATAAGCAGTTTCCTTTCCAAACACAAACACACACACACAACCCAGTATCACCTAGTACACAATCTCGCCCATTGCAAAACATCCAAGATACCAAGTTTACAACAGTTTGTTGATTGCTTTTCCAATTTCCTGACACTCATTTACATGCTCACATTATTCTATACATACCATTAATTGGAGTTTTTTTTATATTTTTTATTTTTTGTATTTATGACTCCCATCTTTTCTGGCCTTAAACGTCATTCCACCTAATCAGAAATATATTTGTATTCAGGGTGTTTTTTTCCTCGTTTCATAACATCCTTCAATGGAAAACCTTTGCTAGAAAAAGAAAACAACTGTTGGTATCCATCTGTCAATCGACTCCACACATCCGCTCATGGAAACACAACCACACACATACATTAACAATTAATACGATTGGGAGATTCCTTGCGCGAGTTTTTGAATGATTTGAAAAATTTTAAAAATAATAAGAAAGAGAAAAATGCAAAAACTAAATTGGAAATTTGTATTCTTTAATTTAAATGCGAAAGGAATATGATGATGATGAAGATGAAGATGAAAAGAAATGAAAAATCTGTTTACTACTTATTATTATTAACAAAACGCTGTGAGAGTTGACCAACTTTAGTGATGGCCTTTGAATTTGGCGTGAAAAATACGTTTTTTATTTGCCAAATTTTCTGCCCTTCTTTCAATGGAATTTTTGAAGTCTGCGCCCTTGATTTATTATCTCATTAAATTATTTTTGTTATAAACTTTAATTGTACGCCTATTATGTAGAATTACCTATTTTGAAATAACCAATGCGTTTCGTTTTAAGTTTTTAATTTATTTTTTGCTGTTCCTAAAAAAAGAAAACCAAGTCGAAAATACTTGAATTTATTTTGCGAAGAAAAGAAAATACGATGACTATTTTGTTTAATAAAAATAAAACCATTTCACTGCGTGAAGCGAGTAACTAATTGTTTTACAAATCATTTATAATTTAAGCTGATTTTCATTTTGGACCATATTTTATATATATATATTTAATCAGTATTTTGTTTTTTATTGTTCTCTAGATCAAAAGAAGTTAATCGCAATTTGTTTTTAATCTTTTTAAAGTAGCAACATATGCGACAAATGTCAATATTTTCAATTAGTTGAATCAGCTACAATTGTAACTTTGGAAACTGCCTGAATTGTATTGAAATACGTTTAAACATTATCGCGAAACAGTATAAGAAAATTTACACAATGTTCACAATGATTTACTATCTGCTGCAGACAGTTTCCACTGCGATCATTAGCACTGTGGTCACCATATGGATGATCGAAGGTAAGCTTCTCGTCGTCGACCATTTCCAATTTAAATATACCACTCCCATGCAGAGGCACTGATCAAGCTGATGATGTCTAGCTTTTTGTATGCACTGCGCATTGCTTGCCATCCGCTGATGGTGATCCCAATGCTGGTAGGATTGTATTACTTGGTCAACAAGATGTGGCCGCGTCCCAGCATGCTGGCTGACGCATCAGAAAAATTTGGAATGCGCCGCCAGGTTCGTACTCCGCGCATTGGTTCCTATCGCAGTATCGGCAGCATTTCAGTACGGAGCAATGATAGCTTCGATCTGGACGTGGACGAAGTGTGCCAACGTAATTAACTTTCTTTTTGCTCGAGTTCACCATTATTCGTTAAATCATTGAGGTGTTTTTGTTTTTTGTGATTGGGTTTGATTCATAAAATTTAATCGACAAATAAATATACACGGAACACATGGAAATGTGTACAGAGAATGTACTTATAACTAAACTAATGATCCTTAAGATGGCTTCTGCAAGGATGTGGTGTCCATTTTGCACAGCAGATCGCCCACCTTGAGCAGCATGGCATTGTTCTGCTGCTGCTCGCCGGTAGTCGAGGAACTGATCATGCCAGCCAAGTGCTGTATGTACTTGTCCACATTGTCCACGCTGAGTCCGCTCGAATGGACCGGTGGCAACGCAATTCCACCCAAGGCGCTGACAATCTTCTGCCGCAGATTCTTAATGTATGCGGTTAGGCGAGCGTTCTCCTCCTTGAGCTCAGAGACTTCACCCATCAATTTGGCGTTGCCGGTCTTTGTGTTGTCCACATGCTGCTCCAACACAGCGTTCTGCTGCTCCAAATCCGTTTTGGTCTTGCGCAGCGTGCGCAACTCATTCTCCGTGCTTCGATTATGCTCGATGAACTCGTGCGTGTAGATGGGTATCTCTCCGGCGGCAAATGGACGTGGCTGCAAACTATAGGAGTTAACAGATGGCGGTGTCGGAGTGCGTTTCACTTGGGCCAGTGGTATATCATCCGGATCAGGTGTCGATGTGCTTTGTTGTTGTTGCTGTTTGTTCACGTTGGCTTTCACATTGGATTTTTTCGATGCAGAGTTGACGACTTCATGATTACTGCTGGTAATGCTGTTGTTGTTATTGGTTGTGTTGGTGGCCTTCTCCTTGGGCGTGCTGGCATTTTTGTTGTCGAATACCTTCTTCGCCTTGGCCAACTCATTGGCCACAATTTCCGGATGCTCCTTGAGGAATTTGTGCATTTGTTCCTGATACCTAAAAGTGTTGACAAAATATTATTTTATGTGTGAGATATCAGGAGAGCGACAGAGTGGGGAGTAACAGCCAACTAGGAGACGTAGCTCATCACAGTGATCAAGATTATATATTTATATAGAGGAACCTACAGAGCTTTATCCTTGGCAGCCGCCTCCATGTAGGCACCCTTGCGCTCCTCGGTCAACAGGTGCCACTCCTCGCCAATCATTTTCGTGTGCTCCAGCGCCGAGCGATTTGGATATTCGCGTCGCAGCTCCTCCCGACGATCGTTCATGAAGCGGACATATGCATTTAGTGGCATTTTTGGGGCACCGGCAACATTTATTCTGCGGTGCGTTAGTTTCTTCAACTCGGCGTCCAAATCGGTGACAACCACCGAATTGCGGCCTTTTGCCTTGTTTTTCTTTTTAGTGGTTGCTGTTGTTGTTGTTGTTTTGCTGGCGAGTGGGATAGCATTATTTACATCATTCACTTCCTCGGCATTGGTTGGTTTGGGCAGCAAAGGTGCCGCCGACTCCTCAGCAGCATTCTCCACATTCTCATTCGCAATCGTCTCATGGATTGTTGCATTTGTGCTTTCTTGTTTGTTATCCATTTTGTAATTATGTTTTAGGTGTTTAGTTTTTTATTTATTTTTCGTCCGTTTTCAATTCATGTAATTTGTTTACTTTTTATCGATTATTTGGCTATTGCGACTTTGATAATCTGCCGGCATCAAGCAATTCTTTTGCTTAGATTATTGTAATTTTTGTATTTATCAGTTAAAATTTATTTATACAAGCAAATGCAATGAAAATATCTTAATTTTTCTATGGTTTTTCCTCTTTACACTCAGTAAACGAAAATACCCACTGTAAAACACTTAAGCGTTTTCTGTTATAATACAGCTGATTGCAACAGGGCTGCATCATAACACAGAATAATTTACTAGTACGACTTATCGTACAACTAATAGTGAATAACATATTTGGGAAAATAATAAATAAAAAATATGCTAAGCAGCTAAAGAATTCTGGTGTTTCCGGGGTATTCCCATGGAAAAAGAACCAATTAAATTGGAGCAATGTTGCAGTTATTAATTTCTCAGCATTGCCACAAGATGACAACTCTGTTGCCAACACGTTACGTATATATGCGTATGTACGTTTGTTAAGTGACGTCACTGGAAAGTGGCGCGATTCTGTTTATCGACCAACTGTTCGATTTCATAACTGCGCAGTTAAAAATGTAAGCCACAACAAAAACTTTCCACTGGCTTCGTAAGAGACACCCTTCTGTTTAATTAATTAAACAAAAAAAAAAAAACAAAACTAGGCTAACCAAATTGTATCTATTCTAGTTGCTATTTCCTGATTGGAATTATTTCAGGTTACTTATTAACCTCATAATACGTAAGCACTTCCGCTTTCTTACTGGACATTTTAAAAGATCATAGAATAAGTAAACACGTCTAAAGAAAATCTTCCTTGCAGGAAATCAGCTATCAATGCCTGCAAAAATGCACAAACAATTAAATGAAGTACAAATTTCTGTTTGTTTCCGTTTGTGGTCTTGATATATTTTGAATATTTAGTGGTCTGCATTATTTTTTTGGATTTATGATTTGAGCACAATTTGAAGTAATTACAATTACATACATTTTAGCCTATGTGAATTACGGGTGTTAAACATAAATAGAAACTTACAAATAAAGCTTAGCGATAAGTCCAATATCATATCATATAATATAAAGCCTTCGATGACAAATTCTATACAATGTAATGAGAAATGAATTAGTTTCTCTTCAATTCAAATTTCAACAGCTGTAACTGCCTTAAAATACTTAAAACGAGCGCCGGCCGGCTTGAATTAATCATAAAACTAACAAGCTATTTAGATAACAATATATAGGGAGATGATCCATCAGGTTTTTCAATTTGAAAAATTAAGATTGAAACGAATTCACATTAAACTGGGGAATAGCTCATCGAAATTACTCTCCCACGGAAAGTCAATCTCATCATCCATGGATAGAGCGGCCTCCACGTTATCCAAATGTGATCCGGGTGAGCCAATGACCGACTCATAGCCATGATCCGATGCCACCGAGTGCAAAGATCTCGCTGGAGATTTGGCCAGCGGTGAGATGGCCTTGACGCGCGGACACAAGAATCTCTCGAAGGGCTCGAAATTTAAATGACTCGCTGATGACTCATCATCCGAATCATCTGTCGCATTGATGACGTTGAGATAAACCTGGGAGGGTGACGTCGCTGGCAGCGGACACTTCATGATGGCATCCGTTGTGTTCTCCTCATCGCCAGCAGTGACACCCTCGCCATAGATGATCTCAACGGCCTCGTTAACGGGCACCGCATCCCCATCCATGACTATCGTAATGGAATTCGTCTTGGCATCGTAGGTGCCATAAACTGTGTCAGGTGTAGGACTCTGCAAAAATGCAGCTGCTGAAATTTGATTTGATTTTAACATCTTTGTCGTTGTCGTCGTCGTTGCTGTTGTTGATTTAGCTTTATTTTGTGAGTTTCCATTTATAGATGACACCTGCATTTGTGGCCTGTGCTTCAGTTGGATGGTATTCACATCATCTGTGGTTAGGCCATCAGTTCTATGCCCGTTGGATTCCAAGCACTCTGCTGGGGACCCCACCACTGATCCAGACAATCGCTCTGAGTGGCCTGCATCTTGGGCAGCAGTTTGGAGGCATGGGCCATGGCCTGTCTCCAGGTCTGCTGTGATATCTGCGAGTAGGCTTTCGGCCAGCTCTTCGAGTCGTCGCGCATCGAACTCTTCATCGTCGACGAGCAGCATGTCTTGTATAGAAGGCAGAGTGCCACAATTCTCCAGAGCGATGCTGTCGTTGTTGTCTGCTTCAGCTGCTGTTGCAGCAATCGCTTCAGCGCCAATGCACGCGCTGACGACTGTGTGTCCACTAATATACCCTGCGGCAGAGGGTCAGCATTGGATGCTGCAGATCCAGTGTATGTGGACGCACAGCCCTCAGCGTCTGCATTGACGCCAGAGCGGTTGCTACTGTTGTTGTTGCTGAGACTGTTTTTCTTGGCAAGCTCTTTCATTTCGACGAGTTCCTGGCGCAGTTGCTCCATTTCTGTGTCTAGTTTCTGATTTTTGGCCAGCAGGGATTCATTGATGTTCTGCAAGCTCTCGCATTTGTTTTGCAATAATTCCGTTTTGTCAGTGAGTTCCTTGATCTCATATTCCATTTCCTCCATGCGCGCCTTTTTCCGATCCCGGCTCGTCTGGGCGGCAACGCGATTCTTTAGCTTTCTGTTGGAAAGATGGAGGGAAACAATATGTAAGTAGATGTTTTGAAGACTTCATAGTATGATAAGCGTTCGTTAAATAGAATTGCTTAAGATTCACAGATGATTTAATGATTAAAGTAAAATCCATATAAAATATAGAAATTATTAAGGTATTAAAACATCAACCAAAATAATAATAATAAATAACCATAATTATCAGATAATAAAAATATACATATATTTCTAAAATATTCTCAATTGAAGTATAATCAATATAAATAAATCATTAAGAACATTAACCAAAATAATAATAAATGACCGTCACTAATAAGATAAGAAAAAATACTTATATTTCTAGAAAATTCTCAAGCTGTGTCAGTTCTCGTTAAGCGAGTGTGCACTGTGCACTGCGACTGTGTGTGTAACTTACTTTCTCTGCACCTTCTCCTCCCAGGACAGATGATCGAGGCGACGCTTCTTGGCCTTTGTGGGCGTTGCCATTGTGACTGAATCTTCGTCCGCGTTGCTATTGGTAGAGGATGCGTAGCCCGAACTGGTCGGCGACGATGCTCCGCGCTTGAGCAGCACAGCTGTGGCGGAAATCTGGGGCGCTGGTCTCAGTTTGGGCAATGTGCTCAAATTCAAATTCAAAGTGGGGCCAATGGGCACAATCTTGGTTACAAGCACTCCGTTCGAGGGTGCCATATTATTTATTTATATGTGTGTTATTGTTGTTTTTGTTACTGTTGCAATTGGTAATTGAATAGCAGTGAGAAGAGTTGCAACAAAAACTAAAATTTAGTTTTTATTGAAACTCTTTGTTCTGGGTGACTGCTGCTTCAATTTGCACTGAGCACTGTTTTTTATCTGATTTTCTTTAACTTAAACCATTTGGTGCGATGCCTTAACTGCTTCTGCTGCTGCGTTTCTCATGTGTCGCTTTGTGGCTTTGGATTTCTTCATTGCCCCTGTTTGTGGCTTGCCCAGGTTAGCTAGCTGGCAGTCTCACGAAATTTCCTCAATCACCTTGTAATACAGTGCAACAAAGTCTGAATCAAAACGATGTCGTGTTCTTTCTTGATGGGTTCCAATGGAAAGCTGACGTGGCTGCTGCTGACTGGTGAAAAGTCAGCAGAGTTTGACATATCAAAAAATGTTAAATGACAGCTGCTAAGCTAACATAACATTTTGTAGACATTATTAACAGCGACAGCTGTAAGCAAGTGGAAGGCTGTTAACTTTAACATTCATATTTACTGCAGCAGTAACATAAGACGTGTTTTTGAATCGTAGAATTGAATTCACTTGTTTCGGCTCAATACATGTAATTTTATTTCGAAATCTATAGTCTTATTGTCAATTGAATAGTTTACGGCATGTGTGGCATTTGTGGCATTGGGTTGCGTTCTTTCTTCTTTTCCTTTTCGTTGGCGGCGTGCTCTTCCTTTACTACTTCAGCAATATCGTATATTGTAGTTTTGTGCTTCAAATGATTAATATAGAATATATAGGGTATATTTCCCGTGATTGGATCTATTGCCACTGGCCACATAGCATTCAATTCATCTTTGGTAAAAGGCTCTCCTTCCTCGCTCATTAATTTGCCAAAGTAATCCTTCGTAAGAAAGCGTTTGTTTTCGGGATCTAAAACTTCGAATGCAGCTAAAATTTTTTCGGGACTGGCTGGCTCCATTCTGATTTCAAAAATGATAATGAAATATTTATAAATACAAATATATTCTATATCTAGAACTTACTTTCGATTCATTAACAAATGTGAAACGTGGGCAATAAATTTTGGCAAATAGGTCTCTCCCGGATTCTCCACAGAGTCAGTGGCTTTGATAATCGCATTGATTTCCTTTTCTGAGGGAACACAGCCCAAAAATCGTAGCACATCACCGATATTACGAGTGTCTATATACTTATCGCCGTGATGATCAAAAACACAGAAAGCTTCCGAAATGCGAACCTCGAGCTCATTTGCAAGTGGGACTATCAAAAACTATGATTACCTTGTTGGCTATCACAAAGAAAATATAGGAACTTACTGCCGATTTCCATATTAACGGTGAATTTGGGTTTTCAATTTAATTTTATTTTTTTGTAATTTTTTGTTTTATTTTTAAAACAACTTACACTAGTAATTTAATAAAGTTTGAATATGAAGAATGTACTTACATGCATACTACGATTTTCATTATTTTGTACAATCGAATTGAATTTTAAAAATAATTACAATCCATTCGCCGTGAATTGTCACTTCGCAGTGAATTGACATCGATAGTCGTAAACGTATTGTCTCTATATCGATATATTAGAAATATGAGATGTACTTATCGTGCGTGAGTGCTTGTTTAATTGTTGATGCCGCTGTGGCTGTTTTAAATTTACGAATATAAAATTCTATAGAAACTATAATTCTGTGCGTTAATATTTCATGTGTCTGTACATTTTTTTTTATAAATTTATTATTCGTATTTGTATTTTAATGCACTTGAACTTGTTTATTTTGTGTGTGTGTGAGTAGTTTTTATAAGCAACAGGTAAACGCGCAACGAGTATCGATAGTATCGAGCAAAAGGTCGTTTAGTTGTTGTTGAGATTCCGTTTGATTCGGTTGAGCCGCGCGCGTGTTTACGTTTACTTTTGACATTTTTCCAGCGGGAAAAACAAATTGCAGTGTATCAAATACGCATTAGGTATATTTACAGTCAATTACCATCTATTTAAAATAACTTGTGAGCATTTGCGACAGCATCAAGCAGTGCGCAACTAGTTTTCCCGTACAACAAGTATCTTTGGCGCAGGTGTAACGCGTTTCCACAGCGTGTTTCTTTTTTTCTTTCTCAAGAGAGGTAGCAAAGCAATAACAAGTTCAAACATATCCATAATATCGCTTCGTACCTACACTGCTGCTGTGCATTTGTGTGTGTGTGAGTGTTTAATACTGTGTCAGTGTGTGTGTGTGTGTCGCGCAATTTGGAAAACGCGTTTGCGGTTTTTAACGCTTCGAAATGGAAAGTGTCTGCTCCTTGCGTTTTTTTGTTGTGATCGCTGTGAATCGCTGTGAACGGTGTTAAAGCTGTGCTGTGATTGCTGTGATCGATCTCCACAAACAAAAGAGGTGCGAAGAATGAAAGTGAATTTTTATTTATGTTTGGTGTTGTTGTTGTTGTTGTCAATATTGTATGTACAACAAAAATTGCAATTTGTTTACTTTGTGGCGAGATTTACCACATTCCACATAAGAGAGCTGTGTCCATAGAAAGTCGATTAAATTTGTGTGATTGATGATGGATGGCAACCGTGAAAACTCGTACTCGAACTTGAATTTTTCTCGTCCATTTACAAATATTTCAACACAGTGCTCGCTCGCTCATTGTTACAAATATTGATTTGGTTATTATAATGATTTTATTGAATCATATATGAGCCTCGCATATCTTTAACATAAATATTTAAAAAAAAAGAATGTTGTATGAAATGAATTACGATTACAAGTTGTAATTATCGTGTGACTACTGTATATGCTAAGGCATATATTTTTGTGTGTATCTAAATACATAATTGTGTTTTGCTTAGAGTTGAGACAAGATAAATTCATCACATTTGCTAAATATGCAAAAAAGAAAAAGGTTTTCAGTTTTTAGTTAATGCTGCTGGCAGCAACAACAGCTCTAACTTGATTCCCATATATAAATTAAGCAGCCCATGGCACATCATCCAAAAGCTTGTCAACATAAAAAGCATAATGTTGCTTTATCAAGAAAAAGTTTACGGCGGTTATAATTATAAACGGTAATGCTGAATTTCACCCATGAAGTGAAATTATTGTTTTTGCGGTGGACGCCTAACAGCAAAACAACAACGCCAACACTGAAAAAAAAACCTTAACTGCAAATTGTAATAGCTTCCAGCCCAGTAAAAATTAATTGATCTAATTGCATTTTTCATGCTTGGTATACGTAATTTATGCGCATTTTACGCCTAAATTGGCTTAACTATTTTGAATATGAATATTTTAATAAAGCTTAGATGAAAATGTGGGAGTCAATAAATGTTTTGTTGCTGTTTGTTTTTATTTCCAATGCCATTGACTACACTGCTGTCCACTGCAAAGTGATTTCCCTCAACTTTCCTTGCAGCTTCAAATTCGCTCTTAATGACCGTAAGAAGGATTTTCTACTTTGTTTAAGTTTTTATCGCAGTGTAGCGCAGTTGAAAGTTGGCACTTCTTGCTACGGTCGCTGTGGCTACGTGCAGTTTTCGCCTTTTTCTGCAGTTTGGTGACAGGTGGCAACGACAGCAACGACGTGTAATGTGCAACGCTCAATGTGCAACGTGCAACGCAAGCGATCCATATAGAGAGCGTGCCACCTCTTGACCGCAGGCCACAACGCTTCTCGCGGCGTCTCGCGACTCATTTTCCCACTGCATTGTTGTCGCTGCGGCATCCTGCGTCTGCGTCTGCGTCCCGTGGCAAGTGCACTACAGTTGCCACTAATACAAATACACCCAAGGTATACACATAGATTGGTGTGTGTGATTGTGTGTGTGTTTTTTTATGGGGGTTACCTTTTGCCTGTGTATTGTTGTTGTTGTTGTTCTTGTTCTTGTTGTTTTTGTTTTTGTGGCATCATGTCTGACTGGTCGATCTGGTGGCATGGCCTGAAAACTCGTTTCTCGTTTCTCGCCTTTTGTTGTTGTCGTTTTCTTGGCAATTGTTGTTGTTGCTGTTGCTGCTGCTGCTGCTGGCATTCTTTGCTGGTGATTGTTCCCTATATACGTGTGGAGTGGACTCCACTGTTGTGTGCCTCTCAATTTATTTAGTTTTTTTTTTTATTATTGGAGTAAATTTTTCGCTTGAGGAATTTAATGTTATTGCCGGGCTTGTTGCCCTCTTTTTTCGCACAGTTAATTTTTTTTGTTTGTATTTTTTTTTTGTATGCATATCCATATCCGAATTAATAATTCTTAGCTTTGCATGAGTCAACATTTTTTTTGGATTTTCCAGGAAATTTGCATTAGTGTTGGCTTTATTATCATTTATATTATATGTACACTTTTTATACAAACATAATTCTTGAGGTACAAAATAAAAATATGAAGATTAAATGTAACAAATTTGGAGTCTTGTTTTTTGTAATTTTGCGGTCGAGTGCGCTCTGTAGTATATATATATATATATATCTTAATAGATTATGAATTTTATTTGTTGTTTTTTTTTTTGTACTATTTTCGTAGCTTAAACATATTTTTGCTTTTGAGAAAATAATATAAAATTTATTTGCAAACGTAATTCCTAAAAATAAGATATAAAGACTAAGTTTAGCAAATGTTGAGTCTTTGTTCTTTGTTTTTTTTTTCTGGTCGAGTGCGCTCTCAAAAATATTAAAATATATACATTTATTTGTTTTTATTTGGTTTCTTTGACTCTTTGCAGTTTAAGGCATCGCTTGCACAGTAAAAAAAATGTGATGATGTCAATTATGCGCTTGATGAAGATTCAATGACAAAGCGAACACGAGATAATAATTAGCGGGCAGCTAGACAAAGCATTTCTCAAATGACATACAGATATGTACATATATATGAATAAAACAATAATGAAACGACTTTAAAAAGCGCTTAGCTTGCAATTGTTATTGCGGATTAAGCTTAGAGCAAGCTAGCTGGCAAACGAAACAAGTTTTATTTTCGACAATACGATGCCAATTATAACAGCAACAACAACAACAACGCCGAGCAGCGTTGCAGCAGCAGCAGCAGCAGCGGCGACTAAAAGCGGCACAAAGTCAGCAGCGGCAGCAAGCACAACGTTGGCAGCGCCAGCCTCAAGTGATTATCTATTGCTGCAGCAGCAGCAACAGCAACAACAGTTGCAGTTCAACAGTCATTATTATCAACAACAGCAACAGTTGGCGCCTGTGCTAAATGCTTCCCACCAGCAACATTCACATCCTGTTGCCAGCTCGGCGGCAGCAGCGACAGCAACAACAACAACAGCTGCTGCTGCTGCAGCTTCGACCAGTTTTGCAACATTTAACGGAAACTCAAATCTAAATTCTAACCTTGCCAACGGAAGTAGCCGCAACAAGAAATTCAATTGCAACGACGTCAGCAGTGCTGTAGATCTGGCCGGCGATGTGGATGGCAACGGTTATGCAATGGTTGTCAAGCCACTGGCAGCACCGCCTATCGGCCTGCCACCGCCCGCCATTAAGAAGTCAACGTCGACGTCGGCTTCGTTGCATGCGTCGCGCGAAGATGTCGCCTCGTTGGGTGGCACCTCCTCCGTCAACAGTCAAGTCTCTGGCAATCATCATCAGTTCATTGGCAACGGCAACTCAACAACGGGACGCACTGCAGCCCATCATCCCAGCAGCATTCTAAAAGGCAGCAAAGGTAGGCAAATCTAATTGATTTCTAGTTTCATTTAACTAGCGTCTTCAGCATTACTTTAGCGGAATGTGATTAAAGTTTTTGTTGGAGCAACTTTATTGTTTCAAATTTACATCTGCTAGAATTTAATTACATTGGTTGCTGCCTGCTGGTTCGGATTACAATGACAGAAAAGTATTAAATTTTAAATTCAATTTTATGGGAATTGGTTGAGATGTATACCCTGTAAAAAGGAAAGTGAGATCGAGTGGGTATATTTAAGGCATTGATTGATTTTTGTATCAAATTGGTTAACATAGAAGTTACCAAAAATTTATGTTGATTTTAGCTGTTATTTGCAATGCCAATTGGATTCTTATCTAATATTTAATTGATCTAATTCGAATTGGGCACAAGGGACAACTTTGGCATAGTGTTTGTTTTTGTTTAGTGTAATTAGTTGATTGATTCTGTGATTGCTTTTATAAAGTCAGTCAATTTTAGTTTTTAGAGTCAAATACCTAACTTGGCCTACTATCGATTCACTGACTGGCAGCTGTGAATAATTGATTAAAATTTATTTGGTTCTGCTGTGAATTGAGGTCATAGCTGCAAGAGCTCTTAATCATTGCAGTCCCAACGAAGAACCACAAATAGATTAAGCAATTCATTTCCACCCACATGGCCAACTGCACCCACTTTGGATGTTTTCAATGTGGTTTCAGTTTCAATTTCAAATGCACTTGCCATTGCCGGGGACTATAAAAAAAACATATTAAATTAGCTGCTCTGTGTAGTCTTCAATTGAATTTGTCTGCCCGGGGGTTTTGTACAGTAAATCAGTAAATCAGTACTATGCCCTGAGGAGTTCGGCACAGCGGGAAAGTGGGCGTTAAAAGTTCAATTGATTTGTGTATGGTGTTTTGTTTCGAGTTGTACAACTTGCGTTTTGTACTTGTGTCTTAAGCAGACACGTGCCAATTGTTTACACTTCATGCTCAACTGGCAAAACTTAAGACAATGGTCGAGTTGAGTTGAGTTGAGTGGAATTGGTTGTTGGTGTGTAAGATGAACCCATTTCTCACTTCTGCTTGTGGGTCTTCTACGAGTAGTCGAAATACTATCTTACTTTCAATAGTGTTCGTTTTGTCTTCTTCGTTCAGTTTATGTTCTCTGTGCACTCCATGCAGATTAGTTCAAGAGTAAGTTCACCGGAAGTTCACCTTTCCATTACAATAACAAAAAATACGCAATACTCATTGACTTATTGTTATAAATTTCAAATTGTGGAATATTTTAAGAGGTTCATCATTTGAATGAAATGAATTGGAAAGTAGTGTTATAACTTGTAATCTGTGGATTAAATTGAGGAATATTCAGCAGTTTTTATATTTTTATTCAATTCAAATGAATTGGAAAGTAGTGTCATGACTTGTAATCAGTAGATTAATAATTCATTAAAATACATTTCGAAAAAGATTCAAACTTTTCAGACTTGCGCAACAAATTAAAAACGCTTTTAAAAGTAAAACAGAGAGTATTCACCTAGTCATGCTCTACCGCATTCTAGCTCTAGGGTCCCCCATTTGATACTTGGAAATGGTCGTGTTCCATATGCCATTTGATCCACTGTAAGGCGATATTAAATACCACTTAATCCATTTGTTTTTGCTGCTTCTCTCTCGTATTATAGCCGCACCTATTTCAAACACTTGTCATCTAACTTATGCGTCTCTCGCCTGCTGTTGTTTGTTTGGCTTGTGGGTCGCCGCAACGTAGTAAATTATAGTATAGTAATAGCGGGTTAACCACATTAAACATTCAGCATTCACACTCACCCTCACCCTCACATTCACATTCACATTCATTCATGAAACCGAAACCACGTTAAGCAAAACGAGTTCACACCAAAGCCAAAGCCAAAGCTAAATCGACCCACAAAATTGTAGGCAAGTGGGAGGTGTTGTTGCTGCTGACTCAATTTTGATCAAGCTCAGAGCTGTTTTTACGTGGGCGTGGCACTCATTATAGTTAGCTTGTGTGTGGTAAATTGATATTTATAGTTTAGTTGGTAAAGACTCACTTAATACGAATGTAAAACAAGGCTTTAATTGGGCAATAGTCTCACAGTACGCCAAAAAACCACTCAGCACCTCTTTTGAGATCGCTTTCGGAAGTTGGCCAAGCGACATTTCCTAATCGGAGAATCATCTTGTGGATTGTTAAATGTTTTGCTTCGGTAAGTTTTTCGGGCAGGTGTTTCAACAGCTTCAAAAGTGCCATTGTTATGCGGGCGATGAGTTTTTGTTAACATTCAGTTTGTGTTTATTCAACTTGGTTTTAAAGCTATGCAACATATTTATTAGCGCCTTTGTATTGTATATTGTAAAAAGTGTGAATTTATTAGCGGGGTCAGCAGTCGGAGATGCTTCAATTTGAATGACTATGTTAAACTAGAGCCAATGGCAATGAACTCCATGGTCACCCACGAGGAAACACCTCAGTCAAGGAACGTTCTCTTATCACTGACGCGTCACGTCAGTGGCAATTAGCTGCGGTTGCAACTTCGCGTCATATGATGCGATTATTAATTTCTTGATTACTACAGCATTGTGACATGCCAAAGGAAGTCTCTCGCTCTCTCTGAGACATTGAGTGGGGGCTTGGCTCACTGTATGGCGTGTCGTGTAAGCCAAGTTAACGAAGCAGCAAAGCCAATTAGATGCAATCATTAACCAGCAACCAACACATGAGCTCTGCAGCCAGGAGCCACAGTTCCACATTGCTAGCCGGTGATGCATCAGCTGCCAATCCAAAGGGGCATGCTCTACACTGAAAGCAAAGTCAGAAAATCCTATGTACTTCAATTGTTGTCTTTAATTGAATAACTAATTGCTTAGCACATGATACATTCTAATATTCTCGACAAATGCACAAAATAATTGACAATGGCTGCAAGTATTCTGTTTTCATGCCCCCATTACTTACTTTTGCACTTGATTCAGAATGTGGTTTTGGGCTACAATTTCTTAAATATAAGTATTAAATTCTGCATTTATCCTAGTCCGATTTTTTTTCGCGCTGTGTACGCTCATTGCCTGTGAAGCTTTTGTTGAGAACAAAGACGTTGCCTTCATTGTGGTGCTGTTGCTGGGTGGTGCTGCTGTTGCCCTGAAGTGGGGCACACATAGCCTGGTGGCTCAATGACATTAATTACTTATGTGCTGCAAGTTGTGCAGTTGGCATTGTTGTTGTTGCTGTTGTTGCTGTTGTTGGAGTCGGCAGCTCGACTTGATGAAAACTCAGCGCATTTCAATAGATTGACCACTTGTTGGCTTTGTTCACTCTTCAAGCTGGACGCAAAGTTATTTCTATGCCGAACAACATTTCATGTGTTGTCAGAAGTATGTCGAATTGTGCGTGAGTCAGGCACTTTATTTTAACACACAACTTGACAACTTCAGTGGTTCTTGTTTAACATACTTCTCGTTGATTGAGTCGAATGCAATGAAAACAGTGAGTTGACTCTCTTTTTCTCCCTCTCGACTTTTTAAGCAGGTGTTTTTGTATTTTTTCGTGTGAGTCACTGTCATTGACCCGCTGCGGGAATTGGTTGCTTTTAAATTGTCTACCATGAACATCATCCCCTTGACACTGCCTCTGTTCGAAAATAATAATGGTCTGCTCACAGCTACGACTCACCTGATGGGTATGTTTATATTTGTGTGTCTTGCATGTGGCTTGATTGAAAGTGAGTCATGCTCTTGACTTGGCCGATTCATATTGCTGTATCTGAAGATCAGACAGGGGCACGAGTGCTTGTTTATACGCTTACAGAGAGCGAATTACAGTTTTGTTACGTAGTTTGTGAAGCAAATTCGAGAAGGAAGAAGATCTATAAAGCTGGCTTGAAGAAACTTGGAAGTCAACCCCGTCGGGCCACTATCGTTAATATCGTTTATCTTTCATGTGTTTGCAAGTGTATTTAAACTTCGGCACGCCAAGCATATCTGGGTTTTTCATGTCATATTTTTGAGCTAATCAAGGCATACCCATTACTGTTAATGAGGGGTTACATCACGCAGAAATTATGGTTAATTGTGGGGATCAGATTGGCGGCGTGCAGCACAAGATGCGAAGGAGCAGTGCCCCAATCCTCAAATGCCACTAGCCCCATAGGCCTCATTGTTAGATCAACAACAATGCATTCTCAAGCACTGTAAATATAAACAACGATCTTGTGCCCAACATGTGTCCGCCTCCAAAGCCTCGCCCACTTTGAAGATGGGGCGTGCTGAGTTTAAGGGCAGCCCACAATTGAATTAAGGCAATATGAAGAGAAGAGTTCATTGACTTGCATTTAGGGAGAGGAATATATATATATATATATATGTAGAAACATATCGATAACTAATATAATTTATAAGCAGTAGTCTCCAATATTCCGATTCTTGCAAAGTTCTTTCAAAAATCTTTTTCTTATCGCAGACATGAAACCAGAAAGATAAAAAAGTATTTTGCATAGATAAGGCAAATATATGCTAGAGTTTTAGTGGACGTGTACAAAGAGTTAAATGCGTTATCACGACTCAACTTTCAATAACACACACACTCACAGAGGTATACTCTATGCCACCTGGCTCTTTTCAATGTGTGTGTGTGTGTGTGTGTGTATTCAAAAGAACTGTATTTTTGTGCCACATCTGGTCTGATCAAATAGCTTTTTAGCTCTCGCTCTACAAATATTTACACATGCCGCCTGACACACGAGCAAGTGAAGTTGAATGCTGGCTGAAAGGGGAGTTGCACGGGTTACAACAAATAAGGGAGGGGCAAACTGTGCCACAAAATCAGCAGAGAAATATCAAAAAGAAAGAAAAAAAAACGAAGAAGACGCAGCACTAACCAACTTCCGTACTTGGGAGCTTGCTCGTTTGTTCACACTTTCTGGATTATGCAGCCTCCCAACAAACACACACAAACACACTCACACATTTACATAAACTAGCAGCAACTTCTATTTGCGTTAGTGTCTGCTGGCCCTGTCTGAATCGAACCGTTAACCGTTTGGCTGCTCCCTATTGATAAGACCGTTCCCAGCAGCATAGCTAACAGCCCAGCCTAGTATATAAATATTTATTTTTTTGCCATGCAAATGATTCATTTGGAGCAAAATCTGCTCCATATGCATGTAAGTGTGTCTGCCTGATTATATGCCTATATAAACATATACATACATGACTAACGATGACTGGACTGTTGCATAGAGTTACATGGAAAAAAAAGCTTTGCTTCTGTTTTAATGACCATCGATGGCATATTTTAGCATACGATTGTCAGCCAAGTCCAATGACTTTTATTCCGCTAAAATCAAGAGAAATCTGCTAATTATTTTAATCTTTATAGAACTTTCTATTTTCTAAGAATTGGCATATTTAATATTAATGTAGCCTATATGAGTATTACTCAAACTGGGTCATAGACTCCAGTTAGCCTTTTTTTTTATTTGCTGAACTCGAACTGTGTGTATTATTACCACTTGTTTGTTGGCTAGGATCGAACAGTTTACGGTTCATTCAACAAAGATAACAAACCGCGTTGCAGTAGCATTCACCCACGGAGAACTTCAAGCTGAAATGGTGGGGCATGTGCCTCAAACTATATTCGCCTGGTTGGCTGCACACCTGTGCGGCAATGCTGTTGGATGGCCAACATTAAATGGCCAACTAACCAGGGTGACAAATAACTCAAGCAAGAGTTAATTGTGGGGCCCACATATCCGGTTTGAGGTCTGCTTGGACTACATACATAGGTATTTATGTATTTATGTTCTAGCCAGGTTCATCGATCGGCTTGAATTTGAATTGTTTTTGGGCGAGCTGACGAGCTGAAATTTGAGCCAGAATTCTGGTTGATTGCAAAGCGTGGGAATAGCTTATGGCTAATGCCACACAAGGGTTCAATATGGCCAAAAATTGAAAACATTGTTAAATGATATCTTCTTGAGTTGTAAAAATGAAAAAACGGAACACAAAACTAAATATGTTGGGTCTCAAATCAGGCTTACAATGAGAGCATATTAAAAGATTGCTTAGGGCTTATTTTGATGATTATTAATAGCTTGGATATTAGGCAAACCACAAGTCGAAAATATGTTAATATATGTATACAATCCGAAGCCAAATTATGGCTAATAAAGAAATAAAAATTTTATAGTTGGCAAAATAAGGTAATATAATTGCAGATCATAAAAAGATTAGTTGGATTGACAAGACTCGGACACTTTATGGCATTTTGAATATATTGACATTCAGATATTCAAAAACCGTTCTTTTAGCAGTACATAGCTTTTATCTCAAAATCAAATCAGTTAATTAAATTTCATCACAATGCAGATAACAATCTTATCTAAGTTTTCTCTTAATTGTTTGTTGTTGCTTGACTTGCAGAGAATCTCTTGCAAAATACCTATTACAATGGTGAGGGTGGCGACAGCAGCATGGGCAGCGAATGTGGTGGCACCGATATCAATCAGACTAATCACGATGATCCTGGCGATGGACTAGGACCCTTGCCTCCAAAATGGGAGACTGCCTACACGGAACGGGGCGAGCTGTACTTTATTGAGTAAGTTTGCTGAACCATCCACATAAAAGTATATGTGATTAAGAGATTATTCTTGTGCTTAGCCACAATACGGGCACCTCACACTGGCTGGATCCGCGTCTGTCCAAGTATCAAAAGAAATCACTGGAGGATTGCTGCGAGGATGAGCTGCCCTACGGCTGGGAGAAGATTGAGGACTCCATGTATGGCATGTACTTCATAGATCACGTCAATCGTCGCACCCAATACGAGAATCCCGTGCTGGAGGCGAAACGTCGCGCGGCTGAGCAACGTCAGCAGCAGCAGGAACAGCTGCAACTACAGCAGCAGCAGCAGCAGCAACAACAACAACAACAACAACAGCAGCAACAGCAGGCGCAGCAGCGCTCCAAGACGCCCACAGCGGCTCTAGAAGCGGGGAACATTCCATCTGCTCCTATTCCACTTCCTCCCCAACCAGCCAAGCTACCCTACAAGTTCACCCGCAATCCGGCTGAGCTGCAGGGTCAGCGCATCAATACCACACTATTGAAATCCACACGTGGATTGGGTTTTACGATTGTTGGCAGTGATGGCAGTACCGGCAGCGATGTGGAGGAGTTTCTGCAGATCAAGACCGTTGTGCCCAATGGTCCCGCCTGGCTAGATGGCCAGCTGCAGACGGGCGATGTGCTGGTCTATGTGAATGACACTTGCGTGTTGGGTTACACCCACCACGATATGGTCAACATCTTTCAGTCCATCTTGCCAGGTGAGACGGCAGCGTTGGAGGTGTGTCGCGGCTATCCGCTGCCCTTCGATCCCAATGATCCCAACACCGAAGTGGTCACGACCATGGCCGTCGATGGGCTGCCTTGTGAGCCGGAGAAGCAGCGTCGCTTGAACGTTGACCTCAACATGGATGGCAATTATAATTTCCTTGACCTATCTGGAGGTGAGGCCGTCAGCAAAGCAGCTGGAAGTGGCTTCATTCTCATGAAGAAGCCGGAACTCTACACCTTCTCCGTTATGAAGGGCGCCATGGGATTTGGTTTCACCATTGCGGATTCTGCCTGCGGTCAGATTGTGAAAAAGATTCTCGATCGCAACTGCTGCACCCAGCTGGTCGAGGGCGATGTGCTGCTCGAGATCAATGGGATTAATGTGCGCAACAAGCCCCATTTCTATGTTGTGGAACTGCTCAAGGAGTGCAGTCAGACAACACCCACTGCCCTCAAAATACAACGCACTCCGCCGGAGCAGACAACGTCCGGCCAAGGTGTGGGTGTGGGCAATGTGGCTAATCTGCGCAAGAATTTCGTGGGCGGCACTGGAGCTGGTTTGTTTCGCAGCAAGACACCAACTGCTGATTTGTACAGCACGCAGCCCAAGGAGGTGCTGCCCATGCGACCCAAGACGCCGCTGGTGGACACGAGACGTGCTCGCGTCCTAACGCCCAGCAACGAGCTGATGCAGCAGCTGACGCAGGATGTGGTGGATGTGACGGGCGGTGCTGATAGCAAACCACTGCACCTGCAGGCAGGGCAGGGCAAGTCAAACAATAGTCTACAAGAGCTGGACGACATACCCTTTATGGATCCCTATCCCAAGATGGTAACCAGACTAAGCGAACGCCTCGCCGAGGCGACGCTTCAGGGTGGCGTCGATGTCGATGCTGGCGATGGTGGCGGTGGTAACTATAATCCCATTTATGGCTTGCCGCCGAGCATGCAGCCACTGCCGCTGCCACTGGCTCATCACGAGTCCTGCTACTGCTACGATTGTCAGGCGCAACGCTATCAGCGACCCCAGCCCACCTCCCAGCTGGGTTACTACGTACAGCAGGCGCCCAACGCAGCAGTAGCCCAATATTCTCCATTGCAGGCCGCGCACATTCAAAACGAACGGATGCAGCGTCGAGTCAATGAGCTGCTCAGCGATCGACGGCGCGTTGGATTTGCCAACTTGGATCCACCGGGACAGCAGCACCAGCAGCAGCACCAGCACCAGCAGTTGCAGCTCCAGCATTCGCCAAACTGGCGCAATGGCGCCCTACTGGATGTCTCGGAGGATGCGGATCAGTGTGAGCTGACAGAGGTGACGCTGGAGCGTCAAGCAATGGGTTTCGGTTTTCGCATTGTCGGCGGCACAGAAGAGGGCTCGCAGGTGACAGTTGGACACATTGTGCCGGGCGGTGCAGCGGACAACGATCATCGCATTGCCACCGGCGACGAGATACTCAGCATCGATGGCATCAATGTGGTTAGTTTATTTAAATTTGTATTCGAATTTTCGTTTCTTTAATTAAATATTTATTTTTCAGCTTAATTCCTCGCACCACAAAGTCGTTTCGCTGGTGGGCGAATCAGCTGTGCGTGGTCAGGTTACCATGATACTGAGGCGACGACGGGCGACGCTGCTTCAGCAGACGCCTCTGGTGCAACTGCGTCGCTATCCTTACGATGTGATTGTCAGTCGGCATGAGAACGAGGGCTTTGGCTTTGTCATCATCTCCTCGTCGAATCATTACTACGGATCCACAATAGGTAGAAATATATCTTCTTCCAGCTATAGAATTTGTTTTAATATTTCCTCAACTTTGACTTCTTCGCAGGCAAACTAATACCGGGCAGTCCAGCGGATCGTTGTGGGGAGTTGAAAGTCGGCGATCGCATTATTGCCGTTAATCGCATCGATATTGCGGGCATGTCACATGGTGACGTTGTTAATCTCATCAAGGAGTCGGGACTGCATGTGCGCCTCACCATCGGTTGCCCCTTGAAGGAGGGCGGTCCCAGTCCAGGTGGCAGCAGTGCCGGTCTCGGCTCCAACACTCCCCTTCAGGCATCGCCCAGTCTATTGAAAGCTCCGCCACAACCACAACAACAACAACAATTACAACTCCAACAGCAGCATCAGCAGCACCAGCAGTTGGAAATGCCCGGTTTAGGTCCAATGCCCGGTAGCTATCTGGAGCGACCAAGCACAAATATCGCAGCTACGCTCGCTCTGCACCAGCAGCAGCCACAGTTATGACTCTGAGATCTACGTATCCGGCTCTATAAGAGCTTCCTCTAGCTACTAGTTTTAATTATAGCTGCTATGTAAACCCCAAAGACTGAATTTAGTAAGCAAATGCAAACATTTCAATTTGCGAATCTCCGAGCGCTTCGCGAAGCTACACAAATATTGTTGTCATACACATCTGCTTTTTAATAGCCCCCCTTTGCCTGTTAGATGATATATGTATCTAACTATAAGTACTAATTGAAAAATCTGAGCTTATCTCTGTATATGTGAAACAAATGAATCTGATTGTGAAATATGGCATTATTTTAACAGCTTTAGCATTAGACGATTATTTTATAAGATTTAGATAAGTTTTATCTATAAATCATAAATTTTATTAGGTTTGATATACATAATTGTACAAATGTAAAAGAACTTAAATGTTTTATATTCATACTTTAATATGTTGTTCAATAAATGATATTACAACTAGTTTTTAATCCAAAAATCTTTGTGATTCTGACTTTTTTCTATTAGACCAAAGGAAAAATAATGCTTTTTAAAAGAAAATACGAGTGAAGTATATTAGTGTCGTTAAATTCTCTCGAAGCTCGATTCAATCTCATACATGTCTATACAATTTTATTCAATTACGATTCGTACAAAATATTAAAGATTATTCATTTGTAGTCATTAATTACAAAATTTAATGAGTCTGCTAATTATGCTTCTTATAAATATATAAGTGAGTTGAATACAGTTTTGCGGAACAGTTCGACAACACAGTTTACTTTATATGGGCTTAATCTTGAAATGCAGACCGATGAGTGAGAATACCAGACACTTTAGATCCTGCACCAAATAATAGAAACAGCGCAAGCCTTCTGGGTCCTTTGAACGATTCACGTCCACCAGCGAGCCCGTTTTTGACGTAGTAAATGAAATATGCTCATCACCAATAACAATTTCCAGTTCCTGTCATGTTTAAGTGTGATTAATATGTGTAAATAGATTTTTTGGCCATTTTGGTTACCTGTCGACCCACGCGATCTGGTGGCGGCCATGGCAAATCATCTTCCTGCATGATTTCTGAGTCAATTATAATGCGCTTTAGTTCCTCCATGACGGACTGATGCACAAACGCTTCTTTGCGGATCATCGTATCGTTTTTATAGTTGGAATTGTTGGCATAGCGCAGTTTTCCATCCGGTCGGAACTCAAACTCCAGAAACTCATGTCCAAACTTTCCTTTGTGGCCGACATAATAGCGCAAATAGAAGTCCTCCGTTGACATGGTTATTTGGGGTGTTGCGCGAATAGGATTCTATAGTTTTTAATATACAAAATAAAAATTTGTTTCTTTTTCCGGCATACACCTTTACAACACACAACGTTGCGGCTAAATTTCTTTAGGGTTGCTGCATTTGTGCTTGTTTTCGATAATTTTGTACGCTGTCCGCATATAAATTGTTATCGATATGCACGCGTGCCAATGCGAATGGTCAAAGAGCGAGCAAGTCGGCCATAAACCGTGTTGAGTTTTGTGTTAAAATGTAACTTTATTTTGATTAAATGCAACTACCTCCAATACTCACAGCATAAATGCGGTAAGTGCGCGGTAAACGACAAAGCTTGAAAGAAATGCACCAACAAAATCTGATGACGATATTGCAATAAATTTAAATTTGCAACAAAGTTGATATATGTGCATAATATGTAGGGTGTTGTTGTCATTGGATGTAATGGCGTCGTTCAAATTCGCAATGCGGTTCGGGGAAGGGGCTGGCTGGCTACATGCTACACCAAGAGCAGACGCAAGGCAGGCGCACGGATATCGGTCAAAGTAATTTTACAAAAAAGTACCAGCACTAAAAACATTCGCAAAGAGCGACGTTGAGAGAATTCTGAGTTGTGGTTGCTATCACAGGACGAACGAAAGTGCAAGGATTTGGCAGCGCCTGCGCTTTCAATGGCGGGAAATCAACAAGCGTTCACCTGCACGTGTGCTTCTGCTTGTGCTTGCCTATATACTATATATGTATGTGTATACTGACTGACTGTCGTCGTCCTTTCGGCTCGTAATGTCGGTCGTGCAACAAAGTTGCTCTCAGTATCACTCTCTCTCTCTCTCACTCACTCTCTCGTTTACTTGGTGGTTGTTTGTTTTGACTGCCATCGTTGCAAAAATCGATGACATTGAGTGCAACTTTGTTGCTGTCTCTTGGTCAGCAATAACGTTGCATCCACATACCTATGCGCTCGCCAGTCGTTGCTTGTCTCGCCTAGTAATGCCTCACTGTGCTGCCTGCCTTGCTTTCATAATATTTACAGTACACAAACAAAAACAACAAAACAACTCTTCTCGTTAGCTGTGCACATATTCTCTCCGTGCAACTTTTGCCGGCTGCTGCTGCCGCTGCTGCTGCTGCTGCGGCCTATGTTAGAGGCGCTTACAACTTTGTTAACTTCGGCGCTTTGCTGCATGCAGTCAGTCGGCATTCAGGACAGTAACCGGGACAAAGTTACTTTGTTGTCGCATTTATTGATTTTTTCGTCCAACTTTTTATTGTACACACTAAAGTAGAAGTTACTTGGGAATTAATTCAATTGTGTTCTCCGGATTTGTGCTTTACAATTGGAAACTCGTTGTTGGAGAAATAAGTGGAAAAGTGAGAGCCACAATTTATTTAATATTTTACCTATTTTTAATGCATTCTATTTTAAATTTGGCCATTAACGTACTCCAATTTAAAAAGCTTTCAGTAATGCAATAAAAATAGAATTCATTTCCGATCTAATTTCTCAATAAATATTTGATTCAAAAGTAAAATTTCCAAATAAAGTAATGCAAAAAATTAAAAAGGCTTTAAAATATAAGATTTACATTTTTAACTTGCTTAACTTGATATATCTTTGCAGGCAATGTAGAAACCTTACACAGAATATATAATAGCAATACATATGTAATAAAAAAAGGAGAGGTGCAAGTAATATTCCAACTCGTATTCTACAGTAAATATGAGTACATGAACTGAAGTTCTGCACGGACTGGAATGCGCAGAAAGTAACAGGAAGAGAGGGGGCAGTGGGAAGAAGAAAAGGCAATCATGTCAATGAACCCAAACCAACTGCAGCAGCAGCAGCAGCAGCAGTTACATCAACAACAACAGCAGCAGCATGCAGCAGCAACAACAGTAGGCGCAACATGCAACCGCGAGAGAGGGAGAGACAGAGAACGTGAACGTGAACGTGAGAAGGAGAGTGATAGAGAGTGGACTGGTAGCAGTTCACAGCGGAATTTGATTGAGTTCCTTAGCATATGCATTGCCTGTTGTGTTTGCTATTATAACAGCATGCAGTGCGGCCTCGTCTTTGACGACATTAGTGCGATAAGGGATAACAAGGATTTGCGACCCGGTACACCGCTGCGTAATGTGTTCCTCAACGATTTCTGGGGCACACCTATGCGCAAGGAGCAGTCGCACAAGTCCTACAGGCCTTTGACTGTGCTGACATTCCGATTTAACTACTTGCTGCATGCACTGGAACCATTCGGCTATCACCTCGTCAACCTGCTACTCCACATCGCCGTCTGTTTGCTGTGGCGTCGCGTCTGCCGCCTGCTGCTGCGCCAGTGTGTGGCACCAGCTGCTAGTAGTAATGAAGGAGCCTCGTCCTTTGCCCTATACGCGTCCTCACTTAACACATGCGCCTTTGTGGCTTCGCTCCTGTTTGCCGTACACCCGGTGCACACGGAGGCCGTTACTGGCGTCGTCGGTCGAGCCGAATTGCTCTCATCGCTGTGCTATTTGGCCGCCTTTCTCAGTTACGCGCACGCAACGAGTTCCTCGCCACGACGCACGAACTGGGCCTCACTTTGTTTAGGCTTCGGCAGTTGCCTGACTGCCTCCATGCTGTGCAAGGAGCAGGGCATTACCGTTGCTGGCATTTGTGCCGTTTATGAACTATTTGTGGTGCAGCAACTGCGTCCGCTGCACCTTTGCCATTTTGTTATGCGCATATTCGAGGAGCAGCCAGCGGCGAAGACAGCTGGCAGCAGTAGCAGCACTAGCAGCAGCACGCGACGCTTGTCCGCGGCTCTGTGGACACGCTTGGCATTCCTCACCATCATCACAGTCGCCCTGCTGGTGGGTCGCGTTTATGTAATGGGCTCCCAGCTGCCCATCTTCACCCGCTTCGATAATCCGGCCTCGGCGGCGGCAACGCCTGTGCGCCAATTGACTTATGGCTACCTCATTTACCTGAACTGCTGGCTATTGCTCTGCCCATCTCTCCTCTGTTGCGATTGGACAATGGGTGAGCTTCAGCAGGGACTAAAACTTGACATGCATTTATTTGATATTAATTGTTTTTCATTTATTGATTTGCATTCCTATATCTATTTACTGTTATTTTCCATTTGCAGGCACTGTGCCCTTGCTGGAAGGATTTGGAGACGCACGAAACATGGCCACGCTGTGCACCTTCCTGGCACTGGGCGCACTGATAGCCAAGGCTTGCCTCTCACGGTCTCTGGCGCAATCACGAACGCTGCTGATGTGTCTTGGCTGGATTGTGTTGCCATTTTTGCCCGCTTCGAATCTATTCTTTCCGGTGGGATTTGTGGTCGCTGAGCGCATTCTGTATATGCCCTCGATGGGATACTGTTTGCTGGTTGCCTATGGCTATCATCAGTTGCAGCGTCGTTTTCACTCCTCCCGTTGGATTCGTCTTTCCCAAGTGGCGCTCGTTTCACTCCTACTGGCGCACGGCCTGAAGACGCAGCAGCGCAACTGGGACTGGCGGACGGAGTATTCGCTGTTCATGTCCGGTGTTCATACAAATCAGCGCAATGCCAAATTGTACAACAATGTGGGACATGCGCTGGAGAACGAGGCTAGGTATGAGGAGGCACTGGTCTACTTCCAGCAGGCTGTGGACATACAGCAAGATGACATCGGCGCCCACATCAATGTCGGACGCACCTACAACAATCTCAAGCGCTATGAGGAGGCGGAGCAGGCCTACATGCGAGCCAAGGCACTCTTCCCGCAAGCCAAGGCTGGAGTTAGCTATCACGCTCGCATTGCACCCAACCACTTGAATGTTTTCATCAATCTCGCCAATCTGATATCCAAAAATCAGACACGACTGGAGGAGGCAGACCATCTCTACCGGCAGGCAATTAGCATGCGCAGCGATTACGTTCAGGTGAGTGCTTGTAATTGTTATAGTTACATAATGAGTTTTATTAACAATTCTGATTACAGGCTTATATCAATCGAGGCGATATTCTTATGAAGCTCAATCGTACAGCTCAGGCGCAGGAGGTTTACGAGCAGGCGCTCCTTTATGACAGCGAGAATGCGGATATCTATTACAATTTGGGCGTTGTCTTCCTAGAGCAGGGCAAGAGCCAACAGGCGCATGTGTACTTTAACAAGGCAATCGAATTGTATCCGGAACACGAGCAGGCGCTGCTCAATTCGGCCATTCTGCTGCAGGAGCGGGGAGGAGAGGAGGCACGCCAATTGTCGCGCGCCCGTCTCTACCAAGTGCTGGCCAGAGATGCGAACAACGAGAAGGTGTACTTCAATCTCGGCATGCTGGCAATGGATGAGGTCAACTTCGATGATGCCGAGCAGTTCTTCAAGCGTGCAATCCACCTCAAATCGGATTTTCGCAGTGCTCTCTTCAATCTGGCCCTATTGCTGGCCGACTCCATGCGTCCGTTAGATGCAGTTCCATTTCTTCATCAACTGATTCGTCATCATCCCACGCATGTAAAGGGATTGATCCTGCTAGGCGACATATACATTAATCACATGAAGGATCTGGATGCAGCCGAGAAGTGCTATCGAAGCATACTCGAACACGATCCTCACAATACGCAGGGTCTGCACAATCTCTGTGTGGTTTTCGTGGAGCGTAAGTGGATGGCCAAGGCCTCTGCCTGCCTTCAGTTCGCTCAGCAATTAGCCCCCGCCGAGGATTACATTGGCCGTCACCTTCAGATTGTCAATGCACGTCTGCAAAAAATCAACAAGTTACCTGATACGTCGCCGGAGCGATTATTAGCTTACAAGGACTATGATCCCCTTGAATTCGTACTGCCTGAAATAGACAAGACCAGCACGCCGTCATAGCGGCAATCGGCCTTAAACTTCCAATAATTCCAATTCGTCAGAAAACTTACGTCTTATACAAAAATTGTACATTGTACAGGATATAAATTGAATCTTAGTTGGATTGTCGTTTTAATGATAAAAATGTGAATTGAAGGTTTTTACCTAAAGTACGTAATCACAACCTGACCTTATTTTGTATATAAAGCTAATCGTTTTTTTAAGTAAAATAAGACCTACCGAAATATTGCATTTATTATAGACGAACGAAACTGTACTTAACATTGAATAAAAAGATTCTGTACTTAAATGTGAACTAATGTAATTTTCTTTGCCCTTCCCTAACTCGAGACAGTTAAATCGAATTTTTTGCATTCATTGATAAATTCGAAATTAAATACATACTTTTAGGGTGGAAGAGAAAGATGACGAGACAGCGAGTAAAAATAAATTGTACAGTATATTTTTGGGGAGAACAATAAAATCAAAGAAGTGATGTTTTAAAGCATACTTTAGGGGCTAAGCAAAAAAAAAAATAGTACAATTCCTTTAAAAAATTGCTGTTTCTCGGCCAAATCCTTACAGATTTTCGAAAGGCATGGTGCGTTAGAAGTGTAAGGATCGACTCTATGGAACTGAGTCAAGGGGGTCATCTATTTTAAATCAAACTTAGATATTCTGCGTACAACAATACATAAATTCCCACCTCTCCCCTAATATATTTGTTATTAAAATATGTTAATTGTGTGTACTTCGTTTGAGTGACATTAAATAAATTCATTTTATTCTCATATTTTGTTTTAAGAAAATTTCTAAACACATTTTATAAGGCTTACATAAATACATGTTTGAAAAATAATTGTTTTCAAAAATCAGAAATTTTGCTTAATTTTATTAAGAGCTCGGCACAAATAGTAATGCTCTCTTATGGACTAATAGTAATTGTTTTATTATATAGTACATACATTAATATAAATAGTTGTTTATACCCTACGCTAATTATATTTCGTTTTCGTGGTGTATTCAAATTATGAAATTGATATTTGTTTGATTTGTAATTTTTGATTTGTTTTTGAGTTTTGTGGCTAATCATAAAGAATATTTTATGGTATTTTTTTTTAATTCATTTACAATATCGGTGAGCACATTTTGAAATAAATTTTAATTTACAAAAACTACATTTATAAATATATATGCATTTATTTGATTGTTTGTCTACTATGCCACATGCATTTAATGAACAGATTCATCATGATGAGCATTTCAACTGACTAGAATTGTAGACTATGTATGTGGTAAGTATACATGTATGTATGTATGTTGAACAATAAAAAGAATAAAGTTTAGACTCTTGAATATGAAGCCATAAGTATTTGTACAAAAAACACTTAGTTATTCAAGGTGCTGTTTTAAGAGACCTGTTAAGTAATAGGTCATTTGAAATAATGCTCAATTTGATTTTCAAGCTTTTGAAGTAATCAGCAAGAATTTACAGAAATAGTTTAGAAAAGTAGTTGATATAGCTTAAAGTTTGTTAAGATTGTGAAGTTTCTGTGCCGAAACATTAATTCCTTGGAGAAGTCAGTTGTTGAAAATATTATTGAGATTTAGTTCTTCTATCGACTTTCTGCATTATAGAATTTCCTTGTGAAAGTCTATGTTAAGATATTCTGCCTTTCTAACACACATACATATGGATAGTACCATAATACCTGATATATCTCGAACCTAATATATTCGATTTTAAAAATAATTATGCCCCTCTGTACACATTGTAATTCTTGGGCTCTAGACGATTGTGTAAATTAGGGTTTTTGCATAGTTTAACTGCATTATGTCGTATAGGTAAGGCATCCGCAACGATTGTGGGGAATCCGTGTAGCAAGGACAACGGCATTGGGCTCACTCGCAGGCGATCTTGCCATCGAAACTGCTGAGAGCGATGGCAAATGCTTGCATCGCGCACAGTGGATAGCGATAGTCCATAGTAAACACATCCTCCGATGTGCGACCAAACTGCATGACAATATATTCGGGATCGGAGTCGTGGACCAGCTGAAAGTTCTTCACCGATGCCTGTGTGACTCGACCATGAAAGTTGAGAACATAGGATTGGGTCTCGTCATTCCAAACGGGCGTCTTGTTATGCAATTCCACAATATTGTCCATGTTCTGGAAGCAGAATGGCGTTTAATTGTGGACAATTAGTAAAAGTGCTCTTCAGGCAAACCTTCATCTTCCACAGATCGAGAATGCCTTGTTGCTTGGGATCTGCGGAGCTGATCTTGACACGTTGATCATCCTCAGTCATGCCCGGCAGTATCACAGTCATATTGCGCGGTCCCTTAAAGCCCAGAATATTAGTGTCCTGCAAGTGAAAAATAGCAAAGTGTTTACTAATTATGATATTAAAAAGAGAATCAGGGCAACACTCACATAGATAATGACTGCCAGGTCGAGTCGTGGACTATCCGTGCTCTCCTTGTTGCCACTGTCAAACACCGTGAAAGATGTGCCAAACACATTGGAGCGCAACTTGCCGCAGAAACCATCTGCGTTGCGTGATAGATCGGTGGGATCGCAGCTGACGATATAGTTCGATGTTTTGCTCTTCTTGCGCTTGCGACCTATTCAGGAATTGATAGTTAGAATTCATGTTTTTGGGGGAATGGGGGAATGTTGAACTTACCACCCAACAGAAATATCTTTTTGCCATAGTCCCGCTCCAAGTGCAGATAGTAGATGGGAAACAGACCACGATCCATACCTTTGCGATCGCGTGTGATGCGGCATTTATAGAGCACGCCTTGCGGCGCCGGTTGCATGACAAACTGATCGATTTGACCGATGACATCGCCCTCGGATTCACCGCTGCCGCCGACACTGCCACTGCCATTGGCTGCCCCATTGCTGCCCTCCATGGCTGCACCCTCTTTGTAGGGTGAGCCAATGCCGGCTGGACGCACTGCAGCCACACCCGATATATTCCGATTCGCATAATCCTCCTCGTCCAAAGTATCGTTGAAGGATGGCTGCCCGATGCGTGCTCGCTGCGAATGCGCCGAGTTCGCACTTTGTGGGGCAATCGGTTGCTCAACAACAGTCACGGGACTGCTCTCTTCGTCCTCCAGCTCGTGCGATGAGATCTCCTCGATGAGGTCTTCCTGATTGATGGTGCTAAGGCTGCGCATGTTATTCGAATTATTGCGACTCGAGTTCATTGTGATGCTGCTGCTGTTGTTGCTCAGTATCTGGTCGGGATTCTGTGGCGACCCAATGAATTGCATGGGGCCATCGTAGGCGTGCAGCTCCCGACTATTGCTCCTCATCCCAGACATTGGGCGGTTCATCTGCAGATCGCTCGCCTGCACCATGCCGGGCGAGGCTCGCTTCTGACGGATGTATGCGTCCATCAGCTGGCGCTGAAAACAACAAGTGAAGCCATTAGCCGTGGTTCGATATGTTTCTATTTAATAATTGCGTTATTGAAGTATTTGCATTCTTTGACTGCCTCGATAAATTGCAGCGGTAGATAAACTAATTAGCTTATTACCTTTATATCGAGTGACTTTCAGTCAAATCAGCAACCAGAAATATACCAATATCAACATCCTTACCCACGACTGATTGCTAAATTAAACAGTATGAAAAATGCATATTTTTTTTTAAATATGCCTCACTGTTTTCCTTGAGTGTATAGCAATGAAAATCATATATATAATGCTATACAAAGTCTAACACATGTATTTTAAATGGCAAGTCAAAAACTTTACTGGAAAATAAAAATTGTTTATTTGCCTAAAGTCTATTGGCGATAGCTTTGATTCAGATTATTGTTTACCATTCTTTGAGGAGCCAAATGCGATAAGAAACAAAAATATTTCAATATCTTTATGACTATATATTTACTTATACCTGATAGAATAGAAAATATGGAAGTTAAATTCTACCTATATTTTTTCAAGTGTAAAATAGAAATAGAGAATTTACTAACATATGGCATTTAAATGGCAGTAATACTGTAACTGAATACATAAATAATCTAAACTTAATTAACGTAACTAGTTTCAAACGCTTGTTTCTACTGCTTGCGCAATAATTCATATTCAGAGTCAATTATATAGTCTCACGTATAATTATCTCATTTTAGCCAGAATAATTTGCATAAATAAGACTCATGGATGACAAAATAAGACCGTAATTTGATAAAGAGGCTCACACTACTCATAAGTGGAGGCGTACACACCTCTCCGGCCTTCTTGGATGCACTCTATTACACGCAAATCCAATTGAGATCTGGTGTGATATGAGTTTCGGGGCTATTAACTCAGAAGCGACACTCACCGATTCACATATATATACATGTATATATATATATAGTTATATGTATGTGTGGCACTGCGGATGTTTTGCAATGCAGCTTAATGGGAAATTGTGAGGGTGGGTGGGGTTCGGGCTACGTTGCAGTTGCATCATCGGGGCAACCGAGCTGGCAGCGAGCGAGAGGCGATTGACCATTTTGGACCTGGGGCCCAGTCGTTATGGGTGCCACGGAATGAGGCTAGCTGTCACGATATGACAGCAAACAGCAAAGTGGGTCTCTTGTTGATGGCAATGATTTCATTAAACATTTAAATTTCAAGTTCAGTATGCAAAAAACAATGCGAGAAATGCAAACAAAATAATTGCAAAGTAAACTGCGTTGCATGCATAAATAAAATTGATATTTTTATATGCATACCATATTATTATTGTCTTATTTATGGTAAATAGTGACAATATACTGATATTTAAAGTACTTGTATAAAGCTTGCATAAGTAAATGTACTTTATTAACTAATCGATGTCTTCACTTTATATATCCCATATTTAAGTATCAATCCATTTAGTCGACATTTAAGTGGCCATGCTCTCATACAACTTTCAGCAATGCTCTTTTTCTCATCCTTTTTATACGAAAAATACTTGCTGCAAAAAGGATTTAACTGCGTAACAATGAAAATTCCACTCAACTTTTGTTCACATTTTTCTGCTTTTTTTTTGGCTTTGCGAATTCTCAAGGAGGAAAAGGCAATTATGTGGAAATGTGTAATTTTGTTTTTATTAGACGGCGAGCAGCAGTTTTCCGCTGACTGAGAAATAAAAGAGTCTCTTGCAGTAAAATGAGCAACGCGATAGTTTCTATATAGAGATAGTATTATGTTTATTGCTTGTCGTTAACATCAAATGCTATAAAGTAGAATCTATAGAAAGTTTACATTACTCAGGATGCTTTCGATGGTGGAATTTGTAGTGCGTTGCTTGCCATCTGCAGGACATTGCAGCTGAAAGAAATCGGGCAAATCCTGCTCGGCCTCAAAGGCGCCTATTTTATTTGGGGGCAGATAGAGATCCATGCGGTCGTAGACGACGCCATTGGGACCAAGTTGAATGAACCAATCGATTGCATCGCGATCCTTGAGATCCCCACCCCAGAGCAGGAGCAGCGGCAACTGGGATTTGGCCCGCTGCACCAACGTTGGATCCGCCTTGAAGAAGACCGCGTTCGGCACAATGCCCTCGAGATCGAATGCCTGGGCGAAATTGATGCTCTGCTCCACATTGGTGGTGCGCGGATCGGCGAAGGCGTTCTCCTTGCTGCTGGTGAGGAAGAGCACCGGATACATGTTCTGCTTGAAGCGCAGCAGTGTGCACAGATCGGCATCAAAGGTCTTGATGATGTTGAGCCGTCCACAGCCGTATTTCTGCACCACCTCCAGAATGCGATCCGCGAATAGATTCTTATCGATGGTCTGCTCGCTCTCGTACTCTCCATTGGATTTGAGTTGTGGCCACTTGATCTCAATGTCGAATCCCACACTGAGATTCACTCGCTCAAAGAAGTCCTGGAGCGTGGGAAAGAGTCGCTGCTCAATTTGCTCCACATTACTGTGGGCAGGATACTCGATGATTTTGTTGGAGACAATCTGATAGGTTTTCAGCTGCTTCAGCTGCTCATAGGTTATATCCTTGATAAGGACCTCGGTTAGATCGTTGCGCGATGTTGGCGTCTTGGAGTCAATGCACACGCGTATGGCGTAATCATGATGAATGATGGGCACCAAATCACTGGTCAAATGCACATCGAACTCCACAAGATCGGCGCCCAACTCCCCGGCGGCAATCATGGATCCCAGCGTATTCTCCACCAACGGCGCCGCTGTCGCCGATGTCATAGTTAAACTCTTGCCCAATCCACGATGTCCAATCTCCAGTGCTGTCCAATTGGAGCGCCAATAGTTGACGAAGCTGGTGCGAAAATCGGTGCTGCCATTGCTCATCGGACGCACCACGAGATACTGGAGATGCAGTTCACCCACCTCACGCTGCCAGGTGGGCGATATTAACTGGAGCGTCATGTTACCCTCGCTGCCCACTAGTAGGTCGGGCTGGAGATTTACATAGCCCAGCAGGCGCACCAGATCATGCTGTTCACCGTATACCTCCAGCTGATAGGCCACATTGTGCAGCTGCTCCAGTGTCACATGGAACATGAGCAGATCCTGCTCGGGGTCAAAGGGTACACCATACTCGGGCTGTGGTCTCAACACACTGTCGCCGTAAGCCAGACGCACATACTCCACATTGGCGGATGCGGAACTCAGTATGGGCGAGAGAGTGGCCGGATGCACGGGCTGCAGGCGAAGGCGGATACTCGCTGTCTCCGGCAGCGTCTGCTCCAGCAGACGCAACGCCTGACGGAACACCTTCAATTGTAGAATGCAGCTGGAGGCGCTCTGGAGCCAGCCGCGTGTCAACTGATGCACTCCATCAATGTTGCCCAACTGATCCGAGCGATTGCCTGCCAACTTGGTAGTATTGAATGCATGGGGCATCACATGCGATTCCCAGCGACGCACCTGAACGCCACCGGAACGTCCGACGGCGGCAATAAAATACCGATATTGAACACTACTATTCTGTGGCAACAGCACCTCTCCCATCCAGACATTGTGCACGGCGGTGCGATTCAGGAGTACGGCTCGATCTGCCTGCCAGCTGCCCAAAGCAACCAGATTGCCAATCAGCGCAGGACGTTCATGGGCAGCCAGCTGATCAGTGCTGCTGAGTTCAAGTGTGAAATTAAAGCTCAACGGCGAGTTACGCTTGGGCGGCACAAAACGTCTCGTGGCATAGTATTTCTCATAGTAGGAGTCGCTATCACAGTGTGTGGCAATTGGCAGCAGGCACAGTGCGCTCAGCCAAGCAATGCCCAGCGCCACAAATATTTTGTACATGGACATAAGTATTTGCCGGGATATGGATTGCGGACCGAAATCTGCGACGAACGCTTTGCGACTGTTGCCCAAGTGACCGCTGCGGCTTTGTAGTGTTTATTATTATAATCGGGTATGGGTATAGGTGGGCACTCTTATCACACAATGGCTCGCGTCGAGAGATTTACGACATCTTCAATGGGCGATAAGTATTACTACCCAGTAGCCAGTAGCCAGTAGCCAGGCAGTAGTGCTATCAGCTATCAGCGCGAGTGCGAATTGTCAACTGACTGGTTGAGCTTGAGTAACGCTGATCGCTGGCTAGTTGCGCACGTGTCGTGCATCTGACCGAATACACTCAGCAAAATAAAGAACACTTCAAAAATGCCAAACTATTTTTCAGCAGGTGCACTTCGAGTACTTGCTATCTTTATTAATTAATCATATTAAGAAGCAAGCTTGAAATGAATTTAATACTCTTGATAAGAACAATAAAGAGCATTTGCATTTCTCGTTAAGGAAGTAAATCAGTGATTATTATTTTGTTAAGCAAACTTTTCGACATTTAAAAAGTGTATTTAGCAAATCAGATTTTTAGAATATTTCTTTTTATGAAAATCGAGATCATTTTTTATATTTATTTCTGAGTGTTCACACTTATACACAATTATAGTTATATCAAGAGTTCTGCGATCGTACTACGTCATCAGTTCATTAGTTGAGGCAGCCGGGAAAATAGAGACGTAGAGTGCAGTACCCAATGCCCATAACGCCGTATTAGCGCAACTTTAATGAATTTGATTTTGAGTGCTGCGCAAAAGCGTCGCCTTGATGGGGTGCGGGTCCGTCGCCCTATACTGCAGATATAAATATATATTTATATACATATATAGTATGTTTGCATGTGGGTTCAATTTGTGCTTGTGCCACTGGTCTCAATTCCCGCTACGCTCAAAGCTACTGTGTGCTGAGGGTTAAGCCCCCCGTTGTTCTATTCAAATCGCGAAGTTTTTGTCAGCGGTCGTGTAATTTATCTGGCTTTGGATATATTTCGTAACATTTCTGTGTGTGTGGGAACTAATTTGCAATTGAGCATAGGTAAGCAAGGCTAAACCCAGCAAAGTACTAATCAACAAGTGAAAGTCCATTGGCTCAAGCGATTTTAAGTTGAAATTCATGTTTAAATTCTAACAAAAGTAATACTTTATTGATTATGGATTGAGCTCTTTAATAACATTACTTTTAAATCTAAAAACAAGATTATGCGTGGATATTCTTATTAAATTGTAACCATTAGACACATTAAGTAATGCAATAATTCTAATTTAATTACCAATTAAAAAAGAAGTACTGCACAATCCTCATATGGATTGTAATCTGTTTTGGCTTATGGCCAACCGAAAATCCCATGTGCACCTGAATATTTGATATGGCTTATTAAATACATACATTTTTTCACACGAATAGCCAAAATTTATGTTCGTACATGCAAAATGCAGCGCAGTGTTTTTGTTTATTTGTATATATATATATTTTTGTAAGAAGTCTTTTCAATTTGAAGCTGGGCGCATTTATTTTAATTTAGGCAGACAAATTTGTGTAAGATTAAAGGGCGTCACTGTGGGCCATAAAAACCACGTACACAAACACACACATACACACAGCATATGTTAAAATGAACTGGGTGTGGTTGTATTGCCAACGTTGGATTACATTTGAGGTTGTGCAATAAACTGATTACTCATACGCCTGGTGCCACAACAAAATTTATAAAGTCAGGTCAACTAACATATTCATGCAAAATAAGCCTGAGATGAATACTATTGTTTTTTTTGTATATACCCTGTACTGGGAGTCGCTTTATTAATTATGATCGTCTTGTTTCCATTGCAAGTTTCGCCATAAAGAAAATAAAAACATTCTTGATCAGCTTTAACAGATGATTACTAGGAGAAGCAAGTACTGTGAATTGAAGAGCATTAAATTAAAATAATTGAAGAAATTATACTGTTTAATAAAGTTCTGCCTGATTACAGGATACCTCCCAGTCGATTCCATTCAACTAAAGCATGTGTACTTGTTTTATTGCAAATGTGCGAACCACATTACAAAAATGACAAACACGAAAAACAGGCAAGCCAAGAAGGGACTTGTCTTGCTTGCTGATGTTTTGCCATTCCGGATTAAACATTATATTCACGTATTATGCCGGATTAAGTGTGCGAGGCGGCAGCCAAAACATCGAAAAGCAAACGCGCAATGAAAAATGGGCGCTGGGGAAATAAACACAAGGACAAGGACATTAACAGTGATGGGGATAGAAATTTATTTAGTATATTTGCAATTTAAATTGAATCTGGCAAATGTGGCCACCTAATAATATGGACGCTTGCCAAACTATGTGAATAATGAATGGGCTGATGAGTAGCAGGCAGAAGCAAGAAACCAGATAATCAATGGTCTGGAAAAATACTCAGCGATTTGAGACTGGTTAATGGACGATAAGCCAAACATGACCCCACGACTTACCTAAATAAAGAAATGGAGACCATAAAATAGATTTGTGTTGGCAAAAACAGGATGTGGGCAACAAGGATGACAGATGAAAACTATTACTAGCGCTTACGTCCACCTTTCGCCTCGCCTTTGAGCCAAACTCAACCCTTGGCACCCAGTGCGTTTGTGTGTTAACCTTTTTTGTTTGACCATATTGGCATCCGTTTAGCCGTCGCTTCATTAAGCCATAAGCCATAATCCCCATATACACGTTGTCATGTCCTGTCCTAAGTGACAGCGACAAAACAGAATGTGCCTTACATATATTTTTATGAGCTTAAATGCGGTTTATATACATTTACAACCTCGTCTGTGGATGGGTGAAGTATTTTATTTTCAACATTTTAATAACATGTCTAAAGTTTTTGTTGATTTAAATTTAAACTCTGCAGGTATTATAAATATACATGAATATACAAGATGAATATCTATAAAGTTAGCAATTTAACTAAAAGAGTATAATGCAAAATGTTTGGCTATTCATGTATAATCTTTTTATATTTATCATGTGGCTAAATTCAGTATTAACTAAAAAATGTTTACTTATGCTAGCTACTAATTAAATAATGGTATTATTAGTAAAAATCCAATCCAAGAACTAAGAACCTTAGTACATATGCAATTAAAATAGTAATGGCATCGTTAAGCACTCAAGCAGTCAAAGCTAAATGTGTTTAATATCCGGCCAAATGCCTTAAGCCAAGCATTTGCTGATAACGAGAGATATTCGCACAGCAGACGACCATAAGCTCGATTCAACAGCATGTGTGCGCAAATTCAGTGAATTTGAAGCAAGCAAGCGCTGTGGCTTTGTCACTTGTGGTTTTGTTTTATTTTTTTTTGCTTCCTTTCATGAAAAAGAAAATTTGTTGCAGCTGCTGGGGCAAGGAGTGAAGTCTTAAGCCTTATAAAATCCACCTGACATTGCTCGGATTAGAAAATAACTGAAAAGAATGCCACTTTGCGCCACTCGCTCTCGAAAGTGCCTCACACAATATATGGGCAGGGGGATGGGGAGGTGGTTGCCCTTGTGGCGAAATTAGCAGCGTTTTGTAGTGGCCCAAGTGCCACAATTGCCTTTACACTTTGTATGTAAATTTCGAATAATACTAACAACAACAGACGACGATGAAGGCGAAGCCGACATTGGCTGCTGCGTGCGCCTGAAAGTATGCAGTAGAAATTGTGACAAGTGGCAAGTGACAAAAACACACACGCAACACAACAAATGACAGAAAGGACACAGACGACGCAAAGTCGACGCAAAGTAACTGAGCCCCGGGACAAATGGCAGCCTTTTGTTGTGCGTCGACAGAATCACACACGCGCACACATGCACCAAGAAAAATAATCAAGTATCAATCAGCATTCCCAATCTGATGGCCTATAAAAATAGCTAATTTGAGCTACGATTAAATCTTCATGTGAAGCTCAAGCGATCCTTAAATTCAATTTTGAGTTTGAATACGAAATTATAAGCTATTATAAGACTATGCTTGTTCCTTTTTTTTTTATTATTAAATATGGCTTACAAGACTACGAATAGTTGTTGTCAGTGCATTCAAACTCAATTTTAGCTGGATTTTTGTTTGTCTGTACGCATAGTGTAGGCGTGTGTGCAGACTTATGTTTAAGCCGGATAACAAAGAGTCCATGATCCTCACTCGTTAGCACCATGACAACCAGTTGAAATTGTTGCCAGCCTTAGAAGGGTCAAACTGTTCCATTTGTTTGTGTGACCGGGAGTTCAATAGAGCCAACGAAAGTCAAACAGCAAGAGGACCCAGGGTTACTCTGGCATGTGCTGCTCTTCCGTCCTCTGTTTTTCCTGGCGTTTGCCACATTGGGGAACGCGACTCAGAAATCGTGCAAAAATATTTGTCTAGAACAAACAGAAATGTAGCTGGCGGTGGCAATCCAATAAGGATTGGCAAGCAGCCAGGAGTAAAAGGTGCCAGAGCACCATAAATATTTATGTTCTGAATTCCCAGAAAGAGTGGCACACGTGACAATATTTATCCCGATACGAGCATTTTGGCTTTCATTTTATTTACACTTTAATTGAGTTGGAAGTGTAGGCTCAAGAATCGATAATAGCCATAAGACGAAACGTGCTAGTCAAAATGATTCTCAGTTCTTGTACATTAATGTGCCTTTAATTCCCTTGCAGAAGCTATTGTAATTTTGTGTCCAAATCAAGTATGCATTACTGATTCAGTGTGTCTCAATGCGAATAGCCATCTGATTAAATATAGTTTATGGTTTACTAGTTATAACAATTTCAGTCTCATTCATTAAAGAAAACTCAGCTTTCACAACATATATAATGATTACAAATCATCGTTTGAAAAGTTTATTTTATTCTTTTTTAATATGCATATAAATGGCCATCGTATTTTTAACAATTAAAATGACCGGAAAAGGGCATTCAAACAACTTTGGCGCATTGTTTTGCGGTGCTTGGCTGATTCCATAGAACATTTTTTTTCGGTCAGCGGACAAAGTTTGAGGTGTAAAAAAATAAGTTGAAAAAACATGCAGAAACTTGCAAGCGGCAAAAGTTTTGCGGTCATACGATAGTGGTGAGAAATTTTAATTAATGGTTCAACATTTGCTGAGACATTACTAAAAAGTATTTTATTTAACTTTGCAGCTGCAGCGACGCGATATAAAGTGAGAAGGTCTTTTAAGGCCGTTTGGCTGTAAGCCACATGGCAAATAACCTG